GACTTGTGGCGGATTGTCATCGTCGTCCGCCCTTTTCAAATCGATGCCCAGGTGCCACGTCGACCGCTATCTCGCGGCGACGCATCGCATGCCACCCTTGACGCAGTGGTAGAGCCGATATTTGGGGCGAATCGACGTCGGAGGACCTTTAAAAGGATGAAATGACATTGGGTTTGGTGTGTAAAGGTATAAATGTATGGGAAATCTCTGAAATGTCCATATCTATCGTGCGAGCCAAGCACAGTGTGCGCTGCTGTCATGATTATAGCTCCTCATGACTTGAATGGTGCGACGGCGTCAAAAGCAGCGGGTCGGAGCTCGGTGGGTTTGACTTGTGGCGGATTGTCATGTCGTCCGCCCTTTTCAAATCGATGCCCAGGTGCCACGTCGACCGCTATCTCGCGGCGACGCATCGCATGCCACCCTTGACGCAGTGGTAGAGCCGATATTTGGGGCGAATCGACGTCGGAGGACCTTTAAAGGGATGAAATGACATTGGGTTCGGTGTGTAAAGGTATAAATGTATGGGAAATCTCTGAAATGTCCATATCTATCGTGCGAGCCAAGCACAGTGTGCGCTGCTGTCATGATTATAGCTCCTCATGACTTGAATGGTGCGACGGCGTCAAAAGCAGCGGGTCGGAGCTCGGTGGGTTTGACTTGTGGCGGATTGTCATGTCGTCCGCCCTTTTCAAATCGATGCCCAGGTGCCACGTCGACCGCTATCTCGCGGCGACGCATCGCATGCCACCCTTGACGCAGTGGTAGTATATCGTTGTTTGGGGCGAATCGACGTCGGAGGACCTTTTAAAAGGATGAAATGACATTGGGTTTGGTGTGTAAAGGTATAAATGTATGGGAAATCTCTGAAATGTCCATATCTATCGTGCGAGCCAAGCACAGTGTGCGCTGCTGTCATGATTATAGCTCCTCATGACTTGAATGGTGCGACGGCGTCAAAAGCAGCGGGTCGGAGCTCGGTGGGTTTGACTTGTGGCGGATTGTCATGTCGTCCGCCCTTTTCAAATCGATGCCCAGGTGCCACGTCGACCGCTATCTCGCGGCGACGCATCGCATGCCACCCTTGACGCAGTGGTAGAGCCGATATTTGGGGCGAATCGACGTCGGAGGACCTTTAAAAGGATGAAATGACATTGGGTTTGGTGTGTAAAGGTATAAATGTATGGGAAATCTCTGAAAATGTCCATATCTATCGTGCGAGCCAAGCACAGTGTGCGCTGCTGTCATGATTATAGCTCCTCATGACTTGAATTGGTGCGACGGCGTCAAAAGCAGCGGGTCGGAGCTCGGTGGGTTTGACTTGTGGCGGATTGTCATGTCGTCCGCCCTTTTCAAATCGATGCCCAGGTGCCACGTCGACCGCTATCTCGCGGCGACGCATCGCATGCCACCCTTGACGCAGTGGTAGTATATCGTTGTTGAGGCACGTGTGTCTTTTGTGGGCTGCTGCGAAAACATAGTTACAGGAATGGATAATTTTTGCGCTCAAAAATGTCTCTAATTGTCGGTCTCCAGGATCGTATACATCTTGTTGCTTGCATCTAGTAGCCACGAAGGAGCTTTGCGACTTGGTGCGCGACACTGTTCTCGGTCGGTGCGGCCTGGCGGCGCAGGCGCGGGATGTCTTGGGCAATGATCTTCTGGAGCTCGTTGATGTCGTTGGCCTTGACCTTGGGGAGGTTCTGGAAGCCGAGCGTCGCGAGCGCGACTTGGAGGCTCGGGAGCACGCGGCGCCAGATCGAAAACACAAATTCGTCCTTCTCTGCGAGCTGGCGGCCGTAAATGCGCCGGAAGTGGTGCGTCAAGCCCTCTTCGCTCAGCAAGTCCTACCACATACATATATTGGACGATGATTGTCCACTATTGAACAGTACCTTTTCCATGTCCGAGAGGTGGTTGCGGTTGTACCACGAGAGGCCCGACGCCGACACAAGCGACGCGACCGAGACCGCCGCCGCAACTTCGGGCATGCCGCTCACAAAGGCCGAAGCCGCGAGCGCGTTACCGCCCACGAGCGCCGAGCTCGTCACCGCCCTACCGTATGCATTATATCCGTGACGTTATGATTCAAACGTCAAGTCGATGTACCAGCGGCTCCACTTTTCACGCGAATACTGGGCACGGACGGCCTCAAAGACCTACGGAAGGGCGACGTCAGATGGGTAGAGGGAAGAGGGACAAGGCGTACGGTCGCGTGCATCTCAAGCATGCGCGCACTGTCATAGAGGCGCGTGATGAGGTTGTCGGCGCGGCGCTCCGGGGCGCGCATGACGGCGTTGATGACTTCTTCGCGCGAGGCTTCGAGGTCGTCGAGGGCCGAGCCGAGGCCGGTCTCGGTCGTGCGAGCGCCCGTCTGCGAGTCCTTGACGGGGATGCACATGGTGTAGATGCGCGGGAGATCCTTGAGCGGGATGACCTTGGAAAGGTTCCAGCAGAGGCTGCCGTACGCACGCGCAAAGTCGTGGATCTTCTTGAACTGGTCAACCTTGTTGAGCACGATGTGAAGCTTGTGGTCCATGCCGACGAGCGAGTTGGTAAGGATCGAGAGCGTCTCGCCCGTCGTGCCCGGCTTGTCCGGGTCGAAGAAGAGCAAGATGACATCCGCGCGCTCAGCGTACCACTGGACGACCTTGGGGAAGTCGTAACCGCGGTCCGTCTCGGAGCGCATGTTCAGCGACGCTGGGCTGTCGATCATACCCGGACTGTCGACCATCATAAAGTTGTTGCCCATGGGGATCTCGGCGCGGATCTTGAGGTTCGTCTTCTGGATCAAGTTGGGGCCAAATTGGCGCAAGCCCGAGAAGCCCAAGTCCGGGTCGCCGATGAGCGCCTACATGAGCATGTATAAGTAGAAGAAATAGAAGCGTGGACATATACCGGGCCGTCCTGGTCGTAGTCGGCCGACCCGTTCGAGATGATGGTGAAGCCATCGTCCGTGGGCGCGACGCCCGTCGTCTGGATATCGCGCTTGAGGATGTGGTTGATGAAGGACGACTTGCCGCTCGAGTGGTTGCCGAGGAGGAAGACAAAGGGCAGCGCGGGCAGGCGGTCCTCGACCGCGCGGTTGAGCGGGCCGCAGAGCTTGTCGTTGAGCGGCAGCAGCACCTCGCGCTCCATGCGGGACGTCTCGCGCATGAGCTCGAGTGCGCCTTCGTTGCTCTTCTCATACGTCGAGGCCCAGCGGGCGGCCATCGCCCGCGGAGCGCGGAGCAGCGTGGGATGGCGGCGCAGCAGCATCTTCGTCGTCGCCTGGTTCGGAAGCAAAGAGACTGCGAATGCTGTGACCAGCGACTTGGAGCATTTCCATGCATCGCCCGCGGATTCGCTGCTTTTTTGCAGCATTTTAGCCAATCAAACCACAAGACTTCAAGTGGCATATGCCTCGTTCCACGATATCCGGATGACAATGCGATAGAGAGGACCGGTTTTTTGCCGGCGCCTGTCAGCGTGCCACGTACAAATGTATCGCCGCGGGGTCATCCTGCCGTGCCAAGGCGACCCCATTTGATGCGATTAAAGATCGAGCAAGATGAGACCCTCGGTCCAATACTTTCGCACTAAAGCGCACGTGTGTCATGCAGCTGGTAGACAATTAGAGAACCGAATTTTGAATACTGGGAAAAGTATGGCCACTGCAGGCAATGAGAGTACTATGTGCTTTCTTCCTACGTCGAGAAGGTACCGGCCTATGACCGCTATTACGTGAATGTGTTTGATGTTACTAATAATCCTATACGGTCATGCTACTCCAATAGCTGCTCCAATTCCAGCGCGGTCGCGAGCGTGATGTGGTTGCCGGTCAGGTTGCCGGTCTGTCACAAATCGGCATGTGCCAGATTCTTATATCCGGATGTGGGACGATACATCCGGAAATATTTGGCCCCGTTATCTTATTCTCGAAGGGTATACTTTGTTCAAATCACTTGCATAGATGACAAAGTTTCATTTTCGCATTTTCGCCATGTCCGACTACCCGCAGAAGCCACAGCCGATGGCCGCCCCCGCGCCTGCCATGGGTGTGCCCGTCGCCGTCGACCAGTACGGCCGCCCCGCCCAAGGCGTCCCCATGGCTATGGCCCAGCCGCCCGTCGTTGGCTTTGTCCAGAACAACTCCAACATCCAACGCGACGCGCAAGGCAACGCGCTCTGCCGCAAGTGCCATACGCCGTACCCGCTGCCCAATGGCTGCACGAGCTGGCGCTGCCGCCAGTGCGGCGAGCTGAACAACGCGAGCGTCTACGGCGACGAGTGCCCCTGCTGCAGCGTCATGTAAGCGCTCCACTAATCATCTTTATTTGCCTTGTGTTTCTGGGTCGCACCTTGGGCTCGTGGCACACAGCGAGACGACCTCCAGTTTCAAGGATTGTGCTTGGTCTGTCTGACATTTACTAGTCTTCCGTTTTGACGATTATGATCTCCTCTACTGTATGCTCAACCAAGAGGCGTTGCGACCCAGCCACGTGGCAAAGTTGCATGACCCTCAGCTGCTGGCTGGTAGACCCTCTTGCTCATGTAGTAAGTGCCAGTTTATAACTCTTATCGGAAAAACTTGAGCAAGTCGGCGAGCCCGAGGCGCCCGTCGCTGTCGGCGCCGGGCTTGGACGTCGCGAGGACCGTCGATGCCATGGTGGCTTTGCGTTCTTGGAGCTGCAGAATCATGTCTTCGACCGTGTCGTCGACGACATACTTTTTCACGATCACGTCGTGGTCCTGGCCCAAGCGGTGGACGCGGTCAATGGCTTGGTCTTCGAGCGCCGGGTTCCACCACGGATCGAGGAGCACAACGACCGAGGCAGCGGTCAGGTTGAGGCCGACGCCGCCGGCCTTGAGCGAAATCACGAGCACATTGGCCGACCCGCGGCTGAATTCCGACAGAACGCGCTCGCGCTCGTCTTGCTTGAGCGACCCGTCAAAGCGAACGGTCGAGAAGCCTACGGTATCGTTGAGATGGAGGAATCTACAAAACGTGGGTTGTACCGTGCTGGTTGAGCGTCGAGCCCACGAGGTCGAGCATGTGCGTCCACTGGGAAAAGACGACGACCTTTCGGTGCGGCTCCGAGGCTCGAAGCGCCTCGAGGTCGCGGAGAAGCTGGCGCATTTTGGTGCTCCCGGCACTGTCGCCCGGCGACGGCGTCACGTCGGCGCGCTCGGGCGGCGTGATCGGGATCAACTGGTCCAGACCCACGTCGGCGCGACAGACGGGGCAGACGGGCGCGGTGTCCAAAGCCGCGCGGACGCACTCGTGGCAGAGCAAGTGTGCGCACGGCGTGAGCACGGGCGATTGAGGCACGTCCAAGCAGACAGGGCACTCTTGGCAGTCGAGGCCTTCGTCTTGGATCTCGAGGATCCGACTTGAAATATACGTCTCGTCGCTGCTGTTCGTCGTTGACGTCGTCGCTGAGGACGACGACTCGGACGACGACTGCTGCAAGATGGCCGTGAGCTCGGCGTAGTAGTCGGCGTTGGTCGCGTGCTTGGTGGCCGTCGCCGCCGCCTTCTTCTTTTGCGCGACGGTCTTTTGCACTTCGGTCTTGCCCATGACAAGGAACGGGTGGTCGCACGCCTGGCGAAGACGCAGAAGGAGCGCAAAGATGGCCACGTAGCTCGCCATCGCGTTGCCGCTCTCGACGTAGCCGTAAAACTCACCGCGGCTCTTGGCGTACACGGCCTTGTAGAACTGGCGTTCCTCGGCCGAGAAGGTGAGACGCACGACCTCAATGCGCTTGGGCGGGAGCTGCACGATGAGCTCGCCCGTGCTCGAATCGCGGGTTGCTTTCGTGCGCCGAAGTAGAATGGGGCCCAGGATAGCCTCCACGTATCCAGTGAGTGGGCTTTGAAACCCGAGCGGACGCATACCTGAAGGCGCATCAAGGCGCATTGCTGGCCTTTCTCGTACGGCTGCGCAACGACTCGACTCCACCACTCGGTCTTGTCCCATGGCTAAAAGACACTCAGGGCCATCGATGTCAGAGCATCGACGTGGAGAGAACGTACTTGGTACTGGAGAAACACGAGCAATGACAAGATGTCTTCGAGCGAGTTTTGGATCGGCGTGCCCGTGAGGCACCAGCGGTGCGTGGCCGAGAGTGCCGCGCACGACTTGAAGTACGCCGTCGACCGGTTCTTGATGGAATGCGCCTCGTCCAGAATGAGCCGGTCCCAGTGGAACGCGTGCAGCGCCGACTCCTTCTCGCTCGAGAGCACGCCGTACGTCGTCAAGATGACGTCGGCGTCAACAGCGACCAGTGACTTCTTCGGCGCGTCGTAATACAGAGCGACACGGAGGGTCGGCGCGCGCGTCTCAAACTCTTGCTTCCACTGGTGCAGCAAACTCAGTGGGCACACGACGAGCGTCTTGGCACGCGTTCTGCCCGAAGCGTGCGCCGGTGTAAAATCCGCCGTGTACAATTTGGCCCGCGCCGCCACGAGTGCGAGCACCATGATGGTTTTACCTAGCATCGTGTGACGCGAGCCATCAACGTGTAGGAGGAGGTACCCATGCCCATGTCGTCGGCCAAGATGCCTCCTCGGCATGGCACGGGCGGCGCCGGCGGCGTCAGCGCAGCAAGGCGTTCGAAAACGTTGACGTAGTAGGGCACGGTTGCGCCGCGGTGGGTGCACGTCCGCGTCGACCAGAGCTATCGCAGAGCTGAGGATCCCTTGTGTGCCCTCCGATCTAATTGTACCGGATGCATCGTGCTGGACGACTCGTCGTCGTCGAGACTGACACTGGCGCCGTCCAGTCCTAGTGTCTTGTCAGATCAATCGTTAGGGTAGTTGCGGATTTTGTACGAAGCGCTTGGCCAATGAGGTGGCTGTCGCTGAGCGCGTTCTGGTTGAGTTCGCGAAAGAGCATCCAGCGCAGCGCCTCTTCTTGGTACGACCGCAGCGTGATGTTGTGCATCGTTCCGTGCACGGCCTCGGCGCTGTAGCCCGGAATCGCATCGTGAGGCGAGATGCTGGTGCGGTACAGCACATCGACGGACACGTCGTCGCTCATCTTTTCATACGTCTCGCCGGGCAGTACGAGCGTCGACGACGGCGTCAGAATCGACTTTTTCGGGCTCCCGAGAAACTCGAGGAGGAGGAAGGCCTTCTCCTTCCAGCGATGGTCGGTATACGTGACGGGCGTCTTCTCGAGCGCCGACCAAAAGGCTGGCGCACCAAACACAAACAGCTGGACTTGGAAGCGCGCAAAGACAGCCGACTCGAACGGCGCCTCAACGACCGTCGCGCCGACCGCCACAAGGCGCGCTGCCAAGAGCTCCGCGAGCATCTCTTCCCACGATTCGTCCATGCGGCCAACGACGACGTTGCCCGACGTCGTGACGACCCGCACCATGTTGCCGCCTTCGACCTGAAGGTGGAACCTACGGCAAAGAGCGCATGGTTGGTCGAGGTCAAGGGGTTCTTGACGTACCGTGCGCCAGTCTTGATCGAGCGGTCTTCGCGCCGCGTGACCGACGCATCGGCCGTCGCGACGCCGAGGTAGTACATGGATGGCTCCGTCGAGCGCGTCCAGTACGTGACGTCGCTGTCGGCGGTCGCTGCTTCTTGGCGCGACGCTTGTTCGTAGTAGGCTGCGATCGAGAAGCTGACGCTGCCCGCGTTCTTCTGGAGCAGCCGCCGCATCTCTTCGTCACTCACACCATTGCCCAAGCACTCGCGCATCTGCTGCAGCTTCTTCTCGAGCAGCCGCGCGTCTTCGCGGAAGAAGGACGACGACGTTGGCGTGGCGGCCTTGGTCTTCTTCTTGCCGCGCGCGGGCGTCGGCGAGGCGCGGGCGCGCTTGGCCGAGCCAAATTCCACGGCGCCAGGGCGGGCGGAGCGGCAGATCTCACAGCGCGCCGCCTGCGGCGGGTTCTCGAACGAGCAGTTCACGCACGCCCAGTCCATCGTGCTTTCCACTCAACCTCGTTGCGAGCCATCCGGATAACATGGTCGCCCGTCCGCATATTCCGGATACGGAAGGGTATCCGGCGCTCTCCCGCCGAATTCGCACAGATAAGTTGTCTTTTTTGGCGCCAACAGGGCTCGGACTATCGCAGCGCCAGTGGGGTAAAAATAGATGGGCACGGCGACAGTGACACACGTGGCACGCTCAGGGAGTGAATTGGCATCGCAGCGATCGTCAAGTCGCCATCATAGTTATTGGTTCCATGGTCTGTCATCAACAACAAGCTTGGTGCCAATCAACGCTCGTCGGGTCGTCTCCGTGGCCAGCTCGTAGAACGAGCCAGTGAGATGCAGACCTTTAGCTTGGCCTTTACAACACACCGCAACGCAGCACTCGGTTGAGGAAAAGGCCACCACAGCTAGCCTTGCAGTTAGGTACGTGTCGGAAGAAACAACATTTTTCTTAGTTTGCCCGGAACGCGGTCCGGTAAATGTCGCCGCCATGGTCCACGACGTACGTTTCGCGGTCTGTCGGGATGCCCATCGCATTCGTCTCGTGCGGGCCAGGCTCTTGCGTGAAGAGGTGCGGGTGCTCGGCAAAGACTTCGACCATGTACTCGAAGAGGTCGAGGACGTCGGTCTGCAGAAACACGGGCGTCGCCGGCGCCAAGTGCGTCGCGAGGGCTTGGACGAACGCGGGGTTGACGAGGCGGCGCTTGAGGTGGCGCTTCTTCATCCACGGGTCCGGGTGGAAGATCGAGACGCTCGAGATCGCATGCGTCGGGCGCAAGGAGGACAAGATCGCGTCAATGTGCAGGTTCATGTTGGCGTGGAGGACGTGAACGTTGCCAATCTTCTCTTCGTGGACGCGACTGACGGCCTCAAGCACGAGCGGCTCGCGGATCTCGACGCCCAGAAAGCACTGCGTCGGGTGCTCAGCGGCGAGCGCAAAGAGATACCCGCCACGCGCGCAGCCAATGTCCAAGTGCACCTGCGACGACGCAGGCGGAAAGAGGCTTGGCCAATCCGGCAGATCGATTGGCGCCTCGAAGCGCCGGGCGAGCGGGTTCACGTGCTGGCGCACACGCACCTTGGTGCTCAGCGCGCGTGCCAGACGACCGATCGCTGCCATGCTCCACCAAAATACAAGTGCCAATTGGACTATTGTCCTAATTTTGTCCTAAATATGTCCTAATTTCGATCCTAACCAGGTCCATTGCAATGACGCGAGCATATAGTGCCGCAGCAGACAGCTTGGTCGATCGAGAACGAGGCGACATCAAAGTTTGCATGTAGTACAGGACGTGCTGTTGCTGCATGCAGAGCGCTGTGGTGGAGCAGTGTCCGTAGACGCTGCCTTCGAAAGTGCGGGCGAGATATGCGACATGAGGACAAAAAGTCCCAATTAGGACAAAATAGGCCCATTGCACCAGCCAATCCTGAAACCAATCATCAGAACCATGGCAGGCAGCAGCGCGAAGCGGAAGCGCGAGTACAGCGAGGACGAGAAGCTCAGCCACCAGGCGTCGGTCGCCTTTTCGCGCGAGCTCAAGAAGATCAAGACGTTTGAGCTCCAGAAGGTCATCAAGGTGCTCGGGAAGGATCCGGAGAACCCGGCGCTGCAGATCCAGGTCGAGCTCCTCAAGGTATGCGCGCCAAGACGGCCTTGGCGTACATCTTATGGCGTGCTTGTAGAACCTCGACATTTCGCTGGTTGTGCGCCGTGCACTTCTTTCTCTGGGCCTCGACCCGCCGGCGAAGCAGGCCAAGGCCGTCGAGCTCCCGGACGAGCTTGCCGCCAAGATCAAGGCGATCGAAACCTCGCTCCTCAAGCACAAGCGTCTCGCGCCCGTCATGAAGACGTGGAAAGAGAAGACGGGCGAGCGCGCCGAAAAGCTCTTCAAGGAAGAAAACGCCGAGCTCAACAAGTCGCGTGGCGTACGTCCGACTCTCGCTTCTCCAATATGGACGACGACTCATGTGGCTGCTAGAAAAACGGACTCGGTGCGCGTAGTAGCGCAGCGCCTGTCTCACTCTTCGTCGGGACGCTCTCGGGCTTTGGCGACGCCAACGACCGCGCCAAAGAGGTTGGCATAGCATCGTCCAGGAAGCTCCGTGCGTATCATTGTCATGTGCTGCGTAGGAAGATGTGATTGCCGATTTTTTGGGCGAGAAGCACAAGAAGAACCGTCCTGGCCAGCGCGCCCGTAAGCAAAAGGCGCTCATGATCGAAGCCGCCAAGACCGGTCGGCCCGTCGAGTCGGGCGGTTCGTTCCGTGAGAAGAAGGAGCGCCCGAAGCCGGCGAAGAAGCCGTCCACGCCCGCTGCTGCCAAACCGACCAAGCCCTCGCGCGTCGAGCGCACGCGGCCCGAGGCACCGGCCGTCGACAAGACGTCACATCCGTCGTGGGCCGCCAAGCAGGCCCAGAAGGACAAAGAGAAGGTCGACATTCACGCCTTCTCGGGGAAGAAGGTCGTCTTTGACGACTAATAAGACTATAAATGCACACGTGAACCGACCGACGCTGCAGTCCGCTTACCAACGAGGCCACTACGTAGTGCACAGCTCTTCGCAGCAGCTCCAGCCGTTGGCGTCCATTGAGCCAAGTGTTATTAGCATGACAGAGCTCGGCTATGAGCAGCAGTCGGGGTCCATGATCGGCTGCTACGCTGCATGTTTTAATGTTACTGGCACTGGTATCGTGGACTGCGACGCTTGGCCATTCTATACAATGACGAGTCTCTCGAGCAATTCGCCAGACCAGATCGTTGGCAACGACGAGGTCGCGTCTTGCCCGCAGCGGATTCCTGTGGCGACAAACAGTGTCTTCGAACGAACTAGTGGCAGCATCATCGGAGGCGTCCACGTAGCGGCGGGTGGTCTTTGGCGCCACTGAATTTTGGTGCTAGAATGTAGGTCGTAAGACAATCACTCGGTACTGGCTGCCTGGTCTCCCCAGAGCCCATTTCTGAAAACACTCAACCAGACTCAATGAGCATGTGGGCAACGTGGACCTACGTGCTGCTGCCGCCGGCCGTCGTCTTGTACGCACCTTCCGCGCTACGTGGCATGGCGTCTCATGCGCCTGCGTAGGCTCATGCTCCTCACGATCCCGTTCCCGCGCATGATCGCCAAGGGCGTCGTCCGCTTCGTCGACATGCTATTCAAGATTGAGCTCGCGGGCATCCCCGTCGTCTCGGTGATCACGTTTCTCGCGTTTGTGTCGCTCGCGGGCCAGACGTACGACCTCCAGAAGCGCTACACGCACCCTGTTGAAGGCCTCGAGAAGCACTACTCGGCGGATCTCCAGCAAAGGCGTCGCGCTGGCGCTCGGAGCGCAACTGGTGGATCAGTGCGCTCACGTTTACGATCTACTGGATGCTCATTCGCTTCCAAGCCATGAAGAAGCAGCTCCTCGCCGCGCAGCGCCGCGACGACTAGGCGCTTTGATCGCCAACGGATGTTTTGATATGAATGCATGCTGCTTTGTTTGCTAAATGGACTGTCTTGGCAGGCTCTCGGCGGCTGCTAGAACCCGTCGCATCCCACAGAGGGTCCGTTGCAGAGATGCTGGAACGTCGTCTTGCGCCGAGGCCAACGCACACAGCGTGGCATCCCATAAGTCACGGTGGCGGTGCGAGACGCAGCCTGGTCTCCGCCGTGACGAAGAAGAAGAAGGCCGTTGACAACCGACGGTAGTCAGAAAGATCGCAAGTCGGAAGCTAATTTGGGGATCTTGGCCATGTCATTTTGAAGATTGCATGGACGATCCTCTCTTGTGCCAGTACGCGCCGCGGGGCAAGTGCCGGGAGCCGCGGGCGCGCAAGCCCAACGGCCATCTGCACTCACTTTGTGCGCACCACCGCGCAAGGCAGAACGCCAACCAGCGGCGGCGCGATACCAAGCTCCGGCGCCTCAAGACAATGTACCGACCGCTCTTGCTGCCGTACGCCGTGGCCGCGCCGCCGACGTATGCCCGGGACACACCGCGTCTCCCGCCCATCCGCTTTCTCTTGCACCGCCATGATGGGATGCCGCACCCCATGTGCTCGGCCTTGTCGTCGACCTACTTGCACGCTTGAAGCACACGTGACCGTCGGCGCAAGGCGATCGAAGCAGACCACAAGCATGGGTAATGGAAACGTGTTATCGAATCGTCGTCTAGTTGCCACCGAGCAAGCGCTTGAGGGCGTCACGCTCCTCTTCCGAGTCGGCCTGAAGGATCTGGCGGTTGTCTTGGATCTTGATGATCTCGCCCGTGTACGTCTGGACAATCAAGTAGACGTACTCGCCCTTGTTCATGCTCGCGTACGTCTCGGCCCACGCCTGCGCCTTGCCGTTCGGGCCCTGAAGGTTGAACTTGATGCGAAGACGCGTCTTGTTGCCTTCCTTGTCGTTGAGCTCGACGTGCTCGATAAAGTTGCGGCGACCCTCCTTGTGGCCACCGTGGTCACGGCCGTAGCAGCGGATCGGCGCGCCCAAGCGCTGCAAGACCTACCATCCACCATGCATTGTGAGCGCAGGTTCACATATGAGCACTTCGTATGTACCATGTCGTTCTGCAAGACAATGTCACTGGCTTCGCTGAAGAGCGAGTTGGGGCTCATGCGGCTAGGATAGCATTCGGTGAGCTTTGGTCCCACATCACGATCGCCATCTACCTCGGGAAGAGCTCGCGCACGATAAAGTAGCCGCAGACGACCGACAAACCGGCAATACCGGCCCACATGCCGACCTGCGTGGTGGCAGCGACCTTCTCGTACGGCGTCAAGACGATCGCATCCGTCTGCGCTTCCGCCTGCGCCGGGTTGGGCTTGGCCTACGACGCGGTCAGCTCCAGCACAGCGTAGCATTGGTTGCGTGCCTTGTCGCAGAAGTGGCGGCGGTTCAGAGGCGCGCGGTTGGCCTTGGCCGGTGCCACGAGGGTCCGGGTCTTGGTCGCGCGGGCGACGGCGCGGCGGAGGTTGGCCACGGCAAACATCTTCGGCAAAGTTCGGGAAAGCGCAATGCTGACTGGTGCCAGTCCATCGGTCGCACGTATATACGGCAGATGCCGAATTTAATACTTGTAACCGGATCCGAATGCGGAAAGAATGTCGTGCGTCGACTAAATGGGTACCAGTCCGTGGGGGAAAACCTAGTTTTGCCCACGACGTTTCGGCAAGATGCGATCAGATAATTGCTGCTTGTGGCAGGATTTGGGACAAATCGTTCAGTCGGTCACGCCCGACTAAACGTTAATCAGCAACATGGGGCCGACGACACGTTGCCTGTGGGCCATGGTCCTAGGCGCAGCCGCGCTCGCCCGCGCCGAGGAGACGCCGCATCCGCCCGTGATCCTCGACGACTTTGACCCGTACAAGCAGCAGGACCAGGACCTCGTCATGGGCATGGGCACGCACGGGAAGCTCGCGCCGGCGGCCGTCCAGAACGAGCACCTGAGCAAGTTTGACTTTGACCCGTCCGAGGGTCTCACCTTCTACATCGAGAAGCTCGAGTCGTCGTGCTTCTTTGAGGACGTCAAGTCGCTCGGCGACAATGTCTCGGGCGCGTACATCGTGTCGACCGCGGCCGCGACCATCAACGTGGTCGTCAAGGACCCGACCGGCGCGATCGTCTTTAGCCGCGACGACGACGTCGAGGGCACGTACGAGGTCAAGCCGTCGAGCGTCGGAGTCTACGAGGTGTGCTTCGTCAACGACGCGAGCGACGGCAAGCTCGTGAGCCACGTGACGCACACGCTGCAGTCGCAGCACCCCGTCGAGAAAGGTACGCTCGCATACCATATCCATCTTCCTCCTCCTCCTCATATGCTAGAACACGTGAGCATCCTCGCCAAGTACGCGTCGCACCTCGACATTCGCCTCGGCGAGCTCGAGTCGGAGCAGCGCTTGATGCAGCTGCGCACGGACCGGCACATGAAGAGTACGTCCGATCTCAGCGCTTCGTTCCTTCTTCTAAACATGCGGCCATGAGTAGCGGAGAAGAGCACGAACGATCGCGTCTCGCTCGCCGGGACGCTCGAGTCGCTCGTGTACGTTGCCTGTGTCCTGCTCCAGATCTGCTACATCAAGCGGCTGCTCGAGAGCCCGCGCCACGTCAAGTCCTGGGCGTAGTCGATACATCACCCATCATATATCCATCCGCATGATGATGCGTAGTTACATGAATCATCTACAAAGGGCCTAGTGGGCGCTCGAGATGGCGTCGACGAGCGCATCAAGGAGCGTGTCGCCGAGGTTGGCGTCGCCCGACGACACTTGGAGGCGCAGCGTGCCCGTCGCGTACTGCATCTCGATGGTCGCGAGGAGCCACACCTCCTTCTTGTCCGACCGGAGCTTGCCGCAGAGCTGCATGACGACAGGTGCCTGGACGTTGCCGGGCATGAGCATCTGGTGCGGGTTGACGTGGCAGAGGTTGAGTGCGTGGCCAACGTGCTGCGTGAGCGCGGCGAGGGTCAATGGCGTGGAAAACTGCTGCAGCTCGTTAGACGCAATCTTGTGCTTGGACCAGAGCGCCGTAAACTGGTCGGGCGTCACGTGGAAAGGGTGCAGGAGCTCGCCGATCGACGGCGTGAGCACGCCCGAGTACGCGTCGTCGTCCTCGGCGCTGCCCGTGAGGATGCGCACCGGGACGCCCTTGAGCTTGCCCGCGAAGTCCACGTGCAATTGGACCATCGACGACGACCCGGGGTACACGACGGGGACTTCGGGAAAGGGCACGAGCGCGCCGTGCGCGTGCGCATCGAGCTCGACGCGAATGCGCGCGATCGGCGTCGACGACTGGTTGAGGAGGTAGCACTGGACCACAATCATGTTGGGCGCGTACATGGACGGCGTCCGCAGATAGCTGTACTCGATCTGGAGACCGTCGCCAACGGCACTTGCGAGCAAGACGGAGCGGGACGTCGGCGCCGCCGCGTTCATTGTAAGGTTGCTCAAGTCGGCCATCATGCTCATCGAGTTGATGGACGACGACGACGACGATGCGCCCGTCGAGAGAAAGTCGAACGGATCCAAGAGGTTGCGCGTCGGGGCCGGCGCCGGCGCTTGCTTTGTCGGTTTGCGCTGCTTGGTGGGCTTCACGGGCTCCGACTCTTCCGACGAGCTCTCTTCTTCTTCTTCTTCGGAGCTTTCCTCGTCTTCCGACTCGTTGTTGTCCGAAGCGTCGTCGTCACTCTCGGCCTCGCTGTCGTCGTCATCGTCCGAGGCGTTGTCGTCACTGTCAGCCTCGCTGTCATCATCACTGTCATCCTCGCTGTCATCCTCGCTGTCGTCGTCTTCGCTGCTGTAAAAGCCACGCGACGTCGACTTGGCCGACGGCTTCTTACTCGAAGAGGACTTCTTCTGGGCGTCCTTGACGATCGCCGGCGCCTCGACCGACCCGTCGCGTAGCTTCTTGTCGACCTTTTCGAGGCGCCACGTCGGGAGGGGGAGGTACCCGGGCACATTGTGATGCACGAGCTCCGAGAGCGATCCGAGCGTAAACTTGGACTTGGTTTGCTCGTAGCAGCCAATGAGCGGCGCGGGCTTCTTGCTCAGAAAGAGCGTTTGCGGGCTGAGACCGTCGCCGAGGAGCGCCGAACGCACAAGGCGCGCGCGGTCGCGAATGTCGTAGTCCAAGTCAAACTTGCAGAGCTCGACGACGTACTGGAGGCACAGCTGCACCTTGGGGTGGTTGGGCGTCTTGAGCGCGAGCTTGACGGCCAAGCTCAGCAACTGGAGCTTCACGTCCGAGTCTTCGTCCGTGAACGTCGCGCACATGCAGCGCAGCGTCTCGGGCGCCACGGGCTCTTCGGCCGCAAACTCGCCGAGCATCCACACGATCGACGCGCGGGCTGACGGCGACGAGACGCGGCCCGAGACCATCATGGCCGCGAGCGACCGGACGACCTTGACCGCCTGCGACGCGTTGGGTGCCTGCACTTGCTGCAGCAGCTGGCGGATCACGACAACGCTCTCGGCCACGACGCTCTCATGGACAGAACGCACAAGGCGCATGAGTCCTATCATCCAAAGGGTAGAATTCAGACACAAATAAGAAAGAGGCATTACCCTTGAGGCACTTTTCCGAGACGGACGGCATCGCGTCGGCGACTCGGCCGAGCGCACGCACGGTCATCGTGACAAAGCCCTTGTCCACGTGGCGCACGTACGCTTGGAACTCGCGCAGAATCGTCGGCACCGTGTCTTCCGTGACGAGCGCCGTGAGGATGTCGAGCTTGAGCTGGCGCGTGTACGCGGGGTCGGTCGCCCGCACAAAGAAATCTTGGAGGAACGGGAGAAACATGTCGGGCCGCGCGGTCGCCATGGACGCAATGACCGAGAGGACGACGTACTGGATCTCGCGCTGGTTGCGCATGATGCGCACGAGCGACTTGCCGAGGAGCGTGCACGTCGCCGTACTCTGCGTGCCGCAGTAGTAGTGTAGCGTCGACACCGAGAGCACGACCGCCGAATTGCGCGACTTGAGCAGCGGGATCGACGACCGCAACAAGAGTCGGTGGTCCTCGTCAAGCTCTTCGCCGCCGCCAATGCCACTCGCCACGTCCGTCGAGCGAAAGACGGACCCGACGTTCGGCATGTGTTCGCGCTGCGACGACGACGCGCTGCCGCCGAGCATGAACGGCGACGCGTTGTAGCCCTTGTTGTTGTTGTTGCTCTTGGCCTTGGGGTCTTCCTCCTCGTCTGAGTAAAACCCCTTCTTGACCTTGCGCTTCGGGAACTGGTCCTTCTGGTTCTGCGGCGGCGGGTCTTGCTTGGGGCTCTGGAACTGCTCGCGGCAGTAGCGCGTGAGCACCTGCATCACGACCGCTTGGCCCCACTCGTCAATGTCGGCGAGGAGGTGGCAGAGCTTCCGGAACGGTCGGTGGAGAAGGTCCATGCGGTCGGGACAGATCTCGTTGAGCGCCTGCACCGCGCTGCCGAGGACCATCGTGCTCGAGTCTTCGAGGAGCAGCGCAATGATCTCTGCAAGCACCTCCTTCTGGTCGACGCTGTCCATGGCGTGGACCTTGCTCAGCGCGTTGGCCGCGCACTTGCGCACGTACGGCGACGAATCGCCAGCACACTTGCGGATCGCAATGATCTGGATCTGGATGATATCGCGGACGCGGATGCTCGTCATGACACGCAATGCGAGCGCGCGAATGAGCTGGTTCGGGTCGGCCAAGTCCTTCTGGAACGAGTTGATCGAGAGGAGCGCGAGCTCCCGGCACTGCGCGTTGGCGTCGGCGTAGTGCACGAGGTACATGTACACCATCTTCTTGACCTCGACGCTGTTGACAATCACGTTCTTGACCACGTCGGCGAAGAAGAGCGAGACGTCTTCGCCCTTGCTGATCATGGCGAGGAGCGTCTTCATAGCCTGGAGCTTCTCCGAGACGCCGGCGCTGCCCGTCTTGTTGTCCAGGAGCTTCTTAATCCGCTCCATGTTGACGCTCTCTTCGAAGAAGTGGGCATCGCCGCTAATGCCACGGACCGCCATGCTGCTGCCTACTGCCTGCTGCCGTCCGCTTGCGAAATGACCTCAAAATCTTCGCTGGGCTCGTCTTATTGGTCAAATATCCGTCAATATATCTCGAACATCCTACCAAAAACACTTGATTTCTGTATGCACGGACGATAGCGCACCATTTCAGCATATTGGGTGCGCCTTTCTAGTATCCGGCAGTGTCCGGTTGGTGGATTAGAGCACCCGCTCATGACATTTGCGGCCTTTCTCGAGGCAACCGCGAGGATCGCCACAGCCATCTGCAGTGTACGACACCCCAGCGAGTCTGCGCAGCCCTTTGTGTACGGCTATCAACGATAACAAGCTGTCTACCTCCGACGGTGCCGCCCAGCTGCATCAAGTGCATGCGACTCCGCAGCGTCGTTCTCGCTGCCTGCATCACCAAGACGACCCCACTGCCGCTTCTGTGTTGTCCTTCTCAACCAATTCGTGTGTCATCCACGCATGCATAAATGTATATTTCGACTCGATTTAACTCTAGACCTTCTTGGGTTCGTCCAGCGGCTTTTCAAAGACAACGCGCGAGAGGTGGAGCTTCTCGATGCTAAAGCCGACTTCGCACCAATTGAGGTAGTACTTGTACTTGCGGTAGACCGTCGGCGGCAGCGCGTGGCGGTACGCGTCGAGGTTCTCGGCCCAGAGCCGCAGCGTCTCGGCGTAGTCGTGCGACCGCGTCTCGGTGAAGACGCGCTTGAACTTGTGCTCCATGAACGCTTCGTGGAGGAAATCCAAGTTGGGCACTTGCTGCCCGGGAAAAATGTGCGTCGTCACAAACGTCCCCAGCGGCACGGGCGTCCGGCTGCGCGCGACCGGGTTGTTGAACGCGTAGGCGTGGATGACCTGCAGAACGACGCGGCCGCCGGGCTTGAGCGCGCGGTAGCACGCGGCCGCAAAGTCGCCATAGTGGGCTGCGGGCACGGCTTCAATCATCTCGACGGCGGTCACCGCTGCGTACTCGTGCGTGGCCGGAATGTCGCGGTAGTCGCGCAGCGAGAAGAGCGCGTCGCCGTAGCGCTCGCGCGCCGCCGCGACCATGGACCGGCAGTTGCAAAGCCCCGTGGCTTCGATGCCCGCTTCCCGCGCGGCATGGACAAGGAAGCCCCAGCCGGACCCAATGTCGAGGAGCTTTTCGCCTGGCTGCGCCTGCGTGAGCGAGAGCATGCGCTGGACCTTGTGGCGCTGGGCGTCGCGGAGCGAGGCGTTGGGCGGGAGGCCGTCCCAGCTCGCGCTCGTGTACACCATGTCGTCGCCGAGGAAGGCCTTGAAGAGCGCGTTGCCGTCGTCGTAGTGCTCGGCGATCGAGTTGGCCGACTGCGTCCGGTCGAGGTCGCCAAACTTGAGGAGAAAGGCCGCGCGGCGCAAGTAGAACGTCGGCGAGAGGTACGGCAGAAGCAAGACGACGAGGTTGTCCTGGAGGTTCGCGGCCGCGAGCGTGTGGAGCACGTCCGTGAGCGTCGCGTTCGGACCGAGCTCCCACTCGTTGCGTACAAAGGCCTCGCCAAGACCGAGCTCGCCGTTCGCGAGGAGCGCTTCAAAAAACGCGAACGGCTGCTTCAAAACAACGACTTGCGCGGTCGGGTTCGCCGGCACCTCTTGCACGAGGAGGAGGCGGCCCGACGTCGCCGCGAGCACGGCAGCCTGGAGCACGTGCGTCACGAGCGCATCCCGTTTCGCGAGAAACGCCGGCGACCGAGAGAGGAAAGCCCATGCCGTGCCAACGCCAGCTTGCAGTAGCAGCAAGCCCGTAAGCAGCGGCCACGAGAAGAGCACTGGTTCCCACGGGTGCAGGAGCGCAATCACACCCACGATGATCGCATGCGCGTAAAACTCCCAGTTGGACGACGGCTCGAGAAAGCTAAAGCCGAGGTGCGTCGCCAAGAGACTGTGGCTCGATGCCAAAAGCGTCTCGGACGGCGCAGCAAGCAAGCTCTGCACGACGCTACTCGCCAGCGCGGCCTGCGTCGCAATCGCGTAGCCGCCGACCGCGTTGGCCGTGGACTGGCGCGCCGCCCAGAGGTACAAGACGTTCAGATACGTTGCGCTCGCCGTCACATACAGCGGCAGTGGCGACGCGACAGCAGCCGACGCAAGCGCCAAGTTGCCGTAGCTCAAGAGGCGCAGCGCGTCCGCAGGGGTCGTCGAGAAGATCGAAACGGCGAACGCCAGCACGGACGAGATGGCGAGCGAGACGTTAAAGTTGGTCGACGTGCCCGCGACAAGCGCCGCCAGCAGTAGCACGAGGTAGGCGAGGCCTGAGGCCGGGATGAGCGCGCCGTGGTACCGGTGGTGCATTGCGAGCAGCGGTCCGAGCGCGCCAAAGAGGAGGGATGACACGAGCATGTCGGCTTGGAAGAACGCGATGGCGACGGTCATAAACGCAAGGATGGGCGTAAACAGCATCGGCGAGAGGAGGCTGAGCTTGGGCTGCGCCTTGTACGCGTGCATGGCCATGCCGGCGGCAAAGAGCTTGGCGGCCTGCACATAGATCTGCCATACCGTGCGCCACGAGCCGGTCCGGATGGTGTGGCTCTTGTTGTAGTCGACCTTCCAGGACGCTGTCATGATGACAGCCTTGGTGTCGACCTCGCGGAGCGTCACGGTGATGCTCGACGTGCCCACGAGCTTGAACTCGTACTCGCCGACGGTCGGCTTGCCCGGCGGTGCGTTGAAGGGCGAGACGTGCATGATCTTGGGATGGACCGCAGGCGCCAGCACGTCGTTGGGCAGAACGCGCATCGCATACAGACAGCGCTCGTTCCACGGCGTGTTGTGCACTTCAACGAGCAGCGCCTGGAGCGTCCCGGCCTCGTCGTACGCAAAGTACGGCGTGAGCGGGTTGAAGCCGAGACCGAGGTACCGGAGGTTCACGATTGTCTCGATCTTGCCGGCGGGCCAGTAGTTGAGGCGCGATGCGAGCTCGCGGCGCACGCACGTGTCGATGGGCACGCGCACGTCGCCAAAGTGGTCGCGCCGGTGGAACGACGGCGGCGGGCAGCGCGTGTCAAACTTGTGCAAGTGCATGTCGTAGTCGATCGTGTACGCCTTGTCGGCAGGAAGGAGGCGCGCATGGTGGCTCGACCCGACTACGCTGGCGGCTGGGAGGCCCGAGAGCGTCGGAAACTCGACGGGAATGTCGTCGCGGCATAGCGCGCGGCGCGCCGCCAAGAGCCCCGAGACCGCGCCATCTTCGTGGAAGCCGTTGCGAAGCCACGCGCCGGCAAAGTAGACGCTCTTATGGCCCTGGAACGCTGCTTCTTGGAGCTGCCCTTCGTACGCCGACTGGTTCATCGTCGGGTGCGCGAGCGTCGTCTCAAAGAACGTGCCCTCGGGCGTTGTCGCCGGGTTCAAACTCAAAAACACGTTGTCGTTGGAAAGGTTCTGGAGGCGCGAGATCCAGTACGTGACCTGCGGACCGTCGGCCGGCGTCCCCGCGACGTTCCAGGACGACCAATCCTCCTTGAGCGTCGGCATGCCCGTGCTGCTCGTGTGGCACACGATGCGCGACGGGTTGGTCTCAAACTTGGCGAGCCAGTCGCGCGTGGTCGCTGGCGGCTGGAGCGCCGCGGCTTCGGGCGCACTGCACGTGAGGATGAGCGCGTCGTACGGAAGGCGCTCGCCCGACTCGAGCACGAGCTCCTTGGCGTCGTCGTCGATGCGGCTCGCCTTGGACGACGTGCGCACCTCCAAGTTGGGGCAGAGCGCCACGAGCTTTTGCACGTACGTCTCGGACCGGTTCGCCGGGGTTGTCCATGCGACGGTCTCGAGCGTCAGGAACATGTGATGGTGCATGAACTTGAGGAGCGGCTGGATCGGGAAGTCCATCGCGCCTTCATGGGACGTGCTCCAGACCGCTGAGATGAAGGGCACGAGCCACTTGTCGACGAAGCGCTGGTCGAGGCCAACCGCAAACTCGCGCGTCGTCGTCGTGCGTGGCGTCTCGTCTTGGAGAAACGCAAGGCCGCGCTTGGCGAACTCACCGTGCGCCGAGATGAACTGCCAGAGACGCGGCCGGAAGACGTTGCGGAGCGTCCAGGCCCACCGCCTTGGAAGGACCACGAAAAGTCCTTGTCAAAGACCGAGAACGACATGTCGGACGGCTCGACCTCGGCGCCAATGTCGGCAAAGAGCTTGTTCAAGTTGGGGTACGTGAGGTTGTTCATGACCATGAAGCCAATGTCCATGCGCTCGCCGGACGGCCCATCGATCGTGTAGGCGTGGCCGCCGAGGCGCGGCGCGGCCTCCACCAGGGTCACGCGGGAGTCTGAGTACTTGCAGATGGTGCGCGCTGCCGTGAGGCCCGTGACGCCCGAGCCGACGATCACAATTCGCTTCGGTAGCGCTGGGTCGACCATGGTGAAATCCAAAATGAGCTATGAGCTCGAGGATCAAGGATGTGTCCGTGGCGCACGCGATCCAGTGTGGAAAACTGCCGTGGGAAACGTACGTGGCACTTCAGAGGCTGTGGGACGACGTGGGAAACGTGATTTCCACGCGCCACCCACCACCAGAGATTGCGCTACGCGTCAAAATACACTGTAATACAAGAGGTTTCCCACCAGTAAATCCCGATCACAGCAATGACGTAGTTCCCGCGCGGAATCGACGCTCGCCATCGCAACGTCCGATTCCTCGACGTCTACAGAGGCTCCGAAGCTGCAGGAAAAGAGCTGGGAGTATACTAACTATGCGTAAACGGCTGGGTAGTTGACGAGCGAGGTGAGAGGGATCCTGGTGCGACGAGATCCCTGTGGTCGTGTCCTGGCCGCTATCAAGACCACGTGTTTGATTGGCCAATGCTGATGGAAATAGACCAATGAAACAGCCCTAAAGATATGAGTCGGGTTTGTCCCAAGTGGTGATTGGGAGAAACGATGGCCTGGAGAGAAATCCGTCGAAGTCCCGTGCGACCAGCTACTTGCTACTTGGCGCGATGATCGTCACGAACGCCAGCGAAGTCCACTTTTTCTCGGCGGCAGTTCCCCAGCCCAGAGCCACTGGCCGCCAGCGCGCACCCGCAGTAGCCGACAAGGATCGTTGCGTCCTTCTATGTGCATGCATTCTCCGCGCCACGGCTAGGACGCTGCTCTCGACGGCCTCCAGCCGCTCCACGATTAAGGAGTGTGGGTTGGCAGAGTGACGGTTGTTGCGGGGACGAAAAGGGCAAAGTGGACTTCATTAGCTTTCGTGCAGTGCCATCGCGTGTGGACAGCCATCCACAAGACGCCATGTGGGACGCCCAGATGGCGCCGGTCCACGTGAAACGAACACGAAGATGACACACGTAAACGTGGCGCCAGGAACGACCGATGTTGACGAGGGCCCGAGATGCCCGTGTCAGACCCCGTAGAGCGTGATATTGCAGTGTCGTTTAAGCGCTTGGCCTTTTGCGGTTGCTGCATTCGATCGTTTGCTGGCTTGGTCGCGGCGATTGCAGGCTACGAGTACATGTAGGCGGCCTCGCCAGTGCGTTTGGTGATGACAGGACGTGATGATGCTTCGCGTGATCATGGTTTTGAAGTAACTTTGGACTTCGCTGGAGGCGTCGACGAAGTCTATACATGGAGTGAGAAGTTGATGGCTTGACGGGACGATCATCCCTTGTGACACACTCGACGCGCAAACTATGGCCACCAAGTTCTCGGAAACCTGGGATGGACTCCCAGTGCTCCTTCAGAAAATCGCGGTTTTGAGCTTCTGGGCGCCTTCTCGTGGGACGAGAGCAACAACAATGTGCATACGTTGAAGCTGTACACGCAGTGTGCCGTCGGAGCTCTTGTCGGCCGCCTGTTTGAGGCCTCATCTCTGCAGACCACAGTGTGGTATGCAGAAACCGCGTGCCGGTAGTGCTGAAGTCATGAAGACACCTGCGAGGAGCAATGCACCCGAACGTCTAGCTGGTGCATTAACGCCAATGCGGGCACCCCACCCTACTCCCTTAACGGCCCAATGCGATATGCGGCCCTTGGTTGACTCGGTACACATTGGCCAAGACGTCGTTATATCATCATGTAGTCGTCGAGAGAGGCCACTTGAAGGTGCAGATGCTGCAGTCGCGAGGTGCGTTAAAACCTGATCAAGGACCGTACATCTTCAGCCGTCCCGACGAGCATGTCGCTAAAGGTCGGGCACTGGAGCGCGTCCGAGAAGACGTCGCAGAGCTCGCGCAATGACCGCGACGACCCGCGTACACATGGTCAAGCGAGAGGTGCGTCAGATGCAAGGGAATAGACTCACTGTCTCCAGTGGTGTTCTCCGACACGATCATGGCGCCATCGCCAACGACGCCACGACCGTATCAGAGAACGCTACTGGGGACAGCGCGTTGGTGCAAGGCCGTAGACACTCGCCGCCTGGGCAACGTCGCAAGTCGAGCGAGCCCATGATCTCGAGGTCGCGCAGCCCGTTGCTGGTGCGCAGGGACCAGGCGGCCACAAGCCTGCGGGTGGGAGCTCAAAATGACGCAAATCGACACAATGAGCTGATGAAGCGCGAGATGGCCGTGACGACCGTAGCGGGCACTCGGTGGCCATCGGGGAGAATAGCTTGAAGACGTGCAAGCTGTTGACGCGACGAGAGAGCTCGGACGCACCAAGCATCCAGATAGTAGCTGCCTCGTTGATGGCAATGCGGCCTGAGATCTCAATCACGTGATATGGAGAGACGGCCACCAAGTGCGGCAGCATCACGCCAAGCACGTCGCCAAGGAGCACCGTAGTTGTTTGGACGAGGCAGCTGGCGGATCCAGCGTCGCCGGCACGCGAAGGAGTACTTACCGGAAGTGCGCAATCTGGTGCATCGACGTGAAGCACCTTTTGCGCGCGATACATGTACCGGCCGGCGAGAAGAAGCCGAGCAGCGGCAGCACCTCAACCCCGCGAGTTATGTCCTGCGCATCGAGGCGCGGGTGGTCGATCGGCAGGATCGCCGCAACCTGGTTGTCGCCGATCACGTTGGCCATTGTGAGGAGGCTCGGGTAGCCAATCGGGAGGATGTCGACCGGAAAGGCGCGGATCGCTGCAAAGAGGTCGCTTGGGTGACGCACAAAGCTAAAGATGACGCGAAGCAAACGGGTCTCGAAGACGCTGCGCGGTGGCCCACGCGGGCGCTGCATCGGAGGCGCGTCGATGATGCTGATGCTGGGGTGCGATCAAAAGTAAAAGTGTGTCATCGCAAGACGAGCACCTTTCGACGCAGATCATTCTGATGACCGAGCGCGCGAGCAACACAAACCCGGAGTAAGCTTCGCTTTAATCATGCCGCGAGCGTAGGCGCCAAGATTTCGTGTGTTAGGCGCACAACCGGGCACAGCTTGTGCCACCTATTTCCAGTGTCTTACCATAGCCACACTGATTGTTGTTTGGTCTAGATATGGTCGGCTACTACAATCCCACCGATGGCACATCATGGATTGCACTGGTCGCATCTGCCGCCGCGACTACACACTAGAAGAAAGGCAGGCTGCGAGCAGCTCCTGTGAGGCAGGCTCCCCGTCGCAACGTACTCGGCGCAGCGTGTGCGTGTTTGTTGCAGAGGGATTGATGCTAGACTGGCAAACAAGCGAGTACAACTACCGGTGGTACATTTGAAAACCGGTACTGGTAGATCGCAGGAGCTTGAAGTTGGAGGTCGGACTAGCACTTGATACGGATTGGTCAAAATCCATTCTATTTTTCAATTGGCAGAAATAGCACCTGATTGGAGCCCCACCTGCGAGCTCAGCTCATGGAGGGCCCATTGGTTCAATCAAGGCAAGTCGAAACTCGATATGCAAGGCCACCACGGCCGCTGGTGCCCCGCGAGGTGCGCCGCTGCAACCTCGCTTCCATGTGCATCACGATGCCACTGTAAGCATGTGGCACACAACCACAATGCGTTGCACGAGGACCCGCCACTGAGACGTCGCTGCTACGGTGACCCTGCCACGGTCGCCTCGGCCGCTGAGTTCTGGCTGCCCAAGACTATCTTACCCTAAGTACATAGAGTGCCTACTACGTGATACTCTGCGCAGGCCCACGAGCACTGACCCAACAAAGCCCAACAAGCGTCACGACTCTTGTCCACGTTCAAGATGGCCTACACCATCCACCGAGCCGCGTTCCAATACCTCTGACCCGCGGTACGCGCTTGCGTCTATTAGCTCAACGACTGGCATGTCCGAAACGATCACGCCTTCCACTACCACCGCCAAGTGCCCAGACACTAAACACCCGATTATCTCCGGCTTCTAGCGCAGCACGAGTGGCTGCGCCGACCTCTTGTCCTGTGGAACACGCTCCAGCCGCCGTCAGCTTAGACCGTGTCCTTCAACCGATTGTGTAAATGGAATCAATGATGTTGTTATTCATCTTGGATGTTACGCTACGTGATACCTTCCTGGTGGCATTTTAAGAATACGTGTCGGTAGTGAAGCGGTGCTAGCGCTGCATGTCGTTGTCGGTCTTGAAGCGCTCGGCCGCATTCTTGGCCTCTGCTTCCATGTGCTGGCTCGCCGCCAATGCAGCCTTCATGTCTTTCATGGCTTGAATCAACGCATCGCGCTCCTGGACTGCAGCATCGCGCTCCTTCACGACATCGTCATATTTGCGCTTCAGTGCATTGTGCGCAGATCCCGCAGCGCCCATCGGGTGCGTCTTGTGCGAAAAATTGTCTTTGACGACAAAGTTGTCGCAGTCGCGGGCGACGGCGTTGAAGGCCTCGCGCAGCTCGGCCGCCGAGACGTTCTGCTTGTCGACGTGGCGCAGCAGCACGCACCAGAGAGAGCCGTCGAGCACGGTCACGCTGGCCGACGATGTGACGTCGGTGACCTTGATCGACACGTCCGAGACCACGTACGTGTGCAAGAACTCTGCTGAGCCGGAGAGGTCCGCCACCTTGTCGGCCGAGTAGCGGTCGGGCGACGCGACCGTCGCAACCACCACGAGGCCGCCGTCAGCCGAGATGGCGCGACCGAGCTCGTCTTCGGGGGCTGCGGTAAGAGGCCCCTTGACACCGTGGAGCGCCGAGCTCAAGGCGGCTTGGGCGGCCACCGTCGTCGCCGCGGAAGGCAAGCTGTTCATCGCCTTCTCGATGCGCGCGATCGTCATGAGCACGTAGATGAGGAAGGTGCTGCGGTTCATGGCGCCGTAGCCATAGGACGCCTTCATGCTCTCGGCGTCGAAGCGCGGGCGCTTGCCTGTCTGCGTGGCGAACGTCGAGAACATACCGCTTGCTGTAACCGAGTGTAGAAACCGAATATGACAGCATTTTCAATTGCTCGCGGGGTGTATTATTATTCAAAGTGTGTGACCGGCGCTTTTAAATAGACGGCGCTGATTGGCTTCTGCACTACCAGACACCGAATAACGGGATGTGATTGGTCCTTTGCTGTGGCCGATTCGATATTTTTATTCAAAATAATAAATACAAAAGCCGTGCTGCCTTTCTGCGGGTTGCAGTCGCTCGTGTTGCAGTCGTCCGCGCCGATCTGCCGCCACGGACGAGGCTGCCACGCACTCAATAGTCTCTCTGCATACCACCTGTATTCCACTTACATGATTGACCTACTCGCTAATGATGCGACGGCTTCTTGGGCAATGGCACCTGCAGCTTTGTCTCAAGCGGCAACAAGCCATGCTCGCCCGCGATGCTGAGCCACGCGAGGCTGTAGTAGGCGTGCATGACGTCGGGATACGTGTCTGGAAACTTGGCAATCCCGCCGCCGTGCGGAAACTGGCACGAGAGCACAAACTTGCGGACGCTGGGAATGTCCACGAGGTTGTGGAACCCGAGCATCTGCAGCGTCGCGCCGTCCCAGAACGCGTAGCAACTATCCGGCGTCTTGTTGGTACGGCCCTGGAAGCCCTCTTGCTGCCGAGAGACGAGCCAGCGGAGTAGCTTCTGCATCGAAAAGTCCACCTGCGCGAGACGGCCGCAGAGCGCTAGTGACGCCATGCCACAATAGGTCACGCCGCCCTGCGCTTCAAGGCCCGGGTTCATGCCAAGGCCGCCCTCGTACGTCTAGCAAGGGTGAGGATTCCTATCAAGAGCACGCAACGCACCGCACACGCATTGACGTAGCGCACGACGCCGTCGCGGTCGACGCCCGACCAGTCGTTGAGCATGTGCGAGATGGCGCAGGCGCAAAAGACAAAGCGCAGATCTTCCTCGGTGCCGAGGGAGCTCGCCGAGAACCTAGCCACCACTGGTAAAACAAATATGAATGGAAGATCGCCTCGTACCCGCCCGTCGCTGGGTTTTGCAGATGGCGAAGGGACGCGATGACGGCTTGCTTGTTGACGCGGCTCAAGTTGTCGCCAAGCGTCCGGAGAATCGCTATCGACGCATACGTCGAGGCGATGTGGGCCACGTCGTACGTGCTGCTCTCGTAGTCCTTGGGCCGTTGGCCAAACACATTGCCCATCCACGGCGAGCCGCGAAAGCCGCAGTCGGACACGTTGATGCTGCGGTCGCGGCGATCGGGGTGAACCTGCAGCGAGTAGACCCAGTCGATGAGCTCCTTCTTGTCGACGCGGTCGAGCTCGCCGAGGATCGCGAGGCCATGTATGCAGAAGAAGAGGAGCACGACGCGGTGGTGGTCCTGGCCCGCGTACGGCTCTGGCAGCTTGCGCAGGTGCCGGAGGAAGAAGAGCACATGCGCCTCCCGATCCATGCTGCTGCTGGCTACGTCCAATTCGGATTTTTCACCCACTTCACCTTTTATTGCACGCAGTTTCTCACATGTGTGAAAACACACCATTTCACCGCATTTTATAGTGTTATAATTCGAGAAGTCGGTCCAGTACGAGAGCGTATACGTCGCGCGTGCATCAGTACGACCTCAAGTCTAGCGATGCAAAGGATTTTGCTGCATCTGGCTGTGGTGAGGATAGCCGTGTCGCGACAAGGACTGGAATGTCGATGCCTCGGCATTCCACACTAAATCCGCAGTAGAATATAGTGTAAATTGTAGCGGCGTGGGATTGGGCAATATTCCAGAAATGTCGGTGTGTGATTGGGCAGCGGGCGAAATGAAATAAATGGCGAGACGAATCCATTGGCCAAGCGCACAATAAGATCACATCGAGCCATGGCCAAGGACGAAGGGAAGCTGCACGAGCGGGAAAGCAAGGAAGTCGCGGTCCTCAACGAGCGCATTGAGCTCGAGACGCCGGCGCGCGGCTCGCAGATGGACGACGTCGAGTCCTTCGACGTGCTGCCGCTCTCCATGTCGACCAAGAACGGCCTCAAGCGCTGCAAGTTCACCAAGCCCACCAAAATTCAGATTGGCGCGATCCCGCACGCGCTCGCCGGGTACGCTGCCGATCGCGCGCCCTAGCACGGTCTCAATCGCATGTCTGTGTAGGCGCGACATCCTCGCCGCGGCCAAGACGGGTTCCGGCAAGACGCTTGGTACGTTCTGACTGCATGCGCGCGACGATGGACTCACGTGCGTCTTCGTAGCCTTCCTGATCCCGCTCATCGAGAAGCTCTATCGTCTGCGCTGGGACGTGGAAGATGGTCTTGGCGGCCTCGTCATCTCGCCGACGCGCGAGCTCGCGCTCCAGATTTTCGAGGTGCTCCGCGGCTTTGCCAAGACGCACACGTTCTCGGCGGGTCTCGTCATTGGCGGCAAAAACTTCCAGGAAGAGCAGTACCGCATCATCAAGATGAACATTCTCATTGCGACGCCCGGTCGTCTCCTGCAGCACATGGAACAGACGCCGAACTTTGACCTCTCCAACCTCCAGGTGCGTCTCCACCACCGTGTCTGCGTGGACTCAATGCATGGTAGATGCTCGTCTTGGACGAAGCCGATCGCATTCTCGATATGGGCTTCTCGACGCAGCTCGCGAGCATCATCGGGTACCTCCGCCGTCGCGCCAGACGATGCTCTTCTCGGCGACGCAGACCAAGTCGATCAAGGACCTCGCGCGCCTGAGTTTGAACGAGCCCGAGTACGTGGCGGTCCACGAAAAGTCGACGACCGCGACGCCGAGCGGCCTCACGCAAAACTACCTCGTGTGCGAAGTGGGCCAGAAGCTCGACGTGCTCTTCGCCTTTATCAAGTCGCACCTCAAGCAAAAGACGATTGTGTTTGCGTCGACGTGTCGCCAAGTGCGCTTCATCCACGAAGTGCTTTGCAAGATGCAGCCCGGCGTGCCGCTCATGGCGCTCCACGGCAAGTACAAGCAAGGCAAGCGCGTCGATGTCTACTACAACTTTTTAAACAAGCCGGCCGCGGTCATGTTTGCGACCGATGTTGCCGCCCGCGGTCTTGACTTCCCCAACGTCGACTGGGTCGTGCAGCTCGACGCGCCCGAAGACGTCGCCAACTACATCCATCGCGTCGGTCGTACCGCCCGCTACAACAAGAACGGCCGCGCGCTCATGCAGCTGCTGCCGTCGGAAGAAGAAGGTCTCCTCAAGGGCCTCAACGAAGCCAAGATCCCGATCGCCAAGATCAAGGTCAACCCGCAAAAGACCGCGAGCACGCAGGGCAAGGTCGCGTCGATCGTCGCCGCCGACAAGGACCTCAAGCTCATGGCGCAGAAGGCGTTCATGTCGTACGTCCGGTCGGTCGTCTTGCAGCCGGCCAAGGACATTTCAACGCCGAGGCCATGGACATGCAGGCGCTCGCCGCGTCGTACGGTCTTCCCCACGCGCCGCGCATGCCCTTCCTCAAGGACGCGGTCCAGACGCGCGAAGCCAACCGCGAAAAGAAGAACGTCAACCGCAAGCTCCAGGCGCTCAAGGACAAGATCAAGGCCGAGAAGCTCCTCAAGCGTCTTGGTGGTGCCAAGCCGCCGACCAAGGCCAACAGCGACGACGACGAGAGTGATGATGAGGACGATGATGACGACGACGCCAGTGACGACGAGTTGCTGGTCGTCAAGCAGCGCCACGACTGGTCCGGCAAGAGCGGTGACAAGGGCGAAGACGAGGATCAGGACGACGAACAACTGCCCGATTACGAGACGACCAAGGCCGCGCTTAAGAAGAAGCAGAAGAAGATCCGCGTTGGCGCGGCCGCGCTCAACAAGGTGGTCTTCGACGACGAAGGCAACTCGATGACGCCGTTCGAGCGCTTCTCCAAGGCGTCGGCGGTGGCGACAAAGGAGCTCTACGAGAACGTCGAGGCCAAGGCCGAGGCCTTTACGCAACAGGTCGCGGCCCGCCTCCAGCTCAAGGACGCGGAGGATCGGCAGCTCGAGAAGGACCGTGTCCGCGCTAAGCACGCCAAGCGCCGCATGAAGCTCAAGGGCGAGCGCGACGACGGCAGCGACGACGAGGACGACTACGACGGCCCGCGTCTCGCCGGCGCCAGCAGCGATGAAAGCATGAGCGGCAGCAACGGCAGCGACGAAGAGAACGAGGAGAGCGACGCGGGCGAATTGGAAGATCAGGAAGCTCTCGCGCTGCAGATGATGGCGCGCAAGAAGCGGCGCCTGGCATAAACGTAAACTTTAGACTAAGCTTATACACTTTGATTCATCTGGACACTTGTCGTCGAGACTTACTCAGCGCCGCTGTTCTTGTGTAGCAAGCTACACGTACAGTATTGCGTGCGGCTACACACCACACCCAAAGTTATTTCACTTTGCACAAGCCGTCCGCGCAGGAGCGACACCTCTTGACGACACTACTACTACTAGTACGTCAAGGGTGGCGCGCGATGCGAGCTCCAAGTAGCGATCGATGGTCGCTCAGTGCAGAGACCAACGACGTGAGGCGACATGGATCTCAATGAAGCTGTGGCATCCCCTACGCTGGACAAATGGCGTCTTGCTGGTACACAACGGTACGCCGCGATGACGTGGCATCAAACATATCGAGAAACTAGATGAACTTGTGTCCTCGAACTTGGTCATCGAGATCGCTCGGTCTTGCGCTCTCCCACTTCTTCATAGTGGCCTTTGGTGTGGACCAAAGGCTTTGTTCTTCTTATGCAAACTGTGTTCAGCGATGAGAAGGTACAGACAAGCTGTCGGTCTCGTCTATCCTTCTACTATTGCACAGTTTGCTAGAAGTGTGTGTAGTAAGCCCAATACACAACGGCCTGCTTCATGGTTCGCGGTTGTTTGTGTTTGCCCCACGGACGCTATTGCACCATGCAAGGGCGGTCGAGATTGCCGGTTCTGCCTCACTGGGTACAGCTTTTTCCCTGCACAAGGTCTTATCAACGGGTCCTCGTCGCCTAGAAAGACAACATGCAGCAGCGTGCGGGCTTGGAGTAGAATGAGAGTGGTGATTAAACTTGCAAGTGCGAAAAGAGCACAGAGAGCAGGGTCTCTGATCGATGTACAGATATTTCGTTCTATCCTCTGTCACTGTAGTGCGGTGTCCATCAAGTGACGCTCAAGACCGTGCGCATCTTCCGCTCTTCGGCTGCTCCAAACGGGTCCATCGCTTCTGCGCCAACCGTAGCCATGAATCTTGGCTGCCGTCTCGGCCACCAAGCGCCACCCGGTACTGCAGCCACGAGCCGTCCGTCAACAAAGGTTAGCACTTGCTAGTACCGGTACCTCCCTGTGGGATTTGTAGCACTTCGTTTTCTACGACACGCGAGAGGAGACATATACCTGCGGAGCACGGCTCACGGATCAGATCGCTGCTTCAAGCTTTGGTGAAAGGTGTGCCGTGGGGACACTCGTGGAGTTGTTGAAGTGGGTCCATGCAGTAGAAGAACGATATGCTAGCTGAAGGAAATGTTGTGAGACGACTTTCTGTTGTACCGGTAAGCGAGATGCCATTCGAGCGAAGGAGAGCGGCGGCGCGGGCCCGGCGGTGGTAGAGTAGAGTGCGGCGCCGCAACCCTAACCGCTCCTCTTGGAACTCTGATAATTTCACCCTCTACGTCCGGTGTACACATCGTGGGTGTGCTACGTAGCCTTTGTGGGCTCCTTGTTTGGTCAATCACTTTTGCCGTTGGGACTTGAACTTGAGGCTGTTGTCGCAAGCGAAGCACCCTCTTTTCACCGCTATCTTTCATCACTGTTCCCTCCTGCATGGTCTTCATAGCGTGTTGTGAGAGGGGCGTGGGTGATAGCGATGGGTGCGTTGACGATGTACCGGATCCGTGTCTTCTTCTGCGCTGGCAACGCGACCTCGCACCCAGCACGGCAAATCGTCAAATCTGACTACGCACCAAAACAGCTGCAGCGCGCCGGGACATAGAAGAACAGACGTGTAAGTCATGGGCGCTGGGCGGGTGAGCCAGCTGCTACTGCGCTTTCTTTTGCGCCCACGCCGCACGATCCAACAAGCGCCGCTAGACGCGTAAAGAAAGCAGGTTCCTCCGTCCAGCGATGCTGCCATTGCGCATCTCGACGGCGTTTCGCTCGAGAACGACAGAAGTCGCACTTTTCGCGTCCTTGTGCCGCGTCATCCCACCATGTATTGTCTGAGCACCTGAGGATGTGCGGCTGGGAACGCTCATCAGTAATACGTGGCGCCACCACCGCCCGGATGATCGAGGGTCGGGTGCCTTCTCAGAACTGAGATGGGACATTGGGCAAAACGCGCCATAGAAAACGGTTTTCTGTGGGTTTTTTGTGGGCAAAACCTCATCGTTCGGGTTTTTCTGGGATTTAAGTGTATCTCCCATGCGACACGTCTGTGCATTCAACAAGTTACCATACACACCGCCCCAACACCTGGTGGCATGGCGCACGCCTTCTTTTGCAGGCCACCCATCGTCACCGACGATCTCGCTTCACCTTCTCAGCTCCCCACTGCTTTTCGCTCGAGCGTGTGCTCATTTTCCAATTGCCTTCGCCATTAGCAAGCAGCAGCATGCAGAAGGACAATCAGCTCGACAAGCTCGACCTTGAAGAGCGAGTCTCATACATTCAAAGCAACACGCCGGCAGGCAAGGACGCCGGCGGCGACTATGACGAGGTCAAGACGCCCGGCGAGCTCGAAGACGGCGCGCTCGTCGACGGTGGTGCGCTCAACCTCTACTCGCGCGAGGCGTTTGCGCTCTTTGCCCAGTACGGTGCGATCGGTATCATCTACGGCATGATCCCGTCGCTCGCGTACCCGATCTTCAACAACTACCTCAACATGGAGGGGTACCAAGTCGCGTCCTACGGCGTCCTCGTGACCACGGGCTGGTCGTTCAAGGTCTTCTTTGGCATGCTCTCGGACTGCGTCCCGATCTTTGGCTACCGCCGCAAGTCGTGGATGATCATCGGCTGGACCATCACGATGGTGTGCCTTGCCATCATGTCGGTTGTGTCGCTCGGCGATCCGTACTGCGACGCGCGCCAGATCGACTGCGCGGAAGTCTCGCTCGAGGCGGCGACGCCGGACCAGCGCAAGTGGTTCAACGAAGACGCGCCGGGCAAGGGCTCGCTCTTCATCATCCTCTCGATGCTCGTCTCGGTCGGCTACGTCGTCGCCGACTGCGCCGCCGACGCCATGGTCGTCGAGTACGCCCAGCGCGAGCCGCTTGCGATCCGCGGCCGCATCCAAACCGCGATCTACACGGTGCGCACGCTCACGGGCATCCTCGCGCAGGTCGTCGTCGCCTTCTTCCTCAACGGCAAAGAGTACGGTGGCACCTTCGACTGGGCCGTCGGCCCCAACATCCCGTACGCCATCTGCCTCGTGCCGTGCGTCCTCGTCGTCCTCTCGACCATTTTCATCCAAGTGGAACCCAAGACGCGCAAGATGCCCTTTGGCGAGTGGATCTCTCAGTTCTGGGAGCTCCTCCAGAAGCGCGTCATGTGGCAGATCTGCGCGTACCGCTTCATTGCCAACACGTTCCAAGCCATCTCTGCGACGCCGGCGTCGCCCATCGCGATGAAGTGGGCCAAGGTCGAGCCGCTTAACGACTCGCTCTCGGGTGTCGTGGGCAGCTTGATTTTCTCCGGTATCCTCATCATTGTCGGCAAGCACGGTCTCAACTGGAACTGGCGCTACACGATCGCGGCCGGTACCCTCGGTGTCATCGCCGTCGACTCGTTCGTGACGTTCATGACGATCTGGGACGTGCTCCGCAACCAGTGGTTCTACACGGGTGTCGCGCTCGCCGACAACGTGCCGGGTGGTATCCGCTTCATCATCTCGACGTACTGCGCGGTTGAGATCGCCGATGTCGGCAACGAGGGCGCGACGTACGGCCTGGTGACGACGATCAACAACCTCGCGTCGCCGTTCGCGTCCGTCATCTACAAGTACATTGACTCGTACTTTGATGTGTCGCAGAAGGACATCATGAAGGACACGGACCACGTGCGCTGGGAAGTGTCGTATTGCTTCTTCATCTCGTACGGCTGCAAGATCTTCTCGCTGTTCTGGCTCTTCATGCTGCCGCCCCAGAAGGCGCAGATGCAGGAGCTCAAGAAGCGCGGTGGCAAGAGCCAGCTCGCGGGTGCCCTCTTGATCATTCTCTTCTTTGGTGCGATCAGCTTCTCGCTCACGAGCAACATCATGGCCATCTTCCCGTCGACCAAGTGCTACCGCATTGCCGGCGGCAAGGGTACGGTCAACGGCGTGTGCCCCAAGTAAGCTTGTTGCCAGTTGTGATTTAATCGAATATGTTGTGTGCTTTTTAATCCATTTGTCTATCGGAGATCCCAGCATCGAAGCCCTGGGCATTCCATGGCTGGCTGCATTGTGATCGCTCCAACCAAGGGTTCGCACCCCTAGCCCCAACTCAACCTCCCAAATGCTACAGTAGTAGGATCAGAGAAAAAGCGCTGGGCTCATCAACGAAAAGAAATGTCATATTTGCCATCGACACAAGTCGTCCTACACATCGAGTTACATGTACTAACGAACGGAGGGGCTGGACTTGTACCGTGACGTGGCAGTGTGAGGATGGTTGGCGAGATACACCGCTGTGAGGTCCTCCAAGCAACCGAGCTCATTCGAGACGTCGGACGTCGTTTTGCAAGTCGTGAACGTGGTCCAGGAAATTCCATTGTTTGATCCGCTTGGCGTGGTCGACATATTGAAAAAGCACAGCCCCTCGTGCAGACGGTCCATCCATCACTCGGACAGCGGCTACGAGCCCGCTTGGGATTGGTCAAAAACAAATTGCGCGGATTGGTTAACGCCATTGGATTTCGTTTGGATGCGCCAATGGCCTTGCAGCATGTGTCTAGACGCAATGGTCTCTTAGTATTTGTATGCAAAAGGGTCTTTTGCATCGATACAAAGCGCGACCACGTGGCAACGATGCCACTTTGCATCTCGCTCGCTGCCATGGCCGCTTCATCGTCGATCGCGCACCTGGCGACGTGCGTCGGGGGCATCTACGTGTGCTACCTCTCGTACGGTATCTTCCAGGAAAAGATGTGCGCTATCCTCACGCTCCATTGCCGGCCTCCTGATTATGCATGCTAGCTTCAAATACCGCGATGCGGACGGCGCCAAGTTCACGGCCACGCTCTTCCTCCTCTGCGTGCAATGCATCATGAACTCGGCCGTGGCCTACGCCGGTATCGCGTCGTCTTGCATCTACCTCGTCACCTCACCTGCTTGGTAGCCACGTTTGTCTGGAAGCCGACGACCAAGTCGGTGCCGTTGCAGCCGTTTGCATTCTCGGCCTTTGCGTACCTCGGCGCGATGCTCTGCAGCAACGAGGCGCTCAAGCACGTGAGCTACCCGACGCAAGCCCTCGGCAAGTCGTGCAAGATGATTCCGGTCATGCTCATGGGCGTCCTCATCGGCCGCAAGAAGTATGCGCTCAAGGAGTACCTCTCCGTGGGCCTCATCACGCTTGGGATTGTTGTCTTCCAGCTCGGGAAGGGCTCGTCCAAATCTGGCCAAGAGAACAGCTACTACGGCCTCGGCCTTCTGTTTGTGAGCCTCGCGCTCGACGGCGTCACGGGCCCCAACCAGGAGGCGCTCTCGACCACGTACAAGCCGTCCGTGCACCAGCAAATGCTCAACACCAACGTGTGGGCTGTCATCTACACGGCGATTGGGTGCGCGCTTGTCTCCACCAATGCATCTCGCTCATCCTGCCTTAATTAGATGCGTGGTGACGGGCCAGGGCGCGGAAGGCTTTGCGTTTTGCATGCGGAATCCCGAAATCTACTCGGCGCTCTTCCTCTTCTCGGTCTGCAGCGCGCTCGGCCAGAACTTTATCTACTTTACCATCCAGCGCTTCTCGGCCCTCACGTGCACGACCATCACGACGACCCGCAAGTTCTTTACGATCCTCGCCTCGGTGCTCATCTTTGGGAACGCGCTCTCGCCGCAGTCGTGGGCTGGCGTCGCGATCGTGTTTGCCGGCCTCGGCATCGAACTCACGACCAAGTACGCCAAGTACGCGGCCAAGGCCAAGCGCATCGAGTAAAAACGCTTTAAATACACATACAACACTGCTTACCTCGATCGCCTGCAAAGGCAGGGTTGGCCGAGCAGCTGAGGCGACAGACAAGTTGCAGCGAGCCCACTCCGCTAGAGGCGCACCAGGGACGAGGTCGTCGGAGGAAGGGATGATGATATCTTGCAAAGATCGCGGTGTCAACGGTCGCGTGGTTCGGAACAAGACGTTGCAACCGACGGCTCGCAGCCACTAGCATTTCGGAAACGACCATGAGCAGCTACCTCAAGGAAGGCGTGCTCACGAAGCGCAGCGCCAGCGCCAAGCTCATCACCAACTGGCGCAAGCGGTACTTTGCCCTGACGCCGACCGAGCTGCTCTACTTTGAGAAGAAGGACGATGCGGAGCCCGGTCGGCGGACGCCGCTCGGACCGGACGCGTCTGTCTCGCGCACCAACGACCGCGGCTACAAGCTCTGCTTTGTGGTCAAGTCGACCTCGACGGCCGAGCCGTTCTACATCCAGGCCGCGTCCGAGGTACGCGACGAGGATGATCATAAGACATGCATGCACCAGCGCGATGTAGGACGAGCTCAACGAATGGGTCGATGCAATTGGCAAGGTCGTCGGCAAGATCGAGGACCTCGCCAAGGACGGCGGTGCCACGGAGCCCGAGGCTGCCAAGGTGGATGAAGTCGGCAAGGAAGACGTCGTCGATGCGGAGACCGAGGGCGGCGGCGAGGTCGACGCGCCGACAGCGTCCGGCGATGCCACAGGTAGTAGTACGCATGCAGCGACATCCGTGTTGCTATCCTTTGTCGCCACCTCTGTAGATGGCACGCCGTCGATGAACGAAGGTAGCGAGTGAAGACGACCCGTCGCTTTGAACCCTACCCACCACCCGACGCTACATATTCATATCTAATTGTCAAATCCAAGACGATGCAGGAATGGCAAAGCAAGCTGCTCTTTGTGTTCGTGCCACGCCTAGTTCTTCTTGGCCTTGGGCGACTCCTTCTTTGGCTCCTCGACCTCTTCGTCGCGGGCCTTGGTGCGCACGAGCTCGTCAAACATCGCGATCGTGTCGGCGACGGTCTTGGTGCCATGGATCTTGTTGTCGCGCGTGCGGATGTTGACCGCGTGCTTGGCCTCTTCGTCCGCACCGACGACGCAGATAAAGTTGTAGTGCGCCATCTGGCCCTCGCGGATCTTCTTGTTGAGCGTCTTGCTCGAGTCGTCGACGTCGACGTGGTACCCGGCGCAGAAGAGCTCTTCCTTGACCGCATGCGCATAGTCGTTGTACGCGGCGCCGACCGAGACCACAAGCACTTGGCGCGGGCTCAGCCAGAACGGGAACTTGGCGGCAAAGTGCTCGGTAATGATGGCGCAGAAGCGCTCGATCGAGCCGTAAATCGCGCGGTGGATCATGACCGGGCGCGCAAACTGCTCCGAGCCGTCCGCGCCGCCGTCGCTGCGGTACTTGAGGTCGAACCGGATCGGCAGCTGAAAGTCGAGCTGCACGGTCGCGCACTGGTGCTTGCGGTTAAGCGCGTCCGTGACCGTAATGTCGATCTTGGGGCCGTAGAAGGCGCCATCACCAGGGTCCACGCTCCAGTTGCCGGCGCCAATGAACGTGTCCATGGCCGATGCGAGCGCGCCCTCGGCCTTCTCCCAGAGCTCGGCCGAGCCAAGCGCCTTCTCGGGCTTGGTCGAGAGCTTGAGCTTGCACGAGAGGCCAAAGACGTCGTACACGTCCTTCATAAAGTTGAGGTACGACAGCACTTCGGTCGTGATCTGGTCTTCGCGGCAAAAGATGTGCGCGTCGTCCTGCTGGAAGCGGCGCACGCGCGTGAGGCCCGTGAGTGCGCCCGAGAGCTCGTTGCGGTGGAGCACGCCGCAGTCGGCGAGGCGCAGCGGCAGCTCGCGGTACGAGCGCATGCGGTGGTCGAACATGAGGCAGTGCGACGGGCAGTTCATCGGCTTCATCGCAAACTCCTGGCCTTCGACGTTGAAGACAAACATGTTGTCTTTGTAGTGCTGCGCATGGCCCGACGTGTGCCAGAGGTCCATGTTGAAGACGTTGGGCGTGATGACCTCGTGGTAGCCGCGCTTGCGGTACTCGGACCGGATGTACTCGAGGAGCTTCATGTAGATGCGCGCGCCGTGCGGCAGCCAGAAGCAGCAGCCCGGCGAGAGCTGGTGGAAAAAGTAGAGCTCTTCTTGGAGACCGAGCTTGCGATGGTCGCGCTTGGCCGCTTCTTCCTGGAAGTGCTTCCACTCCTTCATCTGCTTGGTGTCCGGGAAACTGATGCCGTAGACGCGCTGGAGCGTATCGTTGGTCGTCTTGCCGAGCCAGTAGGTGCTCGACGTGCGCGTGACCGCAAACGCCTTGATCTTGCCCGTGTGCGGCACGTGCGGGCCGCGGCAGAGATCGATGAGCGGGCCGCAGCGGTACGCCGTCGTGCGGCCGCCGTCCGGGATCTTGGTCGAGATGATCTGCGTCTTGAAGACGTTGTCCGCAAACATCTCAAGCGCCTCTTCCTTGGTCAAGACGATGCGCTCAAAGGCCTGCTTCTCCTTGACGACGGCGGTCGCACGCTTCTCAATGTCCTTGAGCTCGGCTTCCGCGATCGTGCTATCGGAAGGGATGAGATATATAAGAGGAAGGGTATCATCTTTAACGTACTTTTCGCCCATGTACGAGTCGTAGTAGAAACCACCCTCGACCGGGGGGCCGATCGTCAAGTGGCACCCCTTCATGAGCTCGAGGCCCTCGCCGAGGATGTGCGCGCTCGAGTGCCAAAAGACCATGCGGCCTTCCTGGTCCTCAAACTTGAGGAGCTGGAGCTTGCAGTCGCCAATCAACGGGCGAAAGACATCCCAGAGCTCTTCCTTCATGTCGCCACCCGAGCAGCAGCACGAGTCGGCACCCTGGCTCTCGTTGCCATCAACATCGGCAGCCGTGACCTTGAGCGGGTCATTGGGGCTGCCAGCGTACTTGACCTTGGCAACCACAACCGAGTCGGCCAAGCCCTGCGAGATGCCCTTGGCAATGTCCAAGGGCGTCGTTTCCCAGCTCACGCCCTCCTTGACGGTACCATCGGGCAGCGTGATCTTGATGGGCTTGCGCGGCTGCGCCGCGAGGAGCTCCTTCTGCGCCGCCATGACGCGGTCGTAGACAGCAATGCGGCGCTGGATGAACGCCGGGTTGGGCTCGAGCGTGAAGGCGCCGCCAATCTTGTTGGCATCGGCCGTGATCGACGGGCCGCTGGCCTTGGTCAAGCGCGTCTGCTGGCGCTTCGGGTCCGCCTTGTCGGCGATCGTGGCTACGCGCGGCCTGAGTCCATGCTCCTCCAGGATCATGCGTACCTTCTTGGAGCTTGGCAGCAGCCGCGTCAGCCATTCCTCTGTCTCGGCGAAAATGGCAAATGTCCTCGGCTTCCACGAACCCCAGTCGGACCACAAAAAAATTCTTATCCGGATACGCACCTGGCGCTAAAAGTCCTTATCGATCGATTTTTATGCCACGACATACCCTTGTATCTTGGAATTTGTATGTAATATAATACAAGGCCCTGCCAAAGGGGCCTCTTTTTATGCGTGCCCAGCCCCGCGCGCCGGATAACTACTGCAAGGTCGCAATGGCGAAGATCGCGCGCCGAGTACCAACATTCGCATTGGGCTCTAAGACGAGAGGCGTCTTAGTTGATCGGAGTGAAGTCATTGCCACAAGAAGATGCTCTCGGAGCACTTGACTATGCTCGATGGATGCGGTCACATGGCCACGCACTGGTGGCGCACGGAAACGTTGGTCCTGGATCATGCAGACTGGCGACGGCGTGCAAGGGTGCTGTTGATGGTGGTGAGAAGAGCCGTCACCGTGTCGACGGATTTTCACAAGAAAAATGCTACAGGACGCAGAGCACTCGCACCGAACGTTCGGTGGCGTCGCCTTTCACGGGTTTCGTTGGACGCCAAACACGATTTATAGCAAAAGGAGCCCATGTCTTCGAGTGTTGCGGTTGCCTTTTCTGAGAGGAAAGGGCCGCAGTAGCTAACACACAGTCCACCCAACGCGAGATCGACTGCGAGGGGCTTTGAGGATCGGTTGAAAGTGCGTTTGGCTTGCGGATAGAACCCCGAACCGCCCAGTGGTCTTGTATGAAAGTCATACTGGTACTGTAGTTTGCAGTTGCGTTGGCGATGCATCTCCTCGCCTACGTAGAGTTATCAAGCTCATTTATCACGCGTCCGCTGGAGCTGCGCCCTCGACGTACTACTCATTCGCAGTTGCTACAAGGCGAGACGCAAGACGACGAGCTCCAAGAGATCCTACTTGCTCACGATCGTGCGTAAACCTACTACGCACACTCTGGGGTCGCCAGCAATGGTGGAAGCCGTTCGGCAGCTTGAGCATGAATCGCCTGGTACTAGTACGACGGGACTTTGGATCATTCGAAAATTGCGGTGGTGGGCCGTGGCCCAGACGGGCAACCTCGGGAGCTATCGTGAAGACGGCAATCCTTGGCGTCAGGGCTTACGTGCCACAGGTGTAGAAGACATGTAGATACCGGTAGTTCGATGCGCTCGTGCGCTTTCAAAGAAGCAGGCTGCGTACATGTTGCACACCAGTGGATCAACTCGAGTCCAGATAGTGATATACTAGTATAGAGCTGCCTGTGGTCGGCCTTTCGAGAGACGGTCGCAACGCTTTGTGTCTTGGCCGTTTGCACGACCTTGTCATGCTTGGTTCTGTCGTGCATTCTTTGGTACAAGCCACATCCCTACCGCTTCTTGCTTGACGCACCGGCCATGCCTCACGACCGCATTATTACGTTTTTGTTGCATGTTAGAAACTCATTTCAACAAGCCATGGCACCGAGTACGGCCATCTCGAAGCAACTCACCGTTGCACATGAAGTACTCTAAAGTTTTTGCCCGGACGGTCCGGGTGTCCGGATGCATACAGATAACTGTTTTTGGGATTCGGAAGTCCTGAAATAATGTTTTTATAAAACGTGCGAAATTTGAAAAATCCCTGGCTCGAGTACTGTAGCGGTTACATTATACTTGGACGTTTCATCGATGGGACTCGACCATTTCTTGGACGGCACTTTCAAATTTCATCAATGGCACCTCGAAGATAATGCAAGTTGGAATAAGGAAAATGAAAAGTGAGTGCATTGGCTATGCATAGCGATCACCGACGGTTCTCTACAGCGTACACTGGCGCATTTCTATCAAATCATGAAAATCTTGCTGGCCTTGGCCTCGGATGACGCCTTTTTGGCCCTCTTTAGCTCGGTGGTCTTGGGTGCAGCACTACAAAAGCAAGCCATGATCGCAACAGTTATCAAGCTGCAGTCGCATACAGATTGGCGTCAGCAGCGCGTCGTTTGACCTTCGGGGCAACCGCGGGGGGGAGCACACTCAGTGCTTCGGCCACGGCGAGATCATCGACAAATGGAAGGTCAAGCTCAACATGGTCGACTGAGCTCTTCTTCTGGCATATAGCGCTCTCAAAACGCGCCAGTGACGGACGCTTGGGCACGACCATAGCACGGTGCACCTCGGCCGTAACGTTGGACTTTGTCGCTTCGGATGTCAGCGACTCGGCTGCGGCGACCGACGCGCCGATCGGGGCGCTTGTCGCCCGAGGTTGCAGGTTCAAGCGCTCGCGCGCAACGCTGTACATCGGGTGGGACGACAGGTGCCAGCGCTTGTGCAAGTTGGAGAGCGCGTACACGGAAGTCGTCGTGTGAACGAGCACCTAGAAGCCAACGAAGCATGAGCAAGGCCTATTGTACACATGTACATACGGCGCAGATGCACGGGCAAGGAATAAGCGAGGAGCCAAAGTTCGCGCAGGTGCACGTCGGGACGAAGCCTTCTTTTGGGTCGGACAGCGTAACGTAGTGCATCGCCGAAGCACCCGTGAACGAGACGCGCCACTTGCCGTCCGTCAACGTCACGATGTGTGGCACGTGAATGCGGGAAAAGTTGGCGACCCACACCTTGTTGACGTACTTGGACCACTTGTAGTCCTTCTTCACGGCCGCCACGAGTTCGTTCAAGGCCTCAGTCTCCTGACGCTTGAAATGTTCTCGAGGTGCTGGATCAACCGATGCAAGTTGAATTGACGGAGCTCCTGTTTGTTCGTGCCTAGACACTAGTTTCGCATCGATATACAAGCAGGACGACGTTACCGTGGGCCTGGATGACGGAGCTCATCGAGTCGCCGCGATGAGTCGCCAAGCACGAGCACGTGAAGATGCCGCCTACTCAAAGCTACACAATAAAGACATCACATACGAAAGCGTACCCGTGTAGGCGCGACACATTTTTCCTTGTCGCCGGCAAGACGTGTGAGAATGGCGAAGGCATCGACGTCTTCTTCGTACTCTTCGAGGGCGTCGTGAAGGACGGCTTCAAACTCGACCTTGGTCATGTCGTTGTAGATGAGCGCCATAGCGGCGTCCTTGAAGGCAGCGCGGCGCTCGCCGAGTCCTCGAACCTTGTCGATGCGCTTCTCGTGGTGGTATGTGCAAAGCACGTGGATCATGTCGAGCTCGTCCGCAGTCGCTACGTAGTGAGTGTCAGTAAGATGCTGGGTGCTGGGCAGGTAGAGACACACCCGGATAGGCAGCACCGTCGTCTGTCATGAGAGTGACCCCTGGCTTGTCCAGACCGAGGGCGACAAGGCCCGCCTTGACGACCTAGGCAACTGAAATAGAGTTTGCTCAGTATCGAGTTTGGCCATGCGTACCTCCTTGTTCTCGGAGCCGTCGAGCGCGATACCGCAAAGAATGCTCTTGCCGAGGCAGTCGACAAGCGTGTACGGCATGAGCTTCAGCGTGTGTGGCGTCATGTTGTGTGTGCCATCGACCAGGACAAAGTCCCCGAACGACGTCACGTACGCCTTCATTCGCTCGAACTAAGGCAAACGAGCAACATAAGTTATGATCCCATTCGCAAGGGAGGAATCATACTTGCACGCACATCGACTTGAGTTTGGTCGTGTAGTCGAGTTCAAAGTTGAACACACCACCGGCTTCACGAATGTGGTTGCCTTCTTGGAAGAGCACCGATATCGCGTGCTCGTCCGAGCCGAAATGCGCGACTTGGACACGCTTCAGGACGCGGTGCAGAAGATCGTCGTCGTAGTGGCGCCCGCGAAAGTCGCGCTCCAATATCTCGCGGACTGTGCTCGTCGGGATGGCGTGGACGGCAAGCTTCTCCAAAAGAGCGAGCTCGTCCGGCAAAAAGTCCTTCTCGCACTGCACGAGCACCATGCCGTTGGCATTGGTGGCCATGTTATGGAGCGTGTGCGCGTGGTTCAAGTTGGCTTCGTACACGCGGTACACCTTCTCCTTGGGGTAGTACCGAAACTTGAGGACCCACATGCAGTCACTGCGGTGCTTGATACCCCGTGGAAGGCCTTCCTTCCTGGGGTCTCTCCAGTTGCAGTACATCTTGCACTCCACGAGCTTCCCCATGTGCGTGGCGCGGACAGCGGCGGACGACCGTCCGTTGACCTTCTTGCCGTCCTTGCAGGCCTCGAAACCAAAGCGACGACCGAACTGTTGCACGTTGTCGACGTACTTCTCAGCATTGTCAAAGGTAAAGCGGAGGCGCACTCCCAATGCATCGACATCGGTCGCATCGGGCGACCCGTGGGTCGTCGTAACGGTCGTCGCGCCGGTCTTCGTCGTAGCGTCGGGCGTAGCGTCAGTCGCGTCGGTCGTACTGTAGATCGTCGTCGCACCAGTCGCCGTAGCCGCAAAGGGCTGGCAAGCGGCTGCTGTCGGAGCAACCGCCATCGATCGCGAAATGAATGGCAAGCCTAGGGTCAGCCTACGGTACCCGCTAAAAAGGCGAAAAATATTTTTAGGCTTTTCTAGGACATCCTTATTTGAGTCCTTGTCCAACCACCCGGACGGTCCGGGTAAACTGTCTGCAGCAACGGTCACTGTCGAAATCGCCATCTCGATTCGCGTTCAACTTGTCTTCTGCACGCCAACTCGGCCCTTGGTCAGGTGTCTGGTGTCTGGCCCTTCGTGGTGTCTACGCAGAGCTTTCACACGCACAGAGAAATGAGTTGCGACATGGCGTCGTGATAACACATTCAGCGCTTTTGCACGACGTGAGATGTTTGTGAGATTGCACACTGCGCGCGCCTCTTCCTACGCGGTGAAGTGTACACTGAGTTGTATGTTGAAGTCGATGTCCTGTCAATCGGCGGTCCCGTTGTCGAGGTGGTGGTCGTGTGCGTGAAGCACTCGGGGAATAAAGTATGGTTTCTTACGATGACCGCAGTGAAATGCGGTCAAGCGAGCGAGAAATAATAAATATGGCTACTATCGCGTCTACTCTTCCTTCTTGCTTTCCGTGATCGGACGCAGCGGGTACTCGTTCCAGCGCGGGCGGCGCTTGTTGCGCACCATGTGCATCGTGATCGGGATCATCTTGCCCGACACGAGTGCGGACGTCGCGCGGGTCTCCTTGTAGCAGTCCGGAATCTCAACCACCGGGTGGTGCTTCTTCATGAGCGTGTTGAGCTTGCGCACAAACTTGTTTGGTCGCCGTGGACAAGGATGTCGTGCTGGATCAAAAGCTCCTTGAAGAGACGCAGCTTGGTCTCAATGTCGTCGTCCGACGAGTCTGAGAACGAGTTGGACTTGTGCGGCACGCGAGGGCTGCTTTCGCTCTCGCTAGCCGTCTCGTCGTGGTCCATCGGGACCGAGAGTGCCTTCTTGCGGCCAAAGAGCTTGGCCTTGGGCTTCTGTTCGTCGTCGTCGTGACGGAAGATCTTCTTGAGGTTGATGCCCATGGCGGTAAACTGAGGTGAGGTCGGCGAGTTGGGAAATGACGCTCGCAATTGACGGCCCGCAAGCGATGCATAAAAGAGATGGGTGGTGATGTTTGTGCAGCAACCTCGGGCTGCTGCCTGCGACATGCACTGGCGCGTCTAGGTTCCTTGTCACATTTTTCCGAATCGCGACCAGGGATTGGCCAAAATAGAAAGGCCACGTGGTCCATTTGTCCAATGAAAACGCAGCAGTTGCCGGCGTGGCCACAGTATACAAATTGGAAGAGAGTTATGCAGCCACCAAATGGCGCGCGCGAAAATGACGCAAACGGCACATCCCCTTTTTATCTGAAAAAATGTATGTGGCGCAGGCGACCGAATCTGGCCTTGTCGAGGCTACACGCGACATCTTTTGTCCCAATTGTATCTCCCACTTTATCCCAGACCTGTGGTTTATCACCGCTCCATCTTTATTCAAAAAAGACTCGGATGTCGAGTAAATCCCATCCTGGGCCTGCAATCGCCCAACACGGTGAAGGTAACGGAAGATTCTCCTGGCGTATCAAAAGGTGAGTATACCATACAAGACAAAGGCCACTTGGAGCCAAACTTCAACAAGTGCAAAGATCAAGTGGTGCCGATTACACCCCCTTCTGCGCACGGCAGCAGGAGTGTGGTACTTCAATCTCGCAGTCGAGGCGATGAAGCCGTCGAGCGCAGAACCAAGGGGAACCAAACCTCACAGAACGCAGACGCGACGTGATAGCACTGAGAGCGCCCAGCCACTCACTCGATGACCCATTGGTAGTAACACCAGGCGGAGCCTCGCCTTTGCGGAAACTGGATTTCCACGTGGCGTCCTGCAATGTAGACAGTGACACTGGTTGCTGGCCCAGCACAGCACGGCGCCAAAGAGCGGTGCGCTCGACGTGAGAGTGATGGAGTAAAGACAATGGAGCTCTCGTCATTGACGTCGCGTTCGACGATGAACGAGGTGCTTCTTTGGGCGCCGGGCGCCACCAGAGTGACACAAAATGACACTTTGACCATGGGCACCGGAAGTGATCAAGAGGCTAATGCGCGGCAATGCATGCACCGAGGCACGCAAACCAGGTACTTGAAATGATGGGCGCACGTCCGGCATCACTTTAGGCCCTTTAGAGCCAAAAGCGCTCAAAGAGTCGATTTACCGTGCGCAGACTTGGGATGTGGATGCACCGCGTCTTTTCGGCTGCAAGTGCGCATCCTCGCGGTGGTTGATCGAAGCGCCAGCTGGACGCTTGGCTTCGATCCCGTTCGGAGAGGACAGCGTACTTCGTTGTTGAACGACCGCCGTCACTTGCCAGAGCCGGGTGCGAGTTTGAACTTGCGAAAGTCTCTCACTGAGAGACTTTTCCGAACCTGAGTCATGGATTGCAGTCGGATGGCGGCTGAATGGTCCTCGCGCAGCGTCGCCAAGCTGTCATTCTTGCTGCTAACAGCGCTTGGGGCTGGTGCCGGTAAGAATACCAGTACAATTGTAGGCTATGGCTCCCTTGGTTGCAGAGGGAGTAGGGTATTTTTGACAACCAAGCTCGTCAGAATACATGTAGTCTAGTAGTTTTCGGATGGGCACTTCCACCGCAGAGTCGCTAATTGTATTATACAAGGCGCTACCTAGTCTTTCATATTAGTGGTTGCCCCAAGGGAATACTAATCAAATTTCCTTGGTTTCCCATACAAGCCAGTGTCGGATGCACGAGGTACGGCAAGGCAGGCACTTACTTCCTCGTACTCTTTTGCCGTCACGTCACCTCGCAGTGGAAAGGACACTTGCCGGTCAAGCGCACGTTTGCAACCCTCTTTCCTGATGATGGAGACTGTGTTGCGACCGCAGTGACCTCTCGCACCATAAAATTGTCTAGTTGTACGCGTCGGTGGATCTGATTTATGTACACATTTGCACGACGCTTCGGCTTAGGATTTCCGGGACGACTTGAAGAGCTTTCGCCGCGCGTTCGGCGGGCTCGTCTTTTGTGCGCTGCTCAGCGTCGACTTGGCCGGTACAAAGATCTTGGCCTCGCCCGTCGGCGCCTTGTACTCGGGGTGCGTGCCCTTGACGTTGAACGTCCATTGCATCTCGTCCGTGAGGATCACGAGCTGCCCCGAGCACATCTTGCCATAGCCCGTCGGCGTAAACGCAATCGAGAACGACGTGCCTTCGGTGCCGTACGGTGCCAAGATGCCTTCCACCGGGTAGACCTAGTCCACTCGAGTGAGCGATCGACCGTCTGATATATTTTTCGCACCGTGAACGCCTGCGATGAGCCCGCCGTAAACTCGGCCTGGAACGGCGCGGGCTCGCGAAACTGGTTGGTGAGCTTGAACGCGACCGACGACGTCTGGTTGAGCGCCGACTCGATCGTGAGCACGTCATCGACCACTGGGTCGGACGCGTCCAAATGCACGTCAAAGCGCCACATGCCGCCGGAGCGCTTCTTGACAATGAGCCCGACGGCGAGGCGAAGGGGCTTGAGCGGATCGAAGCGCACCTACAAACGTCCGATGATATGCAGACAAGTTGTCTTCAACGTACGAGGTAGACGAGCGGGTCGGTGACATTCGTGATGCGGTCCACGACCGGCGTCACCTTGAGCGTGCGCTCAACGACGCGCGCATGGGGCTCGGGGATATCCCACTCGACCGTGAAGCGTTCGTCCGGCGACACCTTTTCCAGCGCCAAGAGCTCCAGCGACAGCGTCTTCTCGACCGACTCGCGCGCGCGGCACACAAACGAGTAGGCTTTGGGGTGCACGGGCGCCGCCGCAATGCCCTACGAGCAACGTATTGTAGTATCAAGATTGTATCAAGCGCATCGTACGCGAATCGGGTAGACCCACTCGAGCTCCGTGTCGCCTTTGATAATAATGTGCGCGCCGGCCTCCGACACGTACTTCGGCAAGAACGAAATGGGCACCTGGAGCGTCCCAAAGCCCTCGAGGAGGACGTGGGGCTTCTTGAGGAGAATGTCAAACACAGGTGCCCGCGCGGGGGCTGGCGGACGGTGTCGCTGGCGGCTCGGGTTGGCGCTTGCGACGCTGGTACTCGTGCTCGGCACCTTGTCGCTACCGCTAGATCAGACTCTACTGCTGCGCGCTTCAAGAGACGAACCTCTTTGTCGCGAGTGGCGAGCTGACATTCTCGTCGCCCGTCGGGTCGAGCTGCACCATGGTGACTTCGACATTAAGCGCATCAGGAAACGGGTTGCGAAAGGCAAAGAGCGAGCTCGCAGCTTCGCCGACCGTCGCATGTACCTAGAATCACCGCTCATCGTCCTCACTCGTCATGGCCGAGTCCGCACCAGCGTCGTCTTCATCAAGCTCGGTGGCTTGCCTTTGCCTTGGACCTTGTACTCCCACGCACCCACATCCGGGTTGCGAAATGTGATGTCGGCGCACTCAAACTCCGAGAGACTCGACGGCGTGTAGTCCAGGACCGCGGTGTACGTGCTGAACGGCTTGACGACGATGTCGGTGTCTCGAATGCGGTAGTTGCGCGTGTTGCTCAAGTGCACATCGAGCGAAAACGTGCTGTCCATGGGGTTGACAATCGCGATGGGCTGCGAGCACACGTCGCCTACCGCACACGACATGTCTGCGAGCTGCGTCGGCGGTGCGGGCGTTGCGTGCAGTGCGAGCACATAGGAAAACTCGCCGACATCTTCGTTCGTAAAGCCGATCGAGCCAACCGTGCTGCCGGCGACGAGCGGGCAGTAGAGCAGCTGGTAGATGCCGGTCTCTTCTGCATCCAAGCGAAACTCGCTCGGGCCGTAGAGACCCGCTCCGAGGAGGCGGATCGCAAAGGTCACGGCGTGCGAGAGCGGGTTCTGGAGGCTAATCTCCATGCCGACGGCCGACCGCACGGACGCGTGCATCTCGAGCGTGGCCTCGGGCTCGGGCGCCGCGACGCTCGCCTCGATCGTGTACCACGAGTACTCGCCCGTGCGGCTGTTGGTAAACGTGATGCTGCCAAAGTACGAGCCACCGAGGAGCGGACTAAAGAGAAGCTTGTACAACGCCGTCGAGTTGGGGCCGTCGACAGTGATCGTCGGTGGCCCGCCGACATACGGCAAGTCCGACTCGACGCTAAACGACGTGGCGCCGGCCGGGTCGTACCGGTACGTCTGCACTTCGAACTCGTGCGCGACGCTTTGCCGAGCGACGCACGAAAGCACAATGTGCTGGACGGCGAGCGGCTCCTCGCCGACGCCGCCGAGCAGAAACTCAAACACTTGCTCTGTCTTGGGGTTGGTGAGGACGAGGCTACCGGTCTCGGTCACGAGCCACTGCGGCTTGAAGACTAGCGCGTAGTTGGCCGTCTTGCCCGCGGGCACGACGAGCGTTGACGCGCCGGAAAAGACGCCTTGGGTCCTACTCGCACATCGTGACGTCAAAGACACGGAGGCGAGTGCATGTACCCGCTGAGGGTCGCGCGGAGCGTCCACGCTTCGTCCGTCGGGTTGATGATCGGGATCTCTTGGGTAATGGTCTGCCGTGCGGGCGCCGAAAACTCGAGGGTGGTCTTGACGCCGGCATCGTTGACTTTGGCAAGAACCTCGTAGACGCGGATGTCGCTGCCGCAGTTGGCGGTGGACCGAAGGAGGAGCTTGCACGCGTAGAGACCTGCGCCGCGCGGCTGGAAATCGAACGCCACCGAGTTGAGTGACGGGTGCGCCAGTGTGCCGGCGCTGTTCCGGGGCGTGCTGAGCTTGGCTTGGGCCGGCGCGGCGTTCGCATTGGTGGCGCGCTTCTCGCTCTCGAGCGCGCTGTTGCTCGCGGGCTTGAGCACAATGTCACTGGCCGCAAGGACGTAGTAGGGCGAGTTGACTTCAATGTGAAAGTTGGTGTGGTGCGCGTCTTCGCATTTCTTGAGCGACTCGCGGAGCTTGGCCTTGAGAATGCCCTGGAAGCGGTCGATGATGCACGCCAGCGCTTTCGTCAGCAGCGGGTTCTTCACCGGCACGGTGAGCTCTTTGAGCAAATGCGGCTTGTTCTCGCACGTGAATTCGAGCGTCTCGAGCACGGGCGGCAAGTGCGCGGTGCATTGGACTTCGTACATGAACTCGCCCACGTTCTCGTCTAAAAAGAGCAGCTGGCACTTGTACGTGCCAGGCTGCAGCGGAATAAACTCGACCTTGATCGAGGTCGATGCGTCCTTCCGAATCGCAATCGTGTCGGTGGTCACCTCGGGCAGGAAAAACGGCAGCTGCGCATCCATGCAGCCGTCGTCGCTGCCAATCTTGGAGAGGAGCGTGCTGGCGCTGGCATCGTGGCGCGTTGGCGCTTGCTGCAGCACCGAGAGCTTGTACACGCCGTTGACAGGGAACTGATTCTCGATGCTAATCTCCTCGAGCTTGCGCTCATAGAGCGTAGTCTCAAATTGGTAGACGCGGACGGGTTTCCGCGAGTAAATGTTGGATTCCAAGACAAACACCATGGTCGCGGCGCAAGACGGACCGTCGCGCACGGACCGGAACGTCAAGCGCGCCGTGACCGTGCGCGTAAACTTGGGCTTGAAATCGACGGCGAACGTCGCGCTCTTCTCCGGTTCCAGCGTCAGCGTGTGGGCGTAGATGCTGAATTCGCGCACTTGGCCTTCGAGAAACACGTCGTAGACGATGGTTTTCTTACTCGGGTTCTTGAGCTCAATGCTCTTGGTGATCGTTTGCCCCAAAATACCCTTGAACTCGATCGTTGTCTTGGGAATGAACTGAGGCACGTTTTGGTACAGGTGCAAGACGAGCAAGATCGTCGACGGCAGTGAGAGCGAGCAGAGCAACTCGGGCGCGAGGCCATAGTCCAAGCCAAGGAGACTGAGCGCGTTCCGCAGCGACGACGCGTTCTCGAGCACGTGCTCGGGCGTCATCGGATTGCGGTGGAAGCCGTAGAGAGGTCCTGCCTCGGCGGCCAGCGACGGCACGTGCGAAATAAGAACGTAGGAGAGAACGACGCAGTCGCGGAGGTCGGTCTCAATGTCGACAATGAGCCGGGGCTCGGACACCGTGGCCGCTCGCTTGGCGTGGTGGAGCAGCCACTGAATGAGCACCATCTCGGACTCGCTGTAGACGTTGCTCTTGGTGCAGTCGCGCGTCTACGCAGCATTCGAAGGACGAGCGCAAGAGAAGCGAAGACATGTACCATGACGGCGAGTGGCTTGAGCGCCGTCGCCGCTTCGATGCCCGGGAGGTTCTGGAACGACTTCATCGAGACCCGGAACAGCACAAAGCACTTGATAATTTGGTAGACGATTTTGAGCCAGACGTGGACGCTGACGCGGCCAAAGTCCTTCTCGAGTGTCGCTCGACGGTTGGCGCTCGAGTGCGCTGCGAGCGTCGCGCTGTCGTCCTCCATCCAGCGAAGGTACATGTCCATATCGAGAAGCTGCTCCGGACGAAGGTCGTTGAGGAGGGCCCCGTAGCTCTTGAGGAAGCGAAGCAGCTCCGTGTACTGCCCCATGAGCTGCTGCATTTGCTCCTTCTTGAGACCTGAGACGCTCTTGAGTCGCCCGGGCACGCTCTTGCCGCACACGACGTCGAGCATCTCGTAGATGGGCCGGCCCGCGGCCGCCACCTACCGTCTTCTGTCACCAATCATATTTCCATTCGAGGACAATGTTGTACAATGTCTTGCGGAAACGAGACGATGGGTGTCTTGAGAATGTTCATGTTGAGCCACTTGACGAGGAGCGTGATTTCCTCGGGGCGGAGCTCGTGCAACGCCGGCGCATGGTACAGCTTGCCACTCACGTCGACGTACCCCCCAGGGGCGGGGCCCGTGTCGTTGACGGCGGCAGTCGCGCCCTTGACACCGCGTTTTTTGCTCACGGCCGGCGTCACTTGTCGCTTCGCGGGCTCTTTGAGCGGCATGGCGGCGGCGGCCGTGCGCTTGGCGAGCAGCTTGAGCTGCGTTTTCTCGAGAAAGTAGATCGGGTGGCGCGCCTCGACGTCCGTGTAAAAACGTACTCGGCGCGATGCGCGTCGAGAAAAGCTGCGTTCGTGAGGATGCAATTGTCGGCCGACCCGCTGAGGGCCAAGTCAAACTCGTGCCCCTCGGCGTCAAAGAACTCGAGCTTGGCGTTGAACGCAATCGACTTGAGACTGCAAAACGACACGTCGACCTGGATCCGCGGGTTGGCGATTCCGATCGCTTTGCCATCTGGAAACGACACGGTGATCGGTACGCGGTTGAGGTCGATCGGGAGGCGATAGCTCAGATCCAGGTTGTCATATCTACCACAATTCATTCGTTAGTTGCGCCAATCTCATATACGACGAACCCGGTGCTGGTCACAAAAAACGACGTCGACGACGCGACTCCGAGTGGCACGGGCGGCAAGTCGACGCGTGGGACGGAGAAACTTAGGTGCGGGTGGATGCCGTGACCGACCAAACTCAGCGTCAAGTAGGGCAGATCGTCCAACAGCACGGGAATCTCGGCCGTGTACGCCTCGGCCTCGAGCGGAAGGAAGCTGGCGCGCACCGTGCACTTGTCTCCCGCCGCGAGCTCGCCCGACTACTCGTTGCATTAGACATACGAGTACGCTCATGCAGGATGTAAGGATATGTACCGACGGCGCAATGTGAAAGACCGACGGACTCGAGCGCATAAGGTTGGCGAGATCCATGTGCCATTTGATCGTGTTCGGGTCGTCGTTGGTCAGCACGAGCGACACCGAGTACGGAATCTTCCGCGCATTGTCCGTCGCGACCACGCGCTTCTCAAAGTCGAGCGTCGTCACAGAGAAGAGTAGCCGCGGCTTGAGCCCTGTCGCCGTCACGATGCGATCGAACGGGTCGTGGCGCGCGAGAAGACCTTCAAATTGCATTGGAAACGGAAACGCGTGGGACGCAATGACGGTTGGTAGAAAACTGAGCTCGAGCGCCACCGAGGCTTCCGGTGGCAGCACAAGGCGCCAGTTGCGCGTCGGCGTCACATCGGCGAGCGGATCTAATGGCCCAAACACGCTCTGCACGTCGTCGATGCTCGGGTTGAGCGCCTGGGGCATCACGACGTTGAACTCGGGCGTCTTCTCGAAAAGGAGCTCGAGGTGGGCCGGCACGAGGCTGCGGTTCGCGAGCTTGAGCGCTCTCGTCGCGTGCACACCCAGCGTGAGGCCGCCGAACGCAAAGCTCTCGAGCGGCGACTCAAACTCAACTCTGGGAACGACAACGTCGGCGGAAATCGGAATCCGGATCGTGCGGCCGCCGCGGATGCGCACGACGAGGTTGACGCTACGCAAGGGTCAGACGCCTTGGATGGACACACACAAAACGTACTTTTCGAGGACAAGCGGCCGACGAACGTCGAGGCCCAAGAGGAGCTCGGTCGTGTCGGACGGGAGGAGACAGGCTTCAGCTGGTTTGATGCTCACACCGCTCGTCGTGGGTTCAATTTCCGCGTAAAACACGGTCGGGGCCATCGCATTCAAGTTGAGTAGCAGCAGTCGCTTCTCCTTTGGAATGCCCGCGGTCGTGGCGCCGAAGTCGATTTTTTTGTCTTTGATGAGGCACTTGGGCTCGGGCAAGTGCCCAACGCAGTGGATTTGGTTGGTTTTGCCTACGAGTTGATTCGAGTCAGCGGTCCAGGATGGGGTTTGAAGTCGAAAGTACCGCCGTCGACCAGGACGCAGAGCGTTGCTTGGTTCGGGACGCCAATGCGCGGCGCGAACGTGACGCGGACACTCGCCGTGCCACCGGCAGCGATCGCACCGGCGACGGGGGTAACTTCAAACGCACACTGGTCGGCAGCCTCGGGCACCCACCTGTAGTGCGCCTCCGAGTTGCCAGGGTTCTTGACCTGCACCGTCTGCGAGATGGTGGGCGAGAGGTCGGACGCATCAAAGGCAAATTCGAGCACGGGCGTTGAGAGCTCGACGCAGATCGGGACGACTTCGGCGACAATCAAGAGCTTGAACGAGTGCTGGCCGTTGACCGAGTACTGGACGTACTTTTGAAACACTTGCTCGGCGCGCGAGAAGAAGGTCAAGTCGAAGCCCGCGGTCGCGCCTGCGGGGATCACTTGGCTCATCGGCGATGTCTGCTTGAGCTCTTCGTGGTCGTTGTTGAAGTGCAAGGTCACGAGAATGTTGTGCGGGAGGTCGTTCGTGACGCTAAACGATTTTTTCGAGACCGAGTGGACGCAGATGAGGCCAAAATGGATCGTCTTGGGGCCTAACGCAATCGTTGAAGCTCTATATTGGATAGATACGATCATCATACCGGCCACAATCAGCTTGAGCTGCTCGGACGTTAACGTCGTCGCACAGTCTTTGACCTCGGCCTGCGTCACGGGGGCGGCTTTGAACTTGCGCTTGATGAGTTTGTTTTCGTCAAACGCGGGATTGGCGGCCGCGACGCCGCGCCGGCTGTTCTGCTCCGACTGCATCCACAGCGGCTCGGTCGCTTTGGGCAGCTTCATGTCCGGGCCCTGGAGCCCGCCCTGGGGCGCCATGCCCAAGTCGGCCGCGTTCTGGTTGCTGGGCGCTGGCACGCTCTTGGCGAACCGGTCGTGTCGAAACTGCGTCAGGAGCTGGTTGTACGCGTCGCGGTGGTGCGCGCGGTCGGCGAGCTCGTTGACGCAGTACGTTAAATGGGTGTTGTTGGTGCCTTGAAACTCGAATTCGTCGACGGCCGCCGTACCTTCTTTTGCGGCCACTTGGTACGGCGGGACGCGCTGAAAGCTCTTGGTCGGTTGCGCTTTCTGGAGCTTGACGTCGTCGTGCGTCACAAAGTTGAATTTCGGCCGAAAGTCCTGCGGCAGCGCGTCCGGGCCACCGACAAGCGTCTTCTTCTTGGGGCCCACGGACGTGGCCGCGCCATGCACTGGAATCGGAATGTGAATGGACCCGTTTTGGATGCTCAGATCCAGTGCATTCTAGTCCACTCAGCTCTTAGATCTCCGATCGAAAGAAAGAGGCGTGTACGTGGAAGCGGCCGAGCTGCGACGGTACAAAGCTCACGACGAGACTCTGCGACTGGAGCACGTCGAGGCGGCCGCGACACGGCTGGACGCTAAAGTGCGCGAGCTTGGCGATCGCAAAGACGACCGGGAGCGTCGCTTGGTTCTTGATGCTCAAGAGCATGTCGACGCGCGCGCCGGCGGCACACTCGCCAAAGTCAAAGCTCTCGGGCGAGATCGACACGTGCGGCGTCACCGCCTACGCCAGCGTGGCATCGGTGCGATTCTATGGAGGTGTACCGTGCCCGAGATTTCAATCGTGATGTTTTGGTTGAGCTCGGCGCACTCGACCGACGCAAAGGCGCGGAGTGGCCGGCCCTGGGCCTCGAGCGGGTTGTTCTCTGTTACCAGCGACGGACGCCGCATGCGCTGCGAGAGAAGCATGCTTGGCTTGTACACGAACGACAAGAGCACGTGGCCGTATGGCGGGATGTAGCCTTCGGCCGGCATCGCCGTGAGCTCCTTCTTCTTTTCCTCGTAGTCGCCGCCGTCGTCTTCGGGGCTTGCTCTACGCTCGCTTAGCCTCTTACGCGCATGAAGGCCAATACGTGCGTACATTTCATCGCCGGCCCGGAACGGGCGGCCCGTGAGTGAGATGCCCGTCTGGAAACCCACGGGTTGAGGCCCGTTGTTGCGCAGGACCGTGTCGATCTGGCGCGACTCGCCCGTGTAGAGCATCCCAAACGGCAGCATCTTGACAGGCTCGTGGACGAGGCCGTCACTGCTCGGAAACACCAGCTCCATCGTATGCTCGACAACTGTCGCGCTAATGTCGAGAAGCGCGTGCTTGCGGCCTTCGGTGATCCGGATCGTCGCGATCGAGCGAAAGCTGCCAAGGTCCCGCGCCGTGAAGTCGACCTTGAGCTTCGCCTCGCACTGCGCGGGAATGACGCCGGCCTTTGGCGTGATGGTCAACGGCAGCCCGGCCTCGGTCTCGATCAAAAAGTGGGCCTCGCGCGCGCCGACGTTGGCGATGTTGACATACTTGGCCGTGCGGTGCGAGAGCACAACCATGCCGAGATCGATGAGCGAGTCGAAGCGCAGAGCGGGCGATGGCCGGCGTGCCACCTACGACGGTATGAGCGTCCTTTCACTCGATGTGCGGAAGGCCACCAGCGGAATCTCGATCGGCGCGCTGTTTTCGACGAGGATGAGCAGCTTGTCGTGAAGGTCGTCGTCGCTCGTCTCGGGCAGCGCCTCCAACAGGAACGACACGTCAAACTTGATGGCGAGGCCCGGCGACAGCGTCCGCGTCGGGTTGGCCACGAGCGCCAAGTCTTGCTGGTCCAAGAGCACGCGGAAGTGGCGCGAGGCGGGGCGCGTGAGCCGGAAGCGCACCGAGTAGCGGCTCGTGTTCTGCACGCTGAGCGCTACGAGGTAGCACGTCATGGCCTCGACGTCGGCAAACTCGATCGACGTCGGCGCGACCGTGACCATCGCCGCCCGCGACGCCGAGAGCGCGAGCATCGGACCCAAGAAGATACAACTGTGTCGCTTCGAGCGCCGGTTCGTATCCGGATGCGAACCTCCTGTGCGCGCACTTGCACACACGCGAATCCGGATACGAACCCCACGCGGGCGATCAAAAAGATCGCAGAGTTGCCTCGGTGGCCCAATGACCGGGCGCCGCGTCAGCGCGACCATTGCATGCACGTGACAGTGTCCAATGCAAATCGACTTCAACCGCTTCAACATCGCCTGTGCAGCAGTCGTTATGCGCCGGAAGCGCGCGCGTCTGAGCGACAAGCCACGAGCCACGCGCTGCAGCCGACGAACGACTGCAAGCGTCGGGCCATGGCTTTGACCCGAGTACATGGGCATGTAGCAGCCTTTGGTGGAGGCGATACCATGACTGGCAAGAGGTGCTGGTCGATGCATCACTCGCATCCGCCACAGCGGAACGCGCCAGCACCGACCCAGAAGCCTTCATGCACCGCCACTCAACGCAGCAATCCTGTTATAGCTACCGAGTTGTATGTAGCAGTGGGTCATCGTGGCGCCTAGGCCATCATGGGCTACCGACGGCCATGCATCTCGGATGGACGAGCCATGGCGCGCTGCCAGCAAGCATCTGGTTTGGGTGAGGCGCACGGTAACGAATGCGCAATCGGATTGGCTCAAATCCAAAGATCGCGCGCGTGTGATTGGCTCTGGTTATCCGGACCAGGCTGCGCCGGCGGTGGGAGCCATTTGCATCTTTGCGTGGCCGAGGAAGGATGGGGAAGATCATCGACCGCCTCTTGGAGCTGGAGAAGACGGGGACGCCGAGCGTGAGCTTCGAGTTCTTCCCGGCCAAGACGGAAGATGGCGTCTTCAACCTCCTCAACCGCGTCGAAGAGATGGGCTTCCAGCTGCAGCCGACCTTTGTGACCTTGACGTGGCGCAGCGGCTTCAAGGACGAGAAGCTCTGGCTCAAGATCGGCGCGCACATCCAGAACGAGTTCAAGATCGACGTGCTCATGCACTTGACGTGCCACTTGCCGCAGGACCAGCTCCGTGTCATCTTGCAGAACGCGCGCAATGCTGGCACGACGACACGCCATCGTCCTCGCTGATCTCATGCTCAATGGTAGGCATTCGCAACATCTTGGCCTTGCGTGGCGACCCGCCGATTGGCGCCGAGCGCTGGAAGGCCGTGCCGGGCGGCTTCCGCAACGCGGTCGAGCTCATCCGGTTCATCCGCCAAGAGCACGGCGATTACTTTTGCATTGCGGCCGCGGGCTACTCGGAGGTGCACACGGAGGCATGGAACAACCCGAATTTGCCGCCGTCCGACCAAGTGCGCAACCTCGACATGCTGCGCCTCAAGGAGAAGCAAGACGCGGGCGCGGACTTTATCATTACGCAGTTCTTCTTTGACGTCGACAAGCTCTCCCAGTGGATCCGTGACTGCCGCACCGTGGGCATCCGCATTCCTATTCTACCAGGGTACCGGATCTCTCTTTTATATCGCTGGCTCATCGATGGGAACAGGTATCTCCCGATCCAAAACTTCAATTCGTTCCTCAAGTTCACCAACTGGTGCAAGACGAGCGTGCCCGACCACGTTGTCCAGGCCCTCAACTTGATCAAGAATGACGACGCCGCCGTCAAGAAGTATGGTATCCAGCTCGCGATCGATACGTGCCGCAAGCTCATGAGCCAGCAGCTCTCGCTGCACTTCTACACCATGTACGCCACCCTTGTCCCATGCGCGCATGTAATCAAAAATTGCCGTGTAGGAACCTCGCGTCGTCGGTGCGCAGCGTTCTCGAAGGCCTCAACTTGATCCCGCGCCGCCACGAACGCGACTTACCATGGGGCTTGCCCATGCTTCGTCGCAAGGAAGGCTCCGCCGACAAGGTTGAGCAAGTCCGCCCGATCTTTTGGTCCAACCGCGCGTCGAGCTACGTTGCACGCACGTCCGAGTGGGACGACTTTCCCAACGGCCGCTGGGGCGACCGGTCGAGTCCCGCGTATGGCGAGCTCTCCGAGTACTACCTCGCGTACAAGCGGCCCAAGGTCGCCCGCGAGCGCGTCTGGGGCACGCCGCTCACCGAGCAAGACGTCTGGAGCGTCTTTGTCAAGTTTATCGAAGGCTCCGTCAAGACGGTAGAGTCCGAATCTCGCGGTCGGCGTCTGACTTGCGTGTAGCTGCCGTGGTGCGAGCAAGGGCTATCGGGCGAAAGTACCATCATCCGCGAAAACCTGCGTTGGATCAACTCGATGGGCTTCCTCACCATCAACTCGCAGCCGCGTATCAACGGCGCGCCGTCCGAGGACCCGAGCGTCGGGTGGGGCGGCAAGGGCGGCTTTGTCTTCCAGAAGGCGTACGTCGAGTTCTTCGTGCCCCCGCACCTCATGGAGCGTCTCCTGGTACACTTCGCGCCCAACGCTACGTTCTAGAGGCTCATGTACATCTAGGTGGCGCTCAAGGACTACCCAAACCTCTCGTACCACGCCTTCAGCGCCAACGGTAGGTTACGACGGCAACCACCGCAATTCCTTTCTAATGCACCACGCGTCATTAGGAACCGAGTACACGAACGCGCCGGGACCGAGCGTCACCGCCGTCACGTGGGGCGTCTTCCCCGGCCAAGAAATCATCCAGGTAGACAGTGCATGCGTCCTGAGATGGTCCCTGGACGGTCGTCTAGCCGACGGTCGTCGACTCGGCCAGTTTTGCGGCGTGGAAGGACGAAGCGTTCGAGCTCTGGATGAGCCAGTGGGCGTCCGCGTATGCTAGCGACAGCGTGTCCCATGCCGTCATCAAGGTCCGTCACCGTCCGCCACTCGAGGAGGTCACTAAATCTCAAACCGTTGGCCGTAGGAGGTCTACGAGTCGTATGTGCTCGTCAACATTGTCGACCACGACTACACGAACGGTACGCGGCGGTGTCTCATGACGTCATGACGCTAAGAGTCCTGCGTAGAGGACAGCGACATCTTCAAGATCTTTGCGCGCGTCATCACCGAAGGGATGACCAAAGACGACCTACGCGGCCGCGTCCTCGAGCTCGAAGACAAGAACGAAAAGCTGCACGAGACCGTCGCCAAGCTCAAGATCATCCAGGCCGAAGCCAGTCGCGAGCTCAAGGAAGTGCACCAAGAACTCTCGGCCTCGCGCGAAGAGAACAACCGCTTGAAGACGCAGCTCCGCGAGCTCCGCGCCCGCGCCGCCTTGTCCGCGATCTAATCGCAGCCGGACCCCCATTCTCTACGTCGATGATGGCAATCCGGATGCTTTTTGTGTCGATAAAGATCGATCAACCTTCGATATTTTCGTGTTCAAAACTCGAAGCGTCGCAATCTTGTTCCATCCAGACGCAGCATGGCAGACGCACCACCACCGCTCTGCGAGATGCCGCCGGCCCCGAGCGTCATGGACGAGATGGTCGCCGCCGCCATGCAGGCCAAAGCGCGCAAGGACGCGGCGAAAGCGGTCGAGGCCAAGCAGCGCGCCACGTCATTTGGCGGTGGCTTGAAGAAAGGCTTCTTTGCGGCGCCGGTCCGCAAGCCGACACGGAAAACCGTCGCCAAGCCCACGACAGTCGCCAAGCAAGAGATCGAGACGATACGGCCGACCAAGAAGCATGCACTCGAGCTCCCCGAGGTTCAAGCAGCGATGCAGGGGCTCACGACCAACGGTGGGTACGGGCCGCGTGCGCCACGGTTTTATAGCATGCGTAGACTGGATGACGCCCGACTTTATGGACAAGCTTGCCAAGAACCCGAAGCTCTGCATCGCGCTGCAGAACCCTCGGTTCACGGCCGCGATCCAAGAGCTTTCGACCAACCCGGAGAAGGCCATGGCCAAGTATCAAGTACGCCCCTCGGTTTGTATCAAGTGAGGTCGTGACGTGGCTGACTAGCACGACGCCGATGTCTCGGCGATGCTGCGCGACTTTATGCAGTTTATGGGCGCCCACTTCGAGGCGCTGGGCAAGGTCGCGGACGCCGACGCGGCCAAAGCAAAGCAACGTCACGCCCTCGAAGCCGCGGCCCACACGCCACAGGAGCAGGCGCAAGTTGAGCGCATCTTGGGTGACCCCGAGCTCCAAGCGATCTTGTCGGACCCGGACATGCAAGCTGTGCTCCAGCGCTGCACGGCGCCCGGCGTCCTCCTCCGCTACCTCCAAGACCCCATCGTCGGCCCCAAGATCCGCAAGCTCGAAGCCGCGGGGCTCGTCCAGCTGCACCCGTAAAAGCCACTGTGCAAATCAATAATCGCGTGTGTTTTTGCGATATTCTGTCGTACGGATACGATGGATGTATCCGGATGATCCTCTTCGGTTACGAGCAGTAGCGAGCGTCGAGCAGGATGCGCAAGCAGCCGTCGTCCACCAAGGTGTACCCGACGGCGCCGACCCGCGCCGAGTTGACGCCTGCCGAAGCCGACCTTCCGCGCAAGTCGAGCTTGGCGCCGCCCCTTGGGAACCGCTGGGTACGACGCGCCGTCCTTGGCAACGCAGGCGACCAGGCGCACCTCGCGACGCTGCGCGGCCTCGCGACGCGCCTCTTGGCGTCAACGTGGTTTGCGACCTTTATCACGCTGGTCGTGCTCCTCAATACAATCACGCTGGGCCTCGTCGACTACAGCGATCCGTGGGCCGACGGGCCCAACCCGACGTTACTGCGCAATCGGCTCGTCGATCAAATGAACAACATTAGCCTTGGCATCTTTCTCGCTGAGGCAGTGCTCAAAGTGCTCAGCATGGGCTTTGTGTATGGCCCCACCGCGTACTGCAAAGACTACTGGAACCTGCTCGACCTCGTCGTGCTCCTCTCGGGGTTCATCACTGCGTCGTAATACCTTGTCCGTTCTCAGAGACGACGTTGGCGTAGATGTCTCGGCTGGTTCTTTCATGCCGGTAGCGTCGGCCAGCTGCGCATTTTGCGCGTGCTTCGGCCACTGCGCACGCTGCACTCGTTTCCAGGTCCGCTTCTGCGCCGCACGATATGATTTCTCATTTTGATGCACGTAGGGCTCAAGGTGCTCGTCAACGGCGTGCTCTCGAGCTTGCCCGCGCTCTTTGACGTCGGGATCCTCCTTGGGTTTAGCTACCTCGTGTTTGCGATTCTGGGCATGGAGATCTGGTCGGGCACGTACCACCAGCGGTGTCGGCTCACAGAATTTCCCGTCATCCTCAACTTCGACGCCGCGAACGCTCCGAGCGCCGCCGCGTACCCCAATAAGACGTACCTTGACCTCGTTTTGGCCAATCCGAGCGCTTACCGCTGTCCGCGCACCGACGTCGAGAACGACAATTGGACGGAACCCCTCAACTGTTTCTGGCCGCTCAATGCGAACGATATCCAGTACTGCGGCAGCCGCCCGTGCGCGCCAGGAACGTTCTGCGGCTCCAACTTTGACGCGTCTGGCCGACCAAGATTCCGCAACGTTCTTCTGAACGGCTCGATGCTCGTCGACATGGCGACCGAGGGCGATTTTCTGCCCAATCTCAACTTTGGCCTCACGAGCTTTGACACGGTCGGGCACACGCTCGTCATCATTGCGCAGATCGTCACGGCGTCGGGCTGGATGGTGCTTACGCAGAATGTATGATGACGACCTTTCGATGTCGACGATATGGACTCATAGTCAACTTGTCTCTTTTCTAGACGCAAGACGCGTACTCGTGGCTCGCGGCTGGCGTCTACTACAACACCGTGCTCTTTCTCGGCATGTGTTTTCTGCTGCAGCTCAACATGGCCGTCATGTTCAACGAATACGAGAAAGCAAAAACTGCACTCGACAAGGCCACCGCTCGGCCGCTCGGCTTGATCCGCCGGCGGCTTCAGCGGCAGTACTACCGCCGCGTCAAGACGTTGCCACTGTCGACGCTGCGGCGTCACGTGCGGCACGTCGTGACCAGCGTCCGGTTCCACCGCCTCGGCCTTGGCATGACGTTGCTCAATGTCGCGCTACTGGCGTCCGACCACCACCCGCAGACAGCGTCGTTTCGCGCCAACGTTGAGATTGGCAACTTTTGTTTCCTTCTCTACTTTACAATGGAGATGGCACTTAAAATCTACGGGCTCGGGTTCACGGTCTACCGCCAGTACGTTCGATATGGAGAGTGCACTTGTGGCTAAGGTCTGATCGATCGTGTGTAGAGACCGGTTCAACTTGTATGACATGGTGACCATCTTGATGGGCGGTGTCGAGACGTTGCTGCATCCACCCGCGTTCTTAGACGGCACGCCCGGCGCCCGATCGCCATTTGCGATCCTTCGCGCTGCGCGCGCCATCAAGCTGGCGTACTCGTGGCCGAGTTTTCAGCGACTCCTTACGGCGATTGTCGGCGCGCTGCAGGAAATTCTCAATTTTCTGTTTTTTCTCGTCCTCTTCATCTACATGTACGCTCTCATGGGCATGGAGGTATGCGTCTATGTCGGTTGCATGGCGTTGACGTGTCCCGCTAGCTATTTGCCACCAAGTACAAGTTTGACGCACTGAATCGCCCGCAACCCTTTAACGCGACCGACCCCAGCGTTGTCTTGCACCGATCCAACTTTGACACGATCCAATGGGCCTTCTTTACGGTCTTCCAAGTCATCACGTACGACAACTGGCCTATGGTCATGTACGACGGCTGGCTCAGCGCCGGCCTCGTCGCGCCCTTTTACTTTGTCTCGATCGTCATCCTCGGCGTCTGGGTCGTCATGAACATGTTCTCGGCCATCATGGTACAGTCCGTCATGGAAGACGCGAGCGCCAAGCCCGCCATTGTCGGCGATGTCGACGCGAATCTGCGCACGCGCCTGCGTCTGCGCCAGCTCCGGCGCATCCTTCGCCGACTCATGGGCGTTCACTCGGTGCTCTCAGCGCCGACGCTGGACACGGACGACTCGTCGCTCGGCCGCAAGAGCTTTGGCTGCTTTGGCCTCTCGTCGCCGCTGCGCCAAGTGAGCCTTGCGCTCGTGCGGCACCCACGGTGGCACGTTTTTGTGACCATGAGCATCGTTGTCTCGTGCATTGTGACGGCGCTCGATACGCCGCTGCTCAACCCGCACGCCGGGCTCGGCTACGCGATGACGATCATCAACAACGCGCTTGCGATCGTCTTTACGCTCGAGATGCTGCTGACGATGCTCGCACTGGGCTTTACAGCGTACCTCACGGACCCATGGCGTGTCCTCGATCTCTTCATCGTGGGGGTCTGCCTCTTGAGCTGGTCGGCCACCGGCGTTTTCGCACAGCTGCGGGCGCTGCGGTCGCTCCGCGCGCTCCGGCCACTTCGCGTGATCCACCGCCTCCCGCAGCTCCAGGTCGTGGTCAACACCCTCTTTCGGTGCTTGCCGGACATTGGTCGGTCGCTCCTCTTCTTTGTGTTTATGCTGCTGCTCTTTGGCATCGCGTGCGTCAAGTTCTTCAAAGGCAGCATGAGCACGTGCTCGGTGAGTCCGTACAACTACCTTGACACGCCGCTGTATACACCGCCGCCGCCGTGGTTTCCAGCCTCCTACGCGGGCGCATACTCGATGGCCGATTTGGAACGCTTGGATGTCATGAGTTTTCCGCGCCCTTGGAGCAACCTCACGGTAGCGTCTCAGATGGCGCTGGCGCCGTACTGGAACCGCACGTGCCACTTTGGCGAGCGGCTGCCCACATCGAAAGACGTCTGCGAGTGCTTCAACATGACGTGGCAGCCGGTCGTGCCGCAACGCTTTGACAACATTGCGCTCGCGCTCGGCTCGCTGTACGAACTCACGACGATGGAGGGCTGGAGCTTCGTCGCGATCGCCGCGGTGGACGCGACCGGCCCCGACAGTCAGCCGCTGCGCAATAACCAAGAAGGCTGGATGGTGTTTTGGTTTCTCTTCATGATCGTCGGCGCCTTCTTCGTCACCAACCTCTTCATCGGCGTGCTCTGCGATAGCTTTATGCGAGAAAACTACGGCGTCATGGTCACCGACGAGCAGCTCGACTGGATCAAGCTCCAGCGCAAGGTGCTCACGATGGCGCCCGTCGTGCGGTACCCGCCGCCGTCCGAGTCGACGTGGCGCCACGCCTGCTACAAACTGGTCGAGCGGCCGGCGTTCGAGACAAGCGTCATGGCGGCGATTCTGATCAACCTCTTTGTCATGTCAACGGGATCCTTTGGCCAACCGAGTTGGGTAAGAACGACGTCGACGGTCGCCACGAACCTGCTCTCGGCCGCCTTTGCGCTCGAGGCCGCCCTCAAGATTGCAGCCTTTGGTCCGCGGTACTTTGCCAGCAGCGCCCACCGCTTCGACTTGGCGGTTGTCCTCCTCGCACTCATCGGGATGGGGCTGCCCGACTCGGTGGGCATGGGCACGATCGCGACGGTCGTCCGCGTCTTCCGCGTCGGCCGCGTCTTGAGGCTCTTCCAGAAAGCGACTTTACTCAAGAGTCTCTACGACACCATCATGGTCTCGCTGCCCGCCATGGGCAACGTCACAGCCCTCCTCATGCTGCTCTACTACATCTTTGCGGCGGTCGGCGTTCAGCTCTTCGCCAAAGTCGCGTACGGCCCAAGTATGGTCAACCCGCACCAGAATTTTCAGAATTTCTGGCTCGCGCTCCAGACGCTCATTGGATTCTCGACTGGCGAGAACTGGAACAACTTCCTCTGGGAACTCTACCACATTTCACCGACAAGCAACCCCGAGTGCATGGAGCCTGCGTTCAACGCGTCCGTCTGTGGCTTTGGCGACGCGCTCGACTGCGTCCCGCTGGACGGCTGCGGTACTCTGCTCGATGCCAGTATCCTCCCACATCCATGCAAATGCGTAGGCTCGTGGTACATTGTGCCGTTCATGTACCTCTTTGAACTTGTCGTTGGCTACATTGGCCTCAACCTCTTCTCGGGCATCGTCGTCGACGCAATCGGAGACTCGTGCGCCAAGTCGGCGCTCTCACCGAGCAATTTGGCCGAGTTTACCGCGATGTGGGCCGAGTACGACCCGAACGGGTCTGGGTTTGTCACGATTGACGACCTCTGCCGCCTCCTAAGCCGGCTGAACGCGCCTTTTGGCTTCAAGCTCGTCGCACATATGACCACGCGCAAGATCTACCATGCGATCGGTGCAAGCAACAACCGCCAAGAGGATAGCTCAATGTCTGTAGGCGGTCTTGACATTCCCATTTACGACGGACGGCTCGTGCATTTCAAGGACGTACCGCGCGCGCTCGTCCAGCGCTCGCTCAGCGAGGTGCGCCATCTGCCACTGTACATAGATCTTATTGCGCTTGTCGGTAGGGTGACCAGAATAAATTTTACGAAATTGGCGCGCTCATGGCCCGCCTCGGTATCGCCAAGCAATTCGACGACGTCTGGCAGCGCAGCCACAGCAAGGCGATGGTCCGCGATCTCCGCGCCCGGGCCGTGACGCCCATCAGAGACTTTGTCGCCTTCTTGATCGTTGCCAAGTTCCTCCGCTGCGTGCGTTACCGACTAGAGCGCCGCCGACGGCTCTACCGGCGGCTGCTGCACACGGAGCTGCAGTCGCGCAGGGAGCGCATCGAGGCGAAGCTCCATCCGCATCATCTCCCGCCCCTCGAGCGCGTACCACCCGCGCTATTATAGTCCTCGACTATACGTTTCAAAGCTATTTTGGTGCATATATGTCCAAAGGTTTCGCTCGCTATTCATAGTTGGTCCTGGCGAAGGGAGCTAGAAAGGCTGCCGATGGGGCTCTGCGCGAGCTCGAGTCTGGCGCCTGCGGAGGCCATGGCACCGGTCGCGCCACCGACGCCACAAGCTGCGACGTCCGATGCGCCACCTGCCTCAGCGGACGACCCAAGCGACCCACCGCCAGTGGAGTCGTCGAGCGCCCCACCCCGGGCCAACTCTGTCTCGGCCACCGCCCTCGGTCCACCCGTTGTGGCCGACACGAGCCCCGAAGCGCCGCACCGATCGCTGATACCCGACCTCCCGGCCACCTTTCGGCGGTTCTCGCAGCGTCGAAAGTCGTCGTTGACTCAAACCAGGCTCAACTCGTCGTCGTCGACGCGCAGGGTGAGCGCCAACGGTGTGCTCAAGGCCATTCTCGCGAGGAGTTTCCGAGACCTCACTGTGCTGGACACGGACGTGACAACCGAGAGCTTGCTCACCGTAGACTTCCTCCTCGTCCTCCTCAAGAGCTCTTACTTTGCGTAGAGCGTGCGCATTGCCCGCGCCTTCTTTGACTTTATCCACTTCAAGGGCGAAGAAGGTCCCCGCGAGTACCACATGATTGAGCTTGGCGTTAAATTCTGGATGGCCGTGCGAGGTCCGCCTACACTTTGGTGTGCATCTGGTTATCCTTTGGACTAGATCTGGAAAAAATCGCGCCTGGACCGTTTAAAGTGCTCACGGTCATCGGGATTTACAAGACGTTTCTTCAACCCAACGCCAAGCAAGAGGTGAGCCACTCTCGTGTGCGATGCCGTTCTTGCGTCATGTGCGACGACGTACTAGCTTGTGGTGCTGAGTCTGGTCGAGCGACAGCAAATCCAAACCAAGCTGGACGACGACCAGATCCCAGAAACCATCGAGCTCCTCAATCAAATGGCCGACGACGTAAAATCCAACTTGGAAATGTGAAAGGCATCCTGTCGCGTAGGAGGTGCGCTCGTCGGTGCAGCCCGTCTTTGGCGCGTTCGTCGCCGACAAGTCGCCGCACGGGTACACCGAGAGCTGCCTCGCGAAGAGCATGCTCCCCAACATGCAACCCTTCATGAACGAGAAGAAGGAGCGGCTCGAGGAAATTCTCGACCAGTCGCACTCGCGTCGGAGCCTGCGCGACTACTTTGGCCGCGTCGGCGAGTCGCCCGAATTTCTCTTCATCGTCGATGTGCTCGAGTACCGCGACAGCACCGAAGCGCTCATCACAGGTGCGCGTAAAACTATCGACGTATCAAGTCGATACTCATCATGTCGCATTAGAATCGCTCAGTGAAGAGAAAAAGACGTTGCACAGCGGCTTTCTCATGCACACAGTGCACAAGATGTACAACAAGTACCTCAAGGCCGGGTCCAAGTCGATGGTTTTCAATATGTGTATTGGACTTGTCTCATAATCGCGACTAGATTCGCATTTCGAGCACAAACCGTGACATGATTTTGGCCGAAATATCGTGCATGGACCCACCCAAGCTCGATGTGTTTGACGCGGCGCTGCGCGAGTGTTCGTTCTTGCTCATCACGGAGCACCTCGAAGCGTTCTTGTCGTCGCCCGAGTACGCAGGCATGAAGTCGCACCGCGCAAGCCTCCTCGCCGGTACCGCTTCAACCGCGATCGATGTCAAACTATTGGTGTTAGGCGGGTTGCTTCATTTTGGTCATGCGCTCACGGCCCATGCGACGCTTGCAGCATCGTCGAGCGCGACGCACATCGCCGGGGCGGATCGGCTGCGCGTCGAGGACGTTGTTAAAGGTGCAGGGGCCCCGGCCTTTCGCATGCACCTCCGAGAGTACAAGATGGAGCACACGCTGGACTTTTACCTCGAGATTGACCAGTTCCAGCTGCTGCCGCACAACAAGCGCGACTACATTGCGGCCAAAGCATCCAAGATCTTCAACAAGTACATTCGCCGGGGGGCCAAAATGGAGGTTGCGCTCCCGGGGCACATTCGCCAAGCGATTTTGACCTCGATTGCGGACCCTGCGGAAGACATCTTCAACGACGCGCACCTGCACGTCTTGTATCTCTGGGATTCAACGCTCTGGAAAGCCTTTGAAAAGTCGCCCAAGTACATGGAGCTCGTCCAATTGTACAAGGAAGAGCGCGAGGCGGCGGCGACAACGTACGTTCTCTTCGTCTTCAATGAGTGCAGTGACATCATGGTATGTAGGCTGATGACGGGCGGGAACGGCGACGTCAAGGCGCTGCAGATGCTCACGTCCACGGACGTGAAAGCGATTCTGCTCCAAGACGGCCCGCTCCTCACGCAGTTTCACAAGTTCCTCGTCAAGGAAAACTGCACCTCGTACCTCCTCTTCTACATGCAAGTCGAAGAGTACAAGCGGCTTCCAAAGTCCGACTTTCTCGCGCGCCAGAGCAAGAAGATCTACCACCGGTTCTTAAACTCGACCGCCAAAGAGTTTGTGAGCGTCTCGGACGAGACAATGGCAAGCATCCACGAGATGCTTCCGAACCCGTCGCCACAGACCTTTCACCTCGCGCAAGAAGAGGTTCTGCACTTTCTCTGGAAGACGCTCTACCCAAAGTTTCAAAAATCGATTTTTTTCGCCACCGCCATGGCCAAGCCCGCGTCGCCGATCCTGGGGCGGCGCACGCTTAAGGACGGCGACGCCCCGCCCATGTCAGGCCGCTCGCGCCGGTTCCTCCCGACGGCGGTGCAGCGGACGTTTGCCTCCCGCGTTTCGACGAGCCGGACGCTCACGGCGCCGACGATCGAGGACATTTTGGCCAATCCGCAGAGCCGCGCGCTGTTTCTGGCGTTTTGCGAAGACATGTACACTCTCTCTATTGGTCTTCGGTGTTGATGACAATATTGTGCATAGCTTCTGTGCCGAGAGCATGTACTTTTGGCTCGAATGCCTCGAGTTTCAGCGCATTCCGCACACCGACTACCTTCGCTTGCGCGCGCAAAAGATTTTCCGCAAGTACATTGCGACCTCGGCCAAGCTCCAAGTCAATCTCATTCACTCGATCGTGCGCGACATTGAAAAGCAAATGGAGAACCCGGGCCGCCAGCTCTTCGCCAAGGTAGTCCAACACGTGCTTGAGGACAGGGTCTCAGTTCATGAGGGACGTAGGCCCAGCAAGCCATCGTGTTTATGCTCAACAAGGACACGCTGCCCAAATTTCTCAAGTCCAAATACGTACGTCGCCACCATCATCGTCGTTGGTGGCTCATGCTCGGATGCGTCGTCTAGTACGACCCGTGCTGCAAGATCATTGCAGACGCACAAAGCTAGAGCGTGTGCCCGTCACGAGACGCGCAGCCGTCGACTCGGCGCCAGACGTGCGTAGAGTTAGCTAGGCCAACGAGACATATTTAACCCGATGGAGACCAGAAATTGGTGGATCACACACCGTGCAATGCACACTGCCCTGCCAGAGCACGTGGTGCGCCGGTCCGAGACAAACGAGCAGAACGCTGCAGCCACAGAGTCGGCTGAGACGCTTGAGCTGAAGCGAGATGGACCGTATGAGACCGAGCTCTACATTTAGCGTTTAGCCGCAAGAAGGAGCCACGTGGATACCGTAGGCGTCGTGTGTGGCCTGCTGGAGGCACGCCATGTCCACGACCAAAAGCTTTGGCGCGCGTTCGGCCGTCGCCTACGCACGCATCGCATTAGCTAACGCTTGCGCTACCAGCCCGTACCAGCGCCTCGAGCGTCCACAAAAGCTGCGCGAGCGAGCGCAGTGGCTCCAGCTGGACGTTCTGCAGCAGGTCGCCGACGCACAGTCCTTGCCGCTCTATTCGCGCGGCCAGGCGCTTGGCGAGCACCGGGAGGAACGGGCCGATCGCGACGACGTAGTCGCCAGCCTCGGCGCGCTCGACCACGAGGCCATCGACCACGTCAACCTGGAGCGCCTCCGGTCCCTCGACGCCGTGCACACAAGCGCTGAGCATCGCCGTATCCGGATGTCCTGGATATCCGGATGCGACGCGTCTTGCATCCGGACGACCGCTGCATCCGCTCGCGGCCCTATCCGGATGACCAGCATCTGGCCTCACCCACGTGCAGATCGCTACGCCCGTTGCTTGCAACAGCAACGGCGCTCGCTAGACGCACGCGCGACGGGTGCTAATAGTATCACAAAGCAGCTACGATATAGTGCTGAAAACTGGAGCACGCGTCATTCTCGCAATCTTCGGCAGCCTTCGTGGCGCTTCGAGGTGTCGCCTCCAAACAGACGGGCCGTGACATCACCATAACGCTGCATGGGCATGCGACGCAACTCCCAGGGAAGTTGCCTTGCGCGGTGCCATCCCATGCTATTACCACGTGCCTGTCCGACCATCACAGCACTGAGCTTGTGGTCACACGGTCGCCGAGCTTGACACCGTGGCGTCATCGCTTCGATTACCGCCGCTCAGCTTATCTTTGCATCGATGGCGTCCGGTCCTCTGGCATCGCGGCCAGTCGAATCTCAACGTGTCGACGCTGGTGGGGTGCATCATCACGAGGTGGTGTTTTATTGGTTGAAATCCTACATTTCTATGGTATCCACCAATCCAGATCGAGCCCGTTTTGATGACATCACAACGCGTTGCACGGCCGTACAAGAGCGTACCGTCCACCCCATTTCTATACAAACATCGTGTTCAAACGTACAACACGTACGTTGGATTGTACGCTCATGTACGCCTTTGCCCGAACCCTCTTTTGTCAAAGCGTATCCTGCGCATCTCATTTTCGGATTGGTTGCCATGTGCCAAGGTCAAGCTCCTTCCAAGGCCAACGCGCTCCGCGCGGCTGGGTACCGCCCGGTTGCCGGGACGCCCGAGCCGCTGCCGCTCGAACCGCCGACGATCACGCTCAAGGACCTGCGCGCGGCGATTCCGGCGCACTGCTTTGAGCGCAGCGCGGCCACGAGCTTCTACCACTTGGCCAAGAACCTTGCGATCTGCGCCGGCGTCTTCGTCGTCGGGCTTCAGCTCGCGGCCACCGACTTGCCGCTCGCGGCCAAACTGGTCGCGTGGCCCATCTACTGGTTCGTCCAGGGCACGTACTTCACGGGCATTTGGGTCATTGCGCACGAGTGCGGCCACCAGGCGTTCTCGGCGTCCGAGGTCCTCAACGACACGGTCGGTATCATTCTGCACTCGCTCCTCTTTGTGCCGTACCACAGCTGGAAGATCACGCACCGCCGCCACCACTCGAACACGGGCAGCTGCGAGAACGACGAGGTGTTCACGCCGACGCCGCGGTCGGTGGTCGAGGCCAAGCACGACCACTCGCTCCTCGAAGAGAGCCCTTTGTACAACCTGTACGGCATTGTCATGATGCTCCTCGTGGGCTGGATGCCGGGCTACCTCTTCTTCAACGCGACGGGCCCGACCAAGTACGCGGGCCTCGCCAAGTCGCACTTCAACCCGTACGCGGCCTTCTTCCTCCCGAAGGAGCGCCTTAGCATCTGGTGGAGCGACCTCTGCTTCGTCGCGGCCTTGGGCCTCTTTGGCTACGGCGTCTCGGTGTTTGGGATTCTCGATGTTGCTCGCCACTACCTTGTGCCGTACCTCATCTGCAACGCGTACCTCGTGCTCATCACGTACTTGCAGCACACGGACACGTACGTCCCGCACTTCCGCGGCGACGAGTGGAACTGGCTCCGCGGCGCGCTCTGCACGGTCGACCGGTCGTTTGGCGCGTGGATCGACGGCGCGATCCACCACATCGCCGACACGCATGTGACGCACCACATCTTCTCCAAAATGCCCTTCTACCACGCGATGGAGGCGACGCAGGCCATCACGCCGCTCCTCGGCAAGTACTACCTCATCGACCCGACGCCGATCCCGATCGCGCTCTGGCGCTCCTTCACGCACTGCAAGTACGTCGAGGACGACGGCAACGTGGTGTTTTACAAGCGCAAGCTCCAGGAAAAGTAAATAGAAACAATCAAAACAAGCGTGCAGTGAATACGGTGGCTACATTGACGAGGACATTTCGGGTGGCGGGAGCTCGGAGAGGGCGCGCTGGCGCTGGAGCCGGCGCGCACCGACCTTGTGCATGAGCCAGCGCAGAATGATGCGTGCGGCCACATGCTGCGCAATGGGCTTGACGTCGACGCACTTGACGATGCTGCTATGCATGGCCTTGAAGCGTCTTGCCCAGTGGTCGTGGAAGGCCTTCGTGATACCCATTTGGTCCATGAGCAAACTCATTTGCCGGAAGCGCACCGGGTCGCCCTAATGAGAAGTCAAAGCCAACGAACGCCAAGGCACTCGTACCTCGCTCATGGACCGAATCACGAGGGCGCGGGGAACATCCCGAAAATGCACAAATTTACTGTCAAAGATGGCGATGCCCAGTGTGCCTACAGAGTTGCAGTGCGTTGATGAACAAGATCGCAGTGGAATGCCTACCGAGAACGTGCTGAACACGCAGCAGTGTGTACTGCGGCAGGCCGTGGAAGCCCAGTGGGGGTGGGAGGCTCCGCAGCACGCGACAGAGATCGTCGACGTGCAAGAGCCCGACACCTCCGGGGTCGTACTTGGACCAGAGCCGCGCGAGTTCCGGAAGGTCTTCGACCGCCGACGCTGTCGTGGCGTCGGCGTCAGCCACCGCGTCGACGAGAATGCCTAAGTGGTTTTAGATGTGGAGAAAGTACTGCGTCAAGTACTCGAGAAGAGGTTGAGCCCAATGTAGCCGACGACCATCATGAAAATGTAGAAGAACGGAATGACGAGCCACGTGCCTAGGTGCTTGCTAGAACACGAAACGAAAAGTGGTGCATTGTACCGCAGCCGTCCAGCGGGACGCAGTCGATTGCGTCACCAAAGCCACAGACGGACGCGTTGAACGCAGGCTCCATGCATTCGGGGTTGCTTGGCGGTGAAATGTGGTAGAGTTCCCAGAGGTAGTTGTTCCAGTTCTCACCGGTCGAGAATCCAATGAGCGTCTGGAGCGCGAGCCAGAAATTTTGAAAATTCTGGTGCGGGTTGACCATGATCGGGCCGTACGCGACTTTGGCGAAGAGCTGAACGCCGACTGCGGCAAAGATGTAGTAGAGCAGCATGAGGAGGGCTGTGACGTTGGCGACGGCCGGTAGTGAGACAGTGATGGTGTCGAAGAGGCTCTTCATGAGCTTGGCTTTTTGGATGAGCCGGAGCGCGCGGCCGGCGCGGAAGACGCGGAGCACCGTGGCCATGCCCGCGCCGAGCTTGGACTTGACCGTCACCAACGGTAGGAGGAGCGATACGAGGGATGTGAGCACAATGATAAAGTCGAACCGGTTCCAGCCATGCTTAAAGTAGACGTGCGGGCCAATCGCCGCAATCTTGGTGAGCGCTTCGGTGAAGAAGAGCACTGCAAACGCATTGTTGATGCCGTCGATCGAATCCCCAAGCACCTCGGGCTGGCCAAAGTACGTCGTTGTCATGACGGCCATGTTCAAGAGAATGCAGCCGGTCATGACGTGCTCAAAGTACCTGTAGCCCGCAATGCGATAGCAGAGACGTCGAAAGCAATTGCGTGGCATCGGGTACTGCACGATGGGCGAGAAGGCGACGAGCCGTCGCTGGAGGTTGATCCAGTTGATCTGCTCGTCCGTGACAAAACCACCGTACTTTTCGCGGATAAAGCTGTCGCACAAGACGCCGATGAAGAGGTTGGGCATGAAAAACGCGCCAAAAATCATGAAAATGACCCAAAAGAGCGCAAATTGCGGCTGCGCATGAGGAATTGGCTGCATGTCTTCGCCGCGCGCATCGACCGACGCCAGCGCGACCGCGGTCCAGCCCTCAAACGTCGTGAGCTCGTACAGCGAGCCCATCGCACGTAGGAGGTTGTCAAAATTTTGCGGCACGGGCGCACTCCACGTCATGTTGAGCGACGGCGCAACCACGGTGCTGAAGCAGAGACAGACGTCTCTGGACGTCGGTGCCTTGTCGTGCGAGAAGTGACACTGCGCTTGCCAGATGGGCTCGAGATGCGCTTGGGAGGCCGGGTCCATGTCGCGCCAGGTGCGTGGAAATGTCATGACATCGAAGCGCTCCAGGTCGCTGCGGCTGTAGTTGCCAACGTACGTTGGCGGGAACCACGGCGGTACGGGCTTGTACGTGGCGTTCTCGAGATAGACGTACGGCCCGATCGAGCACGAGTTGAGCGAGCCCTTGAAGAAGTGGACGCACGCGATGCCAAAAAGCATGAGCATATAGACGAAGAAGAGAAGCGACTTGGCAATTTCCGGAATGCACCGGAAGAGCGTGTTGACAACGACCTTGAGCTGCGGTAGTTGGCTAATGACGCGGAGGGGTCGCAGCGCGCGCAGCGTACGCAGGGCTCGGATGCCACCGACGTTGACGTTGGTCGCGGACGTGCTCCAAAGCGCCAGCGACGACAAGACGATTGTGCCATCGAGTGCCTAGATTCACGTTGAGGTTGAGATTCAAGTGCAGAGATGGACCTTCCACGGGTCTTTGATGTAGTCGACGACGCCGATCGCAAGTAGCGTGATCGCCATTTCAATGGCAAAGAGCGCAGCGTACACGCGGTTCGCAGTGATGAGGACCCAACCAAGTCCGTCGGACGCGTCCAGAAGCGGCGTATCGAGGGCGGTGGTGACCGTCGCACACGCAATCACCAGCCCGGTTGCGCGCTCCCAGAAAGACGAGCTCACAATCTGGAGGCAGGTCGAGCGGAGCGGAAAGCGCACCGAGAGCACGTGGCGGCGATCGCTGTTGGCGCGCTGGATCGCGGGCTCGAGACGCTTGACAGAGCGCTGGACGTACCGCATCTGCATGAGATGGCGGTGACTCTGCTGCTGGACGTGCGACTCGTCGTAGATCGCCCGGAGTTCTTTGACCGGATGCGCATCGTCATCGTCGACTTGGTTCATGACGCAGGAGACGGTGATGGCCGAGAACATGTTCATGACGACCCAGACGCCGAGGACGATGATCGAGACAAAGTAGAGTGGCGCGAGCGGTCCGATGCTGAGCCAGCCGTCGTACATGACGTTGGGCCAGTCGTCGTACGTGAGGATCTGAAACACCGTAAAGAGCGCGTTTGGGAGCGTGTCAAAGTTGGACCGGTGCAGATTCAGCAAGGACGCCTTCGCCGCCGGCAGCGGGCGGTTGTTGCCGTCAAAGTAAAACTTGGTCGCGAACAAATCCATGCCCATGAGGGCGAAGATGTACACAAACAGCGCCAAGAACACGAGGAAGTGGACGATTTCGCCCATGGCACTTGTCGTCGCCAGAAGCAGTCGCCGAAGCGGCCCCCACGCCTGCGCGAGGCGTAGCACCCGCAGCGCTCGGAGCGCGGTGAAGGGCGACGACGGCGAGATCGTGCCGTCAATGAACCCGGGCTTGTTGACGCAATAGTCGATCACCCCGAGAAGGATCGACGTGGCGTCGAGCCAGTTGAAGAGCTCCCTACAAGCGTGACATGATGATGCCATCTGCGCCGATGAACCGAGTCCTAAACGCACTTGAAATATGGACCGGGCCCGAACGCGAGGAGGCGCAAGACGAGGTCCAGGACGAACCAGAGAAGACACACAAACTCGACGAGTTCCACGCCAAAGGCAAAGCTGTAGCTCATCTGATAGTGCGTCGTCGCGAGTGCAATGACGTTAAGGAGCGTCATGACCATGTTGAACATATAGTAGCCGCGGTAGTTGTAGACAGCTTGGACACGGCTGCGCGCACTGCGGACGCGCGGGTGCCGGAACGACTGGTGGAGCCGGTGCTGCAGCGGCACCAGCGTCTGCCTAGAGTGCCCACGATAAAAACAAAACACAAAACACCAACCTACCACACACGCCGTCGGACGATTGAGAGCTCCCGCGCGTCGGCTTCGTCCTTCCTGCATGCATTCGGCGGTTGGAACGCGAATGACGAGGCAGGAGGTTCACGTACTCGAGGCGGAGCTGGGCGGCCTGGGCGTCGCACGCCTTCTCGAACGCCGAGACCATGATCGCCATGTTGATTTGCAGTAAAAAGCACATGCCCACAAAGAGCACGACGTTAAAGTAGATGCCGGCACCGATCCATGAGTAGGCGTCTTGCGTCTACGCCTCATACGTCAGAATGACAGGTTATATCAGTATGACGCGTCGAGCGCCGTACGTTTTCCGTCAGGAGCATCCAACCCGAGGCCGTCACGGTTTGCATGATGATGATGAGTGCGCTCCCGACCGAGTCAAAGTGCGTGAGGCCAAAGTTCAAGGCGACCACAAAGTCCGGTTCCGTCATGATGGAAAACACCAGCGCGCCATTCGATGCGTACAGGTCGTGGAACCGCGCGTGGCCGCGCGTGTCGTAGTTGGAGCCGCAGAACGTCCCTGGGGCGCACATGCGGCTGCCGCAGTACTGCTTGTCATTGGGGTTGAGCGGCCAGAAACATGCTTCCGGCGTCGTCCAGTTGTCGTTCTCGACGTCGATGCGGTTGCAGGCATACGCACTTGGGTTCTTCACGGCGAGCTTGATGTACGTTGCGTTCAAGTACGCTTCGAGCGATGGCGTCGCGCTCGGGTCAAAGGGTAGCGCGATCGGGTGCGGCGTGAGGCGGCAGCGGAAGTGGGACTCGCCGCACCAGATCTGGACGCCGATGATGGCAAACACAAGGTACGAGAACGCGAGGAGGATGGAAATGTTGAGCTGCGCGGGCAGCGCTGAGAGGAGCGCGTTCACAAGCACCTTGAGGCTCGGGACCGACCGCACCGTGCGCAGCGGCCGCAAAATGCGCAGAAATCGAATGCCGGTTATCGTCGTCTTGGCCTCGGAGAAGAGCAACGACACAATGCTACCCAAAGTGCATTGACACATTGATCGATTTGGTATAAGGTGGTGTACGGTACCCCGAGGCGACAATGAGACCGTCGAGCTTGTTCCAGGGGTTGGCCACATACCCGCGCGGGCCCAAGACTCCGTGGGCGATGCACTTGAACGCCATCTCGAGCATGAAGTAGGCCAGCGTCACGAGCTCAATCTAGTCCATTGAAATGGAAAACATTGTCATTCAAATGACGTCGTACCATCTGAACCGCGCGGTTCACGCGCAGCGTCGGGCCGTTCGTGGGCGCGCTGCCGTTGGCCCACGGGTCCGAGTAGTCGACAAAACCCATCGCAATCGAGTTGATGAGGACGAAGAGGAGCGTGACCCGGGGCATGTATTTGTGCGTCACGACCGCGATGCAGGCGCGGCGGACGGGATTCGATTGCGCGAGGACGCCAAACGCCAATGGCTCAAACTAGCCCAACTCAGATGCAATAAGCTACGAGACGAGACGTACGTTGTCGGGCGCGGCTTTGCGGCGAAAGCTTTTCGACGAAAGGACGGGCGCGACGGCGCCCGGAACGAGCGCGGCGGGCGGCCCGGCCATTCGCGTAGGAAGCAAGCCGTTGCGTTTAAACTTATATAAAACTGGCGCGGGTTGTGAAACCGGACCCGTCTCAGGTTTCTTGTAAGCGACCGGTTTTCGTATCTTGTAGCCGAAAGCTCTAGACATTTACTAGTACGCTTGTCTTTCCGGTTCAGTGGGTCGTGGCCCATGCAACTTTGAACACCATGCGTCAACATGACGCAGAGAGCATTGACTTGCTAGTGGTACAACGATATACTAGTACCCCCGATGACATGCGCGATCACGAGCGTAACCCCACAAAACCCGGCAAATGGCACCAAGGCGATCCCTAGGCGCTTGAAGTCGCGACCCAGTACAACAAGGGCAGCCTGAGCGCTTAGAGCTGGTCTTTGCTGCGTACCTGTGCGCTGCTTGGAAGTGCGTTCACGCGAATAGGTTCTTCTTTTCGTCTAGTATGACCACAGAGCTTATCCGATCTTCCTCTTGACACCAAGTGCAAGACGACATGTGATTGGGTCCATTTTTGATGACGCTACATTTGATTGGCTAAAATGCAGCGCGTCTCGAGACAGGCGGCGATGACAAGGGCAAAGTGGGATGACGGAGCCAACGGTGACGACGCTTTCGGCGGCGGCCATGCCGGCGGACCGGCACGTGCTTAAGTACGTTCAGCTGCGCTACGACGACAATGACAGCCTCGTTTGCACGGACGACGCCATCTCGGACGAGGAGCAGGCGCTGCTGGCGTACACGCCGACGCCGGCGCCGCGCTCCAAGGTGCTCTTGCACAGCTGCTGCGCGCCGTGCAGTGGTGCAATGGTCGAGGAGATGCGGTACCTCATGGACCTCGACATCACCATCTTCTTTTACAATCCGAATATCCACCCCAAGCGCGAGTACGAGATTCGGAAGGATGAAAACATCAAGTACGCCATCAAGCACGGCATCCCGTTCGTCGACTGCGACTACGACTCGGACGCGTGGTTCAAGCGCATGGTGGGCTTCGAGCTCGAGCCGGAGCGCGGCGTTCGCTGCTCGGCTTGCTTTGACATGCGCATGGAGGTCACGGCCGCGTACGCGGTCGAGCACGGCTTCGACTACTTTACGACGACGAACGCCACGTCGCGCTGGAAGGACGAGCTGCAAGTCAACTTGGCGGGCGTGCGCGCAGCGCTTTTGTATCAGAAACAGCGAGGTACTTCGATAGCATGACTGCGTTCATGCTAACAGAGGTCTAGGCGCCACGCTCCAGTTTTGGGTCTACAACTGGCGCACGGACGCCATGACGCGCCGCAAGTACGAAGTGTCGGTGGACGAAAAGTTCTACAAGCAAGAGTACTGCGGCTGCTCGTACTCGCTCCGCGACTCGAACGTCTGGCGCGCGCAGCAGGGCATTCCCAAGGTAGTAGAGTAGTGAGGTGTTAAAGCGACACAATGCCATGTAGGTCAAGATTGGCGGCGAGACGGCCGGGCTCGGCACGCGCTACTTTGAAGACGTCGAGGCGGACGAGGCCGAGGAGTCGCAGGAGGTCGTCGACGCCTTCTTCCGCGACGCCAACGCGCACTTTGGCGACGAGAAGCGGCCCAAGAAGTACCAGGAAGCGCTCCAAAAGTCCAGCGCGGTCTTCGTCGGCCGTCAAAAGTCGGTCGAGAACATTGACGCCAACAACTGGTAAAGGCGAGAAAGAAGAGCCTCGTGTCGGTCTTCCTATCCTTCTTCTATTACTCAGTACGTACGACGCTTCTATGAAGCCGTTTGCATGTTGTCTTGGGTATCTTGGCCGAGCGTTTTCTTCAGGCGATCTTGTTTCTCTTGTTTGACACCCTCAGCAGACATCCCTGTAAGCGCACTCTTCTTCTAGTCTATTTGACACGCAAAACTGGCGTACGAGGTCTCTGCAGTAGAAAATGCGTCGTGGTGTACTGACCACCGTGGTGGTCAAGGAAGAGTAAACAATAAATTCTCGTTCGGACTATTGATCTACTTGAAGAGCTCCTTGCGGAGCAAGTCGGCACGGCCACGCACCGAATTGACGAGCTTAACGCCGTCCTTCGTGAGCACGTTGCCGTCCGCATCGAGAAACACCAAGGTCGGAATGAACTCGACGCCAAAGTGCGCGCTCAGCGACGCCTTGAGCTCGCGCTGCGCGAACGGGAGCGCTGGAAACGGCATGTCAGCCCAGTAGGTTTCAAAGCCAGCGAGCTCCTTGTCGGATGAGACAAAGACGAGCTCCATGTCGTCGTAGTCTTCGACGAGATCTTCGTAAAAGGTGGAGAGGAGCGGCGTAAACGCGCGGCACGGCGGGCACCAGTGCGCCGAGAAGTAGATACCCACGACCTTCTTGTTGGCGAGCGCGTCGGTTGTCGGGACGATCCCGGCCTTGGTTTGGATCTCCGCTCCCAAGAGCGCGTGCAGGGTCATGGTGCAGGTGTACTTGTAAAATGCACAAGTGGTCTTGGAAGGCCACTGGATCGCGCGACGCTGATTGGCGGCGATCCGTGTCAAAATACCGTACATTGGTACTGTACCCAATGTACCGTAGCACTTGGAATTTGTAAAAAATGTACGCATGTGTACGTACGATGCAGACTGTGGAAGCGGCTCGAGACAGGCCACAAGGTGACGTGGGGATCAGAAAAAGATCGCGAACGATCGCGGCGCCCAACCCCTCGCAATGGCTGACCTTGCAAGGGGATGTTGCAATATTTCTTTTGTAGTTAGTCGACATAAAACGAAGCTGACCACGGTACAGCACACATCGAGGTGAGATCCAGGCGTCCTCGACGAGCACGCAGAGCCAGCTCCGAGGACATTTAATGTACTTGTATACTTTTGCAGTAGCTCGACTCCACCATTGGTACCGCTCGTGTGTCATTGCACGAAGACTCACAAGGGCACTTTGTGGTTGAGCTGTTGTTGACCACGCCACTTGACAGATTTCTAGCTGCACTTGGGGGGAGGTCGTTTGCATCACGATGGCCAGCTCCCAGCCGAGGACTTTAGGAACGGCAAGATTATTATCGACGAGCTAACGGCGAGCGGATTACAGTGCATGACGGGCTCGCGCCGCTGTAGTGAACGGAGGGCGTGTATTCGCATACACGCCATCAACGTCACGACATGGTCTTTTCTTGTATACCTAATCGAGCGCGTGGCGGGGGCACGCTTGCGTTTGCAGTCCCACAGCAAGCAAATTCATCAAGCGGATGATATGGGTCCAGCGTACACCTGGTATGTACTCGCACGAGTTGTCTCTCCAAACCGCCGCCGTCCGTGGCCGCCAGGTGGAGGCGAATGCTGGCGAGGAAGCACAACCACGAGCAAGACGACGAGAAGATCCGAAACGAAGATGCACACCGACCAGATGCTAGATTCGAGGTGACGCAGCGCTGACCCTGTCGTGCGTTGGCTGGTCGCGGATCTCGCGATGCACTACTGCCCATTAAAGCGATCCCAGCGCACTCGGTCAAAAGGAATCTTTTGTCGTCTGGCCTCCGCCCTATCATCCGCAGCATACTGCACTCCGGCACCGTGCGAGCCAACCATTTCGATCATCAAATAAGCTCAACTCTCGAAAGTTTGGACGATGCAAGCGGCGTTCGCGGCCAGGGGCGCGGGCCGCTGCTCGTACGTGATGAAGCATCGCCCGTTGCGGCGTAAAACCCTGTGCAACGATGGGTCATTCCTTTGATGCACGCACGCGCACCAATCGGAAGGCGTGACGCTGAAATACGAGCCAATCGGATTTCGAACGCCCCAAACAGAGTGTTTTTAGCGTTTTGCACCCGGTTGCGAATCTGCCAGAGATGCGCATCACCGCGCTCGTGCGTCCGCTCTCGGTGCGCTCTCGGTGGAGCCGCTCTCTGCGCCACACGGTGTAGCAGCCGGCCATAGGGTCCCAGTGTAGTGGTCGCGTTGCTGCTGCTCGACTTCTCCACGGCCCACCGCAAGTAATCTGAACGCTGAGCAGCTGCCGCCAGATTCACGTGACCACTCTGCGCGATGAATCTTGTCACAGTGTCACTTGCGCTTTTACCATGTTCTTTGTACCTTCAACGAGCAGCGCCGATCTGCTAGCGCTCGAGAACGACCGCCTCCGCCTCCAGCTGCAGAAGGAGCAGGCGACGATCCGGTCGCTGCAGGCGCAGCTGCAGGCGCAGCACGCCACGGCCGCCGAGGCCACGTCCGACCGCCTCGCCCTCGAGCGCGAGTACGCCACGCTCAAGTCGTTCATCACGAACGCCTTCAACCTCCCCAAGCAACTGCCACGCCTCTCGGTCACGAGCGTGCTCCCGAGCGCCAAGTCGGCGTCGCCGCCCCGCCACCGCACCTCGCGTGCGTCGTTCCTTGGCCCGCTCCTTGAAGAATCCAGCGACAGTGACAGCGATAGTATGGACGAGCCAAGCGTCGTAGCGCCCAAGGCATCTGCCAAGGACGCGGCCACCGTCTTGGCGCAGAGCGCCGCGAACCTCATGACGCTCCACCGCTCGTCCTCCGAGCGCGTGCTTCGCGACAACTGGTGCGAAGAGCCCATCGTGGCGCCGGCGCCGCCCGCACGAGACGCTTGGAACAAGCTGCTGCTCGACTGGGCCCAAGGAGACGCGCGCAAGCACGCGTACCTCTCCGAGTGGCTCGCGTACCACTTGAACGGCCAGCGCCACGCTTCGCCGTACGCCAACCCTCGCGTCGAGCTCAAGTCGCTCACACCCGCGCAGCTCGATGGCTTCAAGCGGCTCGTGCTCCCTGCGCTGCGCGCCGCGCGCCCGGACCTCGACGTGCGTGGCTATAGCAAGGACTACATTGGTCATAGTCTCCGCATCGTGCTGGACGGACCCACGTCCCCGATTCGGTCGTCGCTCGCGTCGATTGCCGAGCGCTAATGTGTCTCTTGTGTTAACTTATCCCATTTTGCTAAAACCATGTAGTAATTTCAAGCCTTCTTCGTGTCCATGATTCGTCCTAGTACTGCTGTTTTGGTGCTCTATGCCACCACACTTGCTACACGTCGACGTCGGCGGCAATCGGAGCGCCATCGACCGTCACCGCATACGAAAATACTGAACGCTCGTCGAGAAGAACGAGCCTTCGAGCGAGATGCGCACGCTGACGTCGTGGCCGTTGTGCGTGAACGTGAAGGCGTCGCCGCCGTCCCAGAGCAGCCGCGCTTGCGTCTGGAGCTCGCCGTTGCAGTAGACAGCGCGGAAGCCGCCGTGAAGACCATGTTGCACTTCGACAACGAGCGGCGCATCGGCAAAGGCAATGTGCCACCAGAGTTGCTTCCACGGAAACGTGAGCAAGATAGCGTTCGCCGGGTGCTTGATTTCCTCGAGGGTCACGGTGACGTCGCCGAGGCGCCCCTGTCGGACGATCGGGACGCTGTCCTTGCCCTGCGAGGTACTGAGAAGGACACTGCCGGCGAGCTCGGCTTGTAACATGGTCTCGAGCGCCACAACGTCTATTGTAAACATGTCGCATACTCCGTGGACGACGCAACCAACCTGGCTCGTCCGGCACCTTGTACCACGACCGATTAGGAAACCCCACAGCGACCCAGTCGGGTGGCGCGGTCCATAAATTATACACGGCCTCTACGCCGTCGTCGTGAGACAAGCGAGAAGCCAAAGGAAGAAAATGCACGTCATACCTGTGATGCGCTCGATCGTGATCTTGGTCGCATCCGGCGCATCCAGAGCGACCCAGCCCTTGTCCTTGAGGCCGACGTACGTGAGGTCCGTGTCCGGGAGACCAAACTGGAGCAGCGCGACGAACGCCTTCATGCATCGATACATCACATCAACCGTCGCGACGCAAGCAAGGAATACCTGGTTCTCGTCCATGTACTTGAGCACGGCGCTGGTCGGTTCCGGCGACACGAGGACGCGGACGCGCGCTTTGGTGCGGTAGTAAAACTTGCCATGTTGCTTCTCCGGCTCTAGACACGACGTCACGACACCATCGAATGGCAACGCGTCGTCGAACCTTTGCTCAGCGCGACGAGCACCGCGTCGCCTTGGGCCGTGCGCTCGTAGATCCAGCCCGGCTCGTGCGCGAGCTTGACATAGGTCATGTCGGACGCAGGCGGGATGTACCTACATCGTGTATGGGCATCTCGCTAGAACACGCCGTCGCACCGCAAGCTGCTCTCGACGATGGACCCGACGGGCTTGGGAAAGCTGCCTTGGACGCGAGGACCGTCAATGTCGGGTGCCATGCGCACGGGCACGGCGATCTGGACCTTGTAAAACTTGGGCACATCGATCGTGGTCGCATCTACCCCCATACAAAACTCGTGCCAAACGATTCTTCGTAAGGGATAGAGTACCGCCGTCAATGGCCGAGACGAGGAGCTCGCCACGGCGCGTGGTTTCGGGCACCCATCCCGGTGCGTGCCGCAGCTTGAGAAAGGTGACGACCGACGTCGCGGCGCTTTCATCGTCGTCGGCGAGGGCGACATCGAGGCGCAGTCGCTCGCGGCACTCGATGACCTGAAGCCGCGTCGACAGTACCGGGCTCTCAAACGACGGTGCAGAGAAGACGGGCACGCCATTGTCCGTGTCCAAGACGCGGTAAAAGCCCCGCGCAATGTCCCGCTGGATGAGACTGTGCAGCGGCGACAAGACCACCTACATTGATCGCTTCCAAAATGCGATCAGCGGACCGGACGTGCTTACCTGGCCGTCCATGGTCGACTCAAAGACCCAGCCGCGCTCGTGGAGCAGCTTGACGTACGTGATGGGCGACCCCGTCGGCGTGAAGCGCTGCGAGCCTTCCACGATCGTGTTGAGGTGGAAGCCCTTCCCGACGCGCGGGCCCATGATATCGGGCGACTCGCGGATCCCCACGGCGATCTTGACGCAGTAGAAGAAATGACCGTGCTCCAGTGTCCCTTCTTTCCCACTTAGCGTCGTGATCGTCACGTTGTGGGGCGATGTGACCGAGACCGCACTCGGTCGCGTCACGATCGGCGCTTCGTCGAGGCGCTCGAGCACGTGGCGGCCGCTGGGCAGCTGCACGTTGAGCCACCCGGCGGGCTTGAGCTCGACAAAGGCCACACGGCTTTGTGGAAAGGTGACGACGCGAGCGACTTCGACAATGTCGTTCGGGCGCTTCGTGTCGACCGGCGAGACCTTGGGCGCCAAGCAGTCGGGGCCTACGAAAAGGCGTAAGACAGCCGCGATAGCGTGCGAGGAAGCGCACCCGTGCGCACATCGAGGGGCACGAGCACGCGAAAGTAGAAGCTGGGCGACGCGACCTCTTCCGTCCACGTCGTCTCGGGCAGGAGCTCGACGTTGCGCGCGCCATCCAGCGCGTTCTCGAGAGGAATCCAGCCGGCGGCGTGAGCGAGCTTGAGGTACGACACGTCGCTCTCTTCGTAGCCGCTACTATGGCGGCGACCAGGCGGATGCGACTGCGACGGCGACAATGGCTCTTGCTGCGACTGCTGGCCCGCGTCGACGACCTCGACGACCTCGCCCGGCATCTTGCGCGCGTTGTGCACGTACGAGTCGGGCATGGGCGCGTCGGCTACGCGCACCTCGCGCAGGACGCGGTAGAACTGCCGGGGTCGACCCATGACGCCTCCGTGTCTTCCTTTCGACTGCCCTCTATTGTCCGGATAGCGCTTGAAATCCATCGTTTTGAGTTTGAGTCCACGTCCATAAAAAGGGCACTTTCGATTTGGATTGAGTTTGAGCGGACACCTGGCCAAGGATTATTAGGCAAGGCCCGATCCTGTGTTGCTTGCGAACACTGATGCTACAGCCGACTACGGTCCGACGTGCGTAATGCCTCCGTCGGCGCAGGATCCTACCGTACGTTGCCTGGGATATACAGCCCACCCAGCTTAGCGGTTCATTGCCTGAGTGGCCACCCAGCTTAGCGGTTCATTGTCTTAGCGGTTCATTGCCATAGCGGCTCATTGCCTCGTTCATGCAGGAATGTTAGAACGTCGCGTTGGTTTTGCCGCATTGGCGAGAGCCGTCATGACGTCTGGAGGCTACGAGGTTGTACCTCAGGTGTACCTGCGTCTGCAGAGCGTCGTGCCCTTGTAGTAGCTTGTCAGGCTGGTCTGGCGGGGAGGGGTGTGGTGCGCTTCGCGATTGGTCAAAAGTCGTCTGGAAAGCCAGCTGGCGGCCAATCACCGGCGTTTGAGACGCTTTTGCACCAAAACCAACTCATTTTCTTAGTGGGCGACGATGACGACGATGGCAGCGCTGCGCGAAGAGAACGAGCGCCTGCGCCGGGCCCTCGCGCAGCAGGAAGACGAGTACGCGACGGCGCTCAATGAGCAGCGCGAGCTCAAGATCAAGCATGCGCAGCTTCTGTACCGGCAGCGGCTGCGCCAGCGACACCCGTCGCTCGTCATGAAGGAGCACGACACGCCCGAGACGTTTGACTTTCATCGCCGCGAGATGCGCATCATCTTGCTCGAGGAGGCGTACGAGCACATGCTGCGCCTCGCAGACAAGGGCGCGACGTGGCTCGACCCCAACTCGGACGACGACGTCGAGCTTTTGGACGAGCATCAGTCGTTCCACCGATTGCACCGCCATTGGCACCGCCACCGCATGCCGGCCGACCTCGAAGACACGTTTGACGCTGGCGATGACAACGACGACGACGACCCGACGATTCCGATGAACCTCGAAGCCGACTGCTGGAAGGACCTGCTCAACATGTACGCCAACGGCAACCCGCAAAAGCTCAAATACCTCACGTCCTGGGTCCGCTACATCCTCCTTGGCGGCTCGATTGGCACGCCTGACGCGCAGTTCCGCGCCGGCGTCGAGCTCACGTACCTCTCGAGCGAGCTCATTGAAGGGTTCTCCAAGATTCTCATCCCGGCCATCCAGCAGTACCGGCCGGACCTCGAAGTCCACGTGCTCACAAAAACCGTCGTGGACCGGAGTCTCCGCATCGTCGTCATGCCCCGCAAGAAGCCGCTCTCGCCACCGCCAGCGTCGTAGCGCAGGACGCCGTTTATTTAATACTACTTCAATACTAGGACAGACAATAGTGTACATGCAACGCCCAGTGGATGTTTCAAAATTCTGTTCGGAATCCGATTCCAGCTTGGATGTCAGACCGACGTTTCCCCAGCGTCTCATGCAGACGCCGAGAGCGTTGTCGGTGGCGCGGGCGAAAGCAGCGTACGTACACTGTACGGGCGGCGCTGTAATAGGCGGTGATGGCGAACTCACACGCCCGTCCCCTGCCCCACTTCTGCCCTCCTGTCTTTCTCAGATGAAGGGATGCTGGATTGGCCAAAAGGCGGTAAAAATGCGACATGGAGGCATGTGATTGGTGTAATAATTCTTTTTATAGCCAATCGCGCGGCGCATCCACCGTTTCCCGTCAATGAGCCTATTTTGGCCAATCAAACCGATGTAGCCGAGGTATCGCGCATGCCATTGGCTAAAAAGATGCGTCCGGTCCCGAGCACTGTTTCGCAAGTCAGTTGACACGAGGCGAACGATGGAGGCGTCCAAGGTAGAAGGATACCCGCGGTCTTGAGGTCGAGGCTCATGCGATCGGTAGGTATTTATCCCAGACAAGGATCAAGTCTGGCTGCCAGCCATCGTCACGAGCACGTCCGGCTCGATCGTGACCGTCAAGGTCGAAGAGCACGACGTGCGCGGGCAGAAGCTGCCGCTGGGCATGAGCCTTGGCGCCAACGTCGGCCGCACCATGGTGATCGACCTCTCCAAGCCTGAGATCGTCGAAGTCATCCAGGCGCGGACCGTCAAGTCGTCGAATAGCAACGCCACCATTAGCTTGCCGCTGCAGAACAAGGTGCAGACCGCGACGAACGGCTTTGAAGACATGATCTCGGTCGACCACTTGCACGAAGGCGCGATCTTGTACAACCTGCGCCAGCGCTTCTTTGGTCTTCTCCCATGTACGTCCCGATGCCATCCATGAACGAGGCCGTCATGGATCTACGTAGACACGTATACGGGCAAGATCTGCATTGCTGTCAACCCGTACCAGTGGCTCACGCTGTACAGCCCCGAGACGATGCAGAGGTACATGGACGGGTCCCGCGAGTGCAAGGCGCCGCACGTGTACGCAGTCTCGATGGAAGCGTTCTTCCATATGCGGTCGCACAGCCTCAACCAGAGCATCTTGGTCTCGGGCGAGTCGGGTGCCGGTAAAACCGAGACGACCAAGATCATGATGAACCACGTCGCGACGCTCTCGTCGCATCTCTGCGCGTCGGAAGCGCAGACGTCGATCATCCACCGCATCATCCAGTCCAACCCGCTGCTCGAGTCGTTCGGTAACGCCGCGACCACGCGCAACGACAACTCGTCGCGCTTTGGCAAGTTTACGGAGCTCCAGTTCGACGTCAAGGGCCACCTCATGGGCGCGCGGGCCCACACGTACCTCCTCGAGAAGTCGCGCGTGACGCACCAAGCGCCCGGCGAACGCACGTTCCACATTTTCTACCAAGTGCTCGACGCCGCGAGCTCGCACCTCGCGCACCTCGACTTGTCGCAAAAGAGCTTCCGGTACGTCCGCCAGGACAAGGTCCTCGCGCTGGAGCACTCGTTCCTGGAGACGCAGTCGGGCCTCAGCATCGTCGGCATCTCGGACGCGATGCAGGCCAACCTCTGGCTCGTCCTCGGCGCCATTCTGCACCTCGGCGAGGTCGACTTTGACATGGTCGCAGGCGACGTCGACTCGTCCTGCGTGCAGCACAAGGCGTCGCTAACCATCGTGGCCAAGCTCCTCGGGATCCCGCTCACGGACCTCGAGCAAGTGCTGACGCACCGCACGGTCGCGGTCGGGCGCGAGGTGATTGCCAAGCCCATGACGTGCGACCAAGCCCGCGACTGCCGCGACGCGGTGGCCAAGTCGCTCTACTCGACCATGTTTACGTGGCTCGTCGAGCAGATCAACGCGGCTATCGGCGTGCACTCGATGGCTCACTTTATCGGGATCCTCGATATCTTTGGCTTTGAAGCGTTTGACCACAACTCGTTTGAGCAGCTCTGCATCAACTATGCGAACGAGAAGCTGCAGCAAAAGTTTGTCCAAGATGTGCTCAAGACCGTGCAGGCCGAGTACGAAGAGGAAGGCATTTCGTGGTCGCATGTCACGTTTGCCGACAACCAAGACGTGCTCGACCTCATTGAAGGCCGCCTCGGTGTCCTCAGTCTTCTCAACGAAGAGAGCTCGCTCGCGACGGGCACGGACGCCTCGTTTGCGCACAAGCTCTCGGCCGTCATGGACAACCACGCCCGCTTTGAGACGCCGCGCCTCCAGTCGAGTGCGTTCATCATTCTGCACTACGCGGGCAAGGTGCTCTACGACACCAACGGCTTTCTCGACAAGCATCGGGATGCGCTTCTGCCAGACATCAAGCGTGTGCTCTCGGAGAGCTCGCTGCCGCTCGTCCGCACCATGTTTCCAGCGACCTCGACGACCCAAGATGCGTCCAAGAAGAAGCACAAGCCCGCACCGCGCCAAACGACGCGCGCGGTCACGGTCGGCACGCAGTTTAAGGAGTCGCTCGCGCAGCTCATGGAGAAGATCTCGCATACCAACGTGCACTATGTGCGCTGCATCAAGCCCAACGCGCTGAAAACGGTTGGTGGATATATCGTCTTGTCTACCAAACAACGAAAGGCTCAAGACTGTATGTAGCCGCATGCGTTTGACCACGCGTCGGTCGTCGACCAGCTGCGCTGCGCCGGCGTCATCGAAGCCATTCGCGTGAGCCGCTCGGCGTACCCGTCGCGCGTCTCGCACCTCGACTGCCTCAAGAGCTACGCGCTCTTGGCGCCGAGTGTCACGAGCTTTGCTTCCGACGTTGTGACGCGCTCGAGTGAACACGCGCGCACCGACTGCAGCGCCCTTCTCGCCGCGCTCTTCCCCAAGGGGCACATTGTCGACTACCAGGTCGGCGTCTCCCGCGTCTACTTTCGGGAAGGCATTCTCGAGGCCCTCGAGGCCCAGCGCGGCGTTGCGCTCACGTCGTATGCGATCCGAATCCAGAAGCACATGAAGCGCTATCTGTGCCGGAAGCGGTTCGTCTCAATTCAGAAGGCGACGATCAAGGTCCAGTCGTACCTGCGTCGGTGGCACTGCCAGCTCCAGTACCACCGCCTCCGGTCGCGCGTCATTGCCGTCCAGGCGCGGTACCGCGGCCACATTGCCCGGCGCCGCGTGCTTGCGATGCGGACCAAGCGCGCGCTCACCAAGCTCCAGGCCGTCGTCCGCGGCTTCCTCGCGCGGTCGCGGTTCCTCTCCATCAAGGCGGCGGTGAGCAAAGTGCAGTCGTTCTGGCGCATCACGTACCTTCGCCGCATCTTTGTCAAGCGGCTCGCGCAGGAGAAGGAGCGCCGGGCGCTCGGGTCCAAGGTGCTCAGTCTCCAGTCGCAGCTCGGCACGAGCAAGAAGGACCTTGGCAGCAAGCCCCACAGCGGCGAACTCCTCTCGCCCAACCGCCCGCACACGGCCCTCTTCAACGAGTCGTCGCAGGTTCTCGGGACGCTCGCGGCCGAAAACAAGGCGCTGCGGGAGCAGCTCGCGCGCCAAGAAGACGAGATCAACGGGCTCAAGGAAGAGAACCGCAAGATGCGCGACGCGCTCCAGGCCAAGGAGCTCGAAGACAAGGTCAAGAACCTCAGCCTCAAGTCGCAAGAGGCGACGCAGATGGCGTACCTGGCGCACCTCGAAGAGGAGTACGAGAAGGTCCGCGCGTTCCTCTGCAACGTGTTTGAGCTCCCGAGCGAGGTCGGCGTCCTCAAGACGACGCCGCCGTCCAAGGAGGAGCTCCTCAACGCACTGCCGCCGCCGTCTGCGACCAAGCCGTCAAAGGACTTTAGCGTTGCGAAGAATGAAGCGTTTACGCTGCTGCAGCGGTCGGCGACGCGGCTCTATCGCACGCGCTCCAAGGAGAGCAAGCGCGGCAGCTCGCGCCGCGTCAAGGACTTTTGGGACGAGATCAAGACGAACGCGCCGCCGCTGCCGTACACGCTGGGCTCGACGCCGTGGAAGCGACTGCTCACGGACTGGGCCCAAGGCAACCCGAAGAAGCTCGACTACATGACCCGCTGGCTCCAAAACGTCCTCGAGGGCGGCGACGTTGAGAACGGCCAGTTTCCGCTCGGCGTCGAGCTCAAGTCGGTGACGCCCATGATGCTCGAGGGGTTCATCCAGCTCGTGATTCCCAAGCTCGCCGAGCGGCCGGACGTCAAGGTGCACGTGCACACAAAGGAGTTTATTGGCACGAGCATGCGCATCACGCTCGAGGTGAAGGAAGGCGTGCCCAAGATGCGCCCCGTCAAGCTGCCCGACGGCGCGCCGACAGCGGTCAAGCCGCGCGACACGACGACCGGCGGCCTCGACCAGTGGGGTCGCCACTCGATCATGTCGGTGCGGGATCGGCTCAGCCTCGCGAGCACTTCAACGAGCGAGTCGCTGCGGTCGACACAGTCGAGCTCCTTGTCGTTTACCGAGACGCGCATGTAGTTAGTTGGTTTCTCTTGCAATACACCATGCCTGTACGTGCGTTCATTTCCGCATCAACCAAGCTCACAGAAAATCCTACCTAATAGTACGTGAACGCAGTCGGGCACCGAGTCCACGCTATCAAGCTGCGAGTTTCGCCAAGGGCTTGGGTTGTCCAGCGTCGCTACAGTCAGCACTCAACGCGGTGCCATACCGTCGAGACGCCACCAGGCATCGCTGTCATCCGAGCTACCACTTGGAATACATTGATATGAGATCTCACAGTCTAGTCAGTAGACGATTCCTACTACTAGTAGTAGACCACTTGTTTTAGTAGTAAGGGACTAATAGAACTGAACGCTCGTGGACTGCATAAAAGCAAGTGCAAGGTCCACTGTGGCCAAGTCATCTCTGTGGCAAAGCTCTGTGGCAAGGGATTGACTGTGGCGACGCACCAAGCGGTGCCAGCATCCCACTCTCACGTGACTCACTCCGCCGTGCACGAGCAGCTGTACGTAGCACATCCTGCGTCACATTGCCATTGCCACAAGACGAGACAGAAGAAGACCATGAGCGAGTCGATGGGGAGCATCTCGGGTGTCCAGCCGCGGCCCGTGTGGATCGCGGGTTGGCTCTACGAGCGGTACGGTCTCGGCTCGTACAAGGCGCGCTATTGCGTCTGCAAGGGCAGCGCGCTGCACACGTACAAGGACGAAGACGTCTTCAACGGCCAGCTCAAGCTCACGATCGGCCTTGCGCACATCGAGCCGTATGCTGACGAGCCCCATGCGTTCCGGATCAGAGATGTGCGCGGGAAAGCGCGGATCTTCAAGGCCCAGGACGCCGAAGACTGCACCCACTGGATGGCGCGCCTCCGGACGGCGATGCTCGAGGAGCTGCCGGCGTCGCCATCGTCGTCGTCCCGGTCGTCGACGATGTCGTGGTCCATCGCTGCGACGCCCGGCGCCGAGCCGCTCAGCGCCAAGCCGATCAAGATCGACCTCCTCGACTTTTCACCGCCGCCCGAAATCTCTGTCGACGACACGCCACCGACGCCTCTGCCGCCGCGCCAAACCAATGCCGAGTCACCGCCTCGGCGCTGGACGTCGTCGCTCAAGCAGTTGTTCAAGTCAACGTCGTCGTCGTCGTCGTCGTCGCTGACCGACGTCGTGTCGGTGCCCATTATCACGTGGGGCAACGCGGCCAACGCCGGCCTCGCGCGCCAGCTCGAGCGACTCATGTACGAGTGGTACCGCGACTGGGACTCGGGGCGGCCCATGAGCGCGTGGCGCAGCGTCAAGCCGCAGGTGTTTACCTTGCACATCAACGGCATCCACGTCGAGGACGAGCGCCCGGTGCTCTTCTCGACCACGTTTCCGGCGGGATTTACGTGGGAGGTCTCGAGTCTCTTCTCGGCGACGCCCAAGATCGCCTTTGCGTGGCGCCACGCCGGCAAGTTTACCGGCCGGTTTGACAACCTTGCTGGCAACGGACGGGACGTGGCACTCCAAGGCTTCGCGGTCGCCCGCGTCGATGTGCACGTGCAACGTCTGCTCTGCCTCGAGCTCTTTTTCGACCCAGCGCCGCTCGTCGCGAATGCCGGCGTCCCATATTAATCCTTGATGATGGAGTATATTGTCTATCTTTCTGCGTCCCACGTGATTCTACGAGCATGTAAAAATTATGCTTGACATGGACGCGTCGAGGACATGAGGAGCAAGGTGCAAGCCGGTGCGAGGAGCTCTGGATGCAGCGCGGGAAGGGCAATTCGTTTCGGCACTGCAGTGGGACGCGACTCTTTCGCTTGTGTCGTGCCACGTGCGATCGTTGATGCTCGGATCTGAAACCATGTGGAGAAAACACTGTATGCAGTATAAACAGTGTATGGTAGAGGATCGCGGGTCCGGTCCTTCACCATAATCGCGCTCTTATACCCTTAAACCCTCCTCAAGTACTCTTCGTGGTCGAAGCGACGAAGGAAGTCGCACGACTGGGTGGCATGGGTGCTACGGAAGCGAGTGTAATGACTGCCACTGGAGATGTGGACGTCGCGCTGCCTCCGAGGCCACTTCAATCCGGAGCACTGTGGACGACATCACGACGTAACGCTTCCGCAAGGATACTCGACTTCAAGAATACCTCCTACTAGATGCAAGTACACTTTTTCTATCCCTCGACAGGAGCGCTCTCGCCACGCGGCAGGACGCCTCGGAGCGTCGTTGCGAGAAGCTGTGCGCAAAAGCTGTGGTTGTTCAAGGCCCCGACGCGCGCGACCGCCTGCTCGTTGGCCGCCGCCTCCACATCCTCATCCTGCCGCATCGTTAACAGAAAGAGCTCCGAGATGCGCGTCGTCGTCGCGTCCAGTCGGTCCATGATAATCCTAAGACTGTGTACAATATTGTCTTTTGCTATGGTGACGCACCAGCCGTTCGAGAGCGCAGCGTGTGGGTTGTTGACGCGCGTTTCGTCCGTGATGGACGAGCACACGAGCACGGCGCGGTGCGGCGTCTCAAAGAGGCGGTAGAGCGCGTGGTCGCCAGCGCCAAGGTCAAAGTACGCTGCATCTTCGCCCAGCGCACCGGTCACGAGCTACAGCAGTCGCCTTTGAATATGATACAAGAAGAGGAACAAGCTCGATACGTCGTGGTCGAGGTAGGCGGCCGTATTGCCAGGACACGCGTTCTGGAGGTAGATGCGCCGGTTGCTCTCGACGATCGCCTCGAGAGGCGCGGGCATCTCAATCTGCTGCTGCAGGATCATGTACGAGACGCTCTCCGTCTCGGCGAAACGAACGTCAAACTCGATCGGCCGGCAGCAGCTCAGTGCGTGCGTTGCGTGGTGGTACAGCCGCGTCGTGAGCCACGTGAGGGCCTCGCCGCGATGCGTCGCTGGGAGTATCTGGCACTGGAACGACGCGAGGTGCGGCAGAACGTGGTCCTACCAGCTCATGAGCGCCAATTCCCATAGCTTGGCGTACAAGCGGCGACGATGGCACGCGACTCAAGCACGTCGTGAGGACGTACGCCAGCTGCCGCGTGTAGTGGAGCTGGGCCTTGAGCGCGCTATTGGTCAGCTTGGCGGTGCGTGCGCTGTCGACCAGAGCGATGGCCACGTCACGCCACGGCAGCGGCGACGACGACCGGGCCTCGAGCTCGGCCGAGAGCGCCGCGACTTGGTCGCGGAGGTACTGTGCCTGGAGCCGCTCGCGCCGGCGGTGGTCGCGCAGCCGCTGGCGGTCGTACGTGCGCTTGCGGGCGACTGCGTCGCTCTCGATAGCGTCGTCCTCGGCGGCGTGTTGCGCGTCGTACAAGATCTCGCGCGACGAGTACACGTCCTCGCCGATCGCGGTCGTCGGTGCCATGGTATTCGGCCAAATCAGATGGAATGCGCGCCCAAGTGCGCGCACTTGACGTGCGCCCACGTGGCAAGCTCTCGTTGCACGACACCATCAAAGGCGATCGCATCCAATGCTAATATCATCTTTGCTCTGTCGTGGCGTGGGATCGAGACACACGATTGTCGACTCAAAATCGGTTCAAAAGACTAAGTTACGTGGGTGAAATGACTAGACCCCTTGGAGCCAGCCAAAGGGCGCGACTGGCAGCGCCGACATGGGATGCACGAGGTTCTGTCCGGCAGGGAACGGCCGCAGTAGCATCGGCGGCATCAAACTTCCAAGCTCGCTTGGCGTGTCCAGACGCCTTCGCTTGGCCACGCTCGGCACAAAGTACTGTGGTGCAATCGGCTGCAAGTCGGCCGGTCGCTTCCGCGCATCGTCCGTCGTGTCGTCGTCCTCGTCGTCGTCTTCCAAAAGCAGATCAATGTCGTTCTCTGGGAACGGACACAAGCGCGGTCCCGTCGCGTGCGTCAGTAAATACGCGGGGCGGGGCGTCAGATACGCCGGCGGCGACGCCTTGTTCTGCTTTTGGAGGTATTTTTGAGCGTGCGTTCGAATTTGAACCAGCGTGCGCGTGACGACGAGGTTGGAGATGTGCTTCCACGACTTGCCGTAGCGCTCAAGGCCCTCGAGGAAGAGCTCGTGCTCCTTCTTGGTCCACCGCCCTGTCTGTGTCTCGACACCCGTGCCGCTGGTAGGCGCTGTCTCGTCGTCGCCGTCGCCATCGTCTTCGTCGCTGCTTTCCAGGAGCTTCTCGACGCACGTCTCGTGCTGGTGTTGTTGCTGCTTGGGCGGGCTCGGCAGCTCCAAAATCGTCAAGTCGATTTTGGGCGAGGCAGGTCCGACCGACGAGAAGGCATGCTGCACGTCGGCGCCCCACTCGACGCCAAAGCAGTCGAGCGCCGGGCAAAACACGATCGGGTCCTCCACCATACCGGCGATTTCGCAATGGACGCGTGCGAGAAGCTGGGCATTTTCTGTGCTAAATTAAGGCGCCTAATTATACTGCGCGCCATCAACATGGCCACCGTCGGGTAGCTCGAACTTCAAGCCCAGGTTCCGCCATGTTTCCAAGTGTCTCTCGTCTGCATGTCTACGCCGCCCGCGGGCATGTCGCTGTGCAAAGTCAAATACAGTATGCGCAGAACCGCATACAGCGATCTCCAGCTGCCACGTCGTCCCTCGAATTTGCACTTTATATTTTAGGGGCGCTTGGCGTCCTGCACCCTTTTCGTTGTTGCCATCGACGACAGTCGTACGCAGAGACGCATTATAACATGTAGTACACGGTCGCGTCGTCTAGGATGCTTCATGGGGCACCTGCATATCAAAGATTCCAGTGGCCGTCGCCACCTCCCAAAACTCGGACGGCTCCATGACCCGTGTCTCGTTGATTTTGTCGCGCAGCGCCTTCTTGAAGCGCATCATCTTGACGTGGATGTCGGTGAGCTCGGCTGTGAGCGCCGCGCGCCGAGCAATGTTGGTGTCGCGTTCGATCTTGGTGACGTAGACATTTTCACTCGCGCCAACCATTTTTCTACACGGCCGTCGGCAGACAAAAGACAACACGACGAACCGTACCGGTGGTTGTGGTAGTGTTCGCCGACCGCATCGTTGGCGAGCGCCCAGAGCTCGCGGCGGCTCGCGCGCACCTGCACCATCTTCTTCTCATACCCGACACGGCGCCGCACGAGCATGCGCTTGGTGCGCTCGAGGAGCTCAACTTGCCGCTCCATCAAGCACTTTTGCTCCTTCATTGGCAACGAGTAGATGCGAGACGCCTAGTACAGCAGTCGCACGGTTCCGCGCCAAGCACAACGGACGAACCAGTGCGCCGCGCACGCTCTTGAGGTAGACGTCTTTGGCTTCGAGCACGAGCTTGGCACGTCTACCGCAACACGTTTGCAAGCGACAATCGGGGAGGGTCGTCGTACTCGATGGCAGCGATGCGACGGCCGAGCTTGCCGCGATAGACGCGCTGGACGAGCAGCGCGGCTTTCGTAAATGCCGTGCGCATGTGCGACGTGAAGCGCCGCGCGAGGAAGCCCCGCGTGATGCGCTCCATTTCGATTGCACCAACGAGGCGTCGGTACGCGAGCCGCCGCGCACGGTAGATGCAGCGCCCTCGGTGCCCTCGGTAGACCCTATGCGCGGAATGACAAGGTGCGCAAGACGTGCGACCGACCGCTGCAGGTCGAGCGTTAGCGCCAGGAGTAGCGTGCGTCGCTTTTGGTAGACGACCCGGCCAAACCAGGCAATGAGGTACCGACCAATGCAGCGACCGGCCTGGATCGCGCGCCACGCGCCAAGCCGCGCGACGCGAATGCGATGCATCGTCGCGCGCACCCAGCGCTGCAGCACCAGCGCAGCGCCTCGTCGGAGAAAGCGCCGGCGGTACAGAAGCTCGACTGCGTTCTGTCCCTGGACGGCGTACGTGCAGTGCTGGATCTTGCGGAAGAGCCGGGCGCGGCACCGACCGCGGTGGCCTCGAAAGACCCGCTGGATCAGCCGCGCCGCCACTAGCCAGAGTATGATGCCACGAGGATATCGGATGGCTGCGTACAGTCGCCATTGCGCGCGAGGCGGAGGGTCGCGACGCCGTAGAAGCGATGCACCGCTCGGTAGGTCCGGAAGCGTCTCTGCACGCGGCGCACCGCGGCTTTGGCTCGTGGCCAATGACGCATAGCGATGCGCTGGCGCCCCCACGTCTGCACCCGAATCGCCGCCGCCACAATCTGCTTGCGGTACGAGACGAACCAGACGCGCGTCCGATGCATGCGGAACGTGCTTTGAATGCAAAGGGCACCCGCGGTCCACTCGGCGCGCCGGCGACGCACGGCTCGGCGCGCAATGCCTCCGCGCACGGCGGCTTGCATCGCTGTGACATGTTTGTAGAGGAGCCGGAGCATGGCGCGAAGGCGCTCGAGGCGATAAAACCGACGGTAGCTGCGCTGGATGAGCCGCACGTTGCGCGCAATGGCCCCACAGCTAGCCACGTCATGGCGGTTATTCCGACCAATGAGACGGTGGGTCCAGTACCGTTGACGGAAGTCTCGACGGCGCAAGCAGCGCTGGAACCATCGCACGAGACGCGTGCTAGCGGCGACGAGGATCGCGTGGCGCCGTGCCGCTGCCTCCCGTCGCCCGCGGTGGCCCCGAAAGACGCGCTGGAGCGTGCGCGCATGCCTACGCAATCATAAGCGCAAGTTCCTGGCACTCGCAACGCGCACCCATGACGCCGGTACAAGTGGTGCTTGGCCGCCCGCTGCACGCAAAGCGAGAGGTGGAGCACGACCTCCCTGTAGGCGCGCACGCGGCGCCGGCAGGCGTTGCCTCGGTAGATCGCTTGCACGTGCAGCAGGATATCGCGGCGCTTTCCGTGTTGCAGGGACCGTAGGTAGACCACCCACTACGGAGTAGTAGGCGGCTCGTCGTGCGTCCACACCCAGTGAACTGTACCTTGAGGTGCGCGCGGAACGCTCTTTGTATACGACACGCGGCGCGCCGCTCTCGGAGGCGCTTGCGCTTCGAGACGGACTGCAGCGTCAAGTCTCGCTGCCGCCACTTGCGCGCGCAGGCTTGGAGGAGCTCGGCCGCAGAGTACTGCGCGAGCAGCTTCTCAAAGAGGACGCGCCATGTTGTCGCCACCGGCTTCATCTCAAAGACCGACATCTTGGCACCGGGTTTGGAAGGCGATGCTGGCTCGGCGGATGCGCAGAAAGGCAGAGCCAGCGTGCACCGTCGCAAGCAGCTCTCCGTGAGGCGCTCGCAGCCTAAACAAGTATCAAATATACTGGATGCTTGGATCCACGACGACCTCGAAGACGCACGTCGCGGAGCTTGTCGCAGCCCGTGACGAGGGCGACGAGGCCGTCGTCCGTGATGTTGGCGTTGCCCGTCAAGTCGAGGAACCGGAGCTCGATGCGGGATGCTGCGAGCGCGAGCAGCGACTGGTTGGTCAAGTGCGAGCAGTGGGAAAGGGTCAAGTGCTCTAATCGGAAGAGACTCGACGCGATCGCAGCGACGGCTTTGTCGGTGAGCTGCGGACACTAGTCGCCGCATCTACCAAGTCTTTCCAAATGCTTCGACTACCTTGGACAAATGCAACGTGTGGAGGTCGCGGCAGTGCCGGGCGACTGCGATCACGGCGGCGTCATCAATGGGTGTGTCCCCAACGTAGAGCTCCAAGAGGCTGTGGCAGTTGGCGGCCACCAGCATGACACCGTGAGTCGAGACGCGCGGACCGCCCGTGACGTCCAAGCTCGTCATACGGCGGCAAAGCTTGCTCAGAATCGCAAGCGTCTCGTCGCCAATGTCGGGGCGTCCGTAAAACAGCTCGTTGCGGCACCCTCGTCACCGTCATTAGGCCCTTCTCAGTTAAAACTCGCGGGATACCCGACAGCACGAGATGGCGCAGCTGGGTGCAGTGCTTGGCGACAGTCATGATGCCGGCGTCCGAGATATGCGAAAGCCCTTGCAGGTTGAGGTGTTGGAGGTCCGTGCACGCGCCACCGATCGCGTCGAGGCCATCGTTGTTGATCTCGTAGCAGTTGCGCACGTTGAGGTACTCGAGCAGCGAGACGTGCCGCTGCGTCGCGTGCGTGTCGGTGTTTTCCTTGGAGAAGAGATTGGCGAGCCCTAGGAAGAGGTGTTTTAACAGGTACGATCGCGCCATGGTACCTCTGGACGTCACGCGGTAGCAGCCGTTCAAGCTCAGCCAGCGAAGGCGCGTGCACTGTGCTAAGAGTAAGAGGCAAAAATCGTTGATCTGGAGACAGTGCGCGAGATTGAGTTTCTTGAGGCGGCGACACCCGCCGACGAGCCAGCTCACGGCCGCTTCGTCCAGATCGAGGCTCGGGATGTCCAGTGTCTCGAGCACGCCCAGTGTCTTGCTCGTCTCAAACGCGAAGAACGCCATCGACTGCACTTGGAGGCAGTGACCGAAGGCAAAGTACGTCAGCTCCATCTCTACACCATACATCCCATGTTGTCAGGTATCGATCTCTGCGGCAGAAAAGGACCGTGCTTGCAGTCGGCCACGTCCGTGATGCCCGCGTCCGTGATGTTGCGACACTTGGAGACGTCGAGGTACCTTGTCAGCGCGCCTGGCTGGCGCTTGGTCGTCGCGACGCAGTGCAGGAAGCGATCTGTCACCGCGGGGCAGCCCATGGCGCTGAGCGAGTGCAGCTTGGTGCAGTCCGTCCAAGTCGCAATGAGCACGTCGCTGGAAAAGTTGCGGCACTCGTCAATGTGCAGCACGCTGAGCTGCGCTAACGTCCGGCGAATCAGCGTCAACGTGGCGTCCGTGAGGGCCTCGCATCTAGGACAAGATACTCTGCCTTCCATATCCGCACCATGCGACGCGTACTTGGCGACACTGAGTGTGTGGATGAATTTGAGTTTGCCAATGTGCTTCATGCTACCGTCCGTCACATCCGTTTCTATGAGTTTGTTTTGCGAGATGAGGCAACCGTATGGCCTCCATAAATCGGACCTCGAAGGAGGAGGGTGCGGCACACAGACGGCTTGATGGGCACACCTGCGCACTTGATAGTTCACGTGTCTCATACTCGATACTGCGTACCGGGCGGTATCGTTCGGAACGCGAGTGTGCTCAACCAGTCGTTCACGCACATGCCGCTAAAGTCCAGCTCCGCCTTTGGCTGCTTGTGGAACGAGTCCTAGCGAGTGGCTTCAGCACAGCTTTCCGCTAGGAGAAGATGAGAAGTCACCTTGAACGAGAGAAAGGCCGGCGGCGACGTGACGAGCGCGTCGAGGCCACCGACGCGGTCGAGGATGCGCTGTAGCTTGGCACTGAGGCCGTACGGAGCGCCCGTCGCGTTGTCGCGGTCGCGGAGGCAGTGCAAGTACACAGAGCGGGCGTACTTGAGCTCTGCGAGCTCCGCCACCCAGCGAGCGAGGGTCTCCTCCGAGAACTTGGGTGGTACCTTGCGCAGGCCACCGGGCTTTTTCGGGGCCATCGTATTGCCGCGTCGCTTTGAAAGATCGCGATCCGCCAATCCCGTGCTTGCAAAGTTCTGTGGCCAATCCAACGACAGATAAATCGCATCGTTTGCACCAATGGCATTGGGCCACACCCTGAAACCAACCTCGCGATGCACGTCGCAGCGTGGCTCCTCCTCACAGCCCTCGTCGCCTTGAGCGCTACGACATCGCTCGCCAAGGCGTCCTTCACGTACGGCGAAGAGTGCGTCCTGCGCCAGAACCAAGGCAACACGATCGACATGCTCCAGCGCCAGCTGCGCTCCAAGTCGGCCCTTGACATTCGCCGCAAGTGCATCGAGCTCGGCCTCAACTGTGGCGGCGCTTAGGTCCAATGCCACGACCGACCGACAGATAAGAAAAGCTCATGCAACAACGACTGTATTCATTCTCTGCACTCCGTCTTACTGGGCAGCGGGCGCCGCGGGCTTGAAGCCAGCCTCGACGAGCGCAGCCTTGACGACCTATGACGCACAACAACCGCGGTAAGCATCATCAATCTCGTGGAAGAAGAGGCTGGACGCACGCACCTCGAAGGACGGCGAGCGGCCCGTCGTGAGCGCCGAGTGAATCTGCTTGTCTGTAGCACAGGATGAGCATGTACATGCATGGAAAGATGCGCACCGTTGATGTAGACTTCAAATGCGCCCGTGTTGGAGAGCATCTGGCGCAACGGCGAGAGGATCATGATCATCGGGAAGACGACGAAGCGGTACTGGTTGTACTTTTGCAGCGTCTCGTCGGGAAGCGGAAAACCGATCGCATTGAGAATCTGGTCTCCGAACATGACGATGATCGTCAAAATGGCCTGGAGCGTGATTGTGATGCGCGACCACATGAGCTTGGTCGGCGGCAGCGGGTAGTCATCGCTCGTGATGGCGAGCTGCGGGAACTGCCGCGTCAGCTTGGCCTCGAGGTTTGAGAGGTGCGCCGGGAACGCGACGCTGTCGTAGAGAATGCGGACGACGTCGCCCGTCTTCTTGACCTCCGACGACTTCTTGGTGGCTTGCTTGGCGCGCTTCTTGGTCGACATGCTACCGAGGGATTTGACTTGTGTGACTCACAGCCTGTCTTTGCCGCTTCAATGTGGTGATAGGTGGCCTGTTGCCATATTTAAGAGGGCTCATGCCAGGATGGGCCACAAATAGGACGGGACGTGATGTGGCACATGTGCCGAAAATAAACGACAAGCCCTTGCGCTCTCTTGCCCACCACAGACGCTATACCAACATACGTGGCAGTCTGTGGTCTCGTTGAAGGCCGAAGAAGGTCAAGTGACTTCTTATTTGCTTCGACGCAGTGGAGACCGGTATCTCTCGACGGCGATACCAACGCTAATGCAGTACGTGACGCAATGTTCTAGATGCTAATCGTCGAAGCATCTCATCGCGTGAGCGACTGATGCACGAGTCGCCTTGCACATGCGCTGTCTAGGCCAGCTACCTCGTCTACTTGGCGTTCATGGGCCGAATGTTCTTGTCGGCGAGGATCTTCTTGAGGGTCTACATGTACCATGACGCATCCTGCTGCATCCTACATCCTACAGCGTACCTCAAACGTCAAGAGCGACCGCGTCTCGAGCATGGAGTAGACGAGCTCATCTACAGACCGAATCCGATCCAATCCGATTCAAAAGCGCGCAGGGATACCGTTGAGGTGGACTTCGAACGCGCCCGTGTTGGAGAGCATTTGGCGCACGGGCGACAGCATCATGACGATGGGCAGCGCCATGAACTTGTTCTCGCGGTACTTTTGCAAGTAGACCGGCGCCAGCTCCAGGCTGAGCTTCTCGACGATCGTTTCGCCAAACATGATGGCGACGACGAGCACGACCTGGATGAGGAAGACGAGCGTGACCCACTTGGACTTGGTCGGCGGCAGCGGGTACGACTTGCCAGAGGTCGCGAGCGCCGGGAACTCGCGCGCGAGGTTGCCGCTCATCTGGTTGAAGAGCGTCGCGAAGGCCGCCTTGTCGTACTCGATGCGAATGCGGTCGTCCGACTTTTTGTCCGCCACCACGGTCCGCTTCGCCTTGCCCATGTCTCTCTGTCTGTGAACGGCAATCTCGCCAACAGTGCTTCAAACGAAACAGCTCTCGATACAAGAACATATCGTGTAGGCAGGGCAAGGGTTGCCGTCGCCGAGCCATGGTGTTGCCACGTCACCAACCTCCATATCGAGCACTTATCGAGTAGTACGTGCGAGCCATGTCCGCATGTGCCCACGCTATGTGGACGCGAACAGGGTAAACCAAAGGACCGCAACATGCATGTTGAAAGAAAGAAGGGGCATGCCGTCGCCGCTAGTATTGATAGTAGACCTCACCGCTCTAGCATGGACGAATGCAGTCCATTGGACCGACGGTCCACAACGTAGAAGACGTCCTGGCCACGTCTCTAGTTGCGTGAGTGTCTTCGATTGGCGGACTCTATGCTACATGAACGACGGCGTCGTCGGCACGCAGTCGCCGGTCTTGGACGCGACGGTACTTGACGTGGATCGTGTAGACGCGGCGTGCAGCACTCGCGCTGGCTGCCGCGCCAAGCACGCCGATCACCGCGAAGAGCACGGTGTAGAGGCCGACGAAGGACATCATGCCAATAAGAAGGACCGTCAAAAACACGGCCACGACCTTGGTGCAGTCGCAATCAAAGTACTTGTCGCTCGCACGAAGGCAGCGCTCCGTCGCCGGCGCGATCCGCTGGCAGCCCATAAAGATGGCCATCGCAATCGCCGTGAAGAACAGACTGATGACATAGTAGGCGACGAAGCGCGGGCAACCGATCGACGCGAGCCACTCGTTGAGCGCCCGGTCGTCGTCGGTCCAGGAATGCCGGCGCCCTCGCGTCTTGCTCTGCTCGACGAGCCAGATCATGGCGCACCCGAGCAGCACCACAAGGAGCACGACGAGCACGCGGAGCAGCTGCGCCATGCGCAGGCGCCGCTGAACTCTGCCGCTTCGCTCGGCACCTCGTACAAGGCGTAGGCCTCGCCGCAGGCGTCGCAGTGCGTCACCGCCGACGCGTTGATGACGCGCCACGCGTCCAAGCAATCGCGGTGGACGTACGATGCGCAGCCGCAAGGCGCAATGAGGCCGGCCGTTGCGCGGCGGTAGCAGCGCCAGCACTCGAGCGGAGGCGACGTCCTGTTCACGATTGGCGTCTCCATGGCACCGAGCGCGTAAGCTTCCAAGTGACACCATCGAACGTTTGCACTATTTGAGGGCCGCACTTGATGGTCACGCCATCTGCGTGCTCGTCCATCTGGCTTGGCGATTGCAGAGAGCGGCTGGACGATTGGTTGTTGGGTGCGGGTGTTCCTTTGCGGAGGATATTGCATTAGTCCAGCAGCTCCAATGAGACAGAGCCGGCTACGTCAGGCTCCCGGACCTCTCAGAGAAGCATTTGTCGTCATCCTCGGCTATGTAGCATCGAATAGGACGCTTGAAGCCGCTTGGATCGACGTTGTAAATGTGTTGCGTATTATAAAACGTCCCCTCGCAATGCACAGTAACCACCCGCTGCAGCAGCTCGTACCGCATTCCAGCACCGGCATCTGCGAGGCGCTATCTGGTGCACAAGCCGATGCAGATTTTGAACTAGAGTGGAAGAGCGAACCAGTGCTTGTGGTCGCAGTGCCAATCTGCTGACGGTGGCACTTCGCACATCGTTTCCATGCTCGGGTTCTGGTATCAACAACCATTCTGGTTGGGACCAAAGAGCAGTTGAAACGTTACTGGACGCTTGGTTGGTGCCCTATACCGTGCAAGGCTACGTACAAGCTACAGAGCTATCAAACACACACGATAAAGGTCATAGCATGGTCATCTCAGTGCACCACAGACTCTAGTAGACGACACGACGTTCGACCCCTCCAACACGAGCACCTCCACCACAGCAGAAGCACCTCTGCGTGCGCAACAAGCTATGCGTAGACACACTCGGAGCGCGATGTGAAGAGAGACAAAGTCGCATTCAATATAGACCGGTTGGTGTGTCGGTTGACGACACCGGGCTAGGTGAGGGCTAGGGCAAGCATTGAGCGTCGAGCTCGTGCAGGCGGCGCCTGAGCACCTTGACCTTGATCGCGTCGCCATCGCGCTCCTGCAGCGCGCGCGAGATGGCGAAGCTGTTGGCGTCGTGGTCGAGCTTGGTAAAGGTTCCTTGGACCACATCCTTGGTCTCCAACTCGCGGAGACGCAGGCGCGTCGGGTGGGCAGCGACAAAGGCGCGGGCGACACCGCACAGCGGTTGCGCACTCGTCCACTCGAGGACGACGCGGTCCTGTCTCGGCGCCAGCAGAAACTCGCGGAGCTCGGCGCAGCAGTGGCAAGTGCAGTCGATGACCAAGTCGCGCTGCGCAAAGTCTGCCAGAAGCGCCGCGTTGGCAGCGAGCACGCGGCAAGCGGCCGTCGCGATCTTGCAGTAGAGCGCGACCTCCTTGGGCAGTCGCTGCGGGAGCTTGGAGAGGACCGTCCAGACCATGGTCCGGTGCGCCGCGACGTTGCCGTCGGCGGCGTCGAGCCAGCGGGCGACAAACGGGTCGAGGAGCGCTGGCGCGTGCGACTGGTACACGTCGAGCGCATCCAAAATGAGCAAGCCGAGAACGTCGTCTTTCCCAATCGCCGAGTTCGTCTGCTGCGCATAGTGCGTCATGAGCACATTGAACTCGAGCGTGGGGATCTCGTGCAGCGTAATAAGGTGCGCGAAGATCGCGACGCAAGGGCCCACGCCGTCGGGCGGCGTCGCCTTGAGGAAGACGGCGATCGCGGCCGCCAGGTACGGTCCCCATGCGCACCAGAGCCGGCTCCCGAGCATCTTGTCCGTGAGCATCTTCTGCGCCTCGAGTACTTGGAGGAGCGCGAGGATCGCCGAGACGGGTGGACCAAACCCAATCGAGCCGTCGGGCACTTCCAAGAGCACGAGCGTCTTGAGCCAGTCGAGCGGCAACGCCGGCGTGTGCTGAAGCGCCGCGTACGCTGGCACGAGGACGCACAGTGGATCAAAGAAACCCGGGTACGTCGCGGCCATGGCCTCGACGCGCAGCGATGGCAGCTGGTACGCGAGGGTCGCGCGGACGAGGGCATCCGGGAGCTTTCCTTGCAGCCGCGCGCCGTCGAGCGGGCCTACCCAGAGGTAGTGCTCGAGAGGAACTCCATCACGGACGATCGTCATCATGCTCTCGAAAGTCCCGTTCGCCTCCTCTTCCTCGTCCTCATCCTCATCCTCGTCCTCGTCCTTCTTGACTCTTGGGAGTTTCTGGGCGACGCACGACTGCAAGAGCGACGCAAAGCCGTGCTGTATGTACTCGCGCGCGAACGGCACGTCGAGGCGAGGGCAGACGGGCGATACCGAGACGCCGGCCAAGCTCGCGAGGAGCCGGTAGCCGTACGCGAGGCCCGCCCACGAGGTGCCCCAGCGCACCAGCACGACGCTCAGCGCGCCGATGAGCTCTGCGGCGCCAAACTGCTGCAGCGCCGCATGCATTCCGGGCGCGAGCGCCTCGAGCCGCATCTCATCGCGAAGGCCGACGTGGTTGCGCCAGAAAACGTCGACGAGCGCTGCGTCATGTAGCGCGTTGAGGCCGTCGCAGAGCGGCGCGCAGAACGTCCGAGGACCGGCAAACGGTGCCCAGACGATGTGGTCATGCGGCCCCACAAGCTCCATGATCGCGCGGGCCAAGGAAGGCAAGGTCGGGAGGCCGCAGAACGTTCCGTCAACGTGCGCGGACCGTTCGTGGAGCGTGCGCACGGCGGCGTCGACACCGAGGAGGCGCACGCGGTGCGTCTTGCGCCAAAAGCGAGGCCCGTGCTGCGGTACGTAAAGGTGGTGCTCTTGACGTCCCCATTGTAGAGAAACGCGGGCACGACGACGCCTTGGAGCGTCATGTGCGGCAAGTGCAGCGCCGGGTGCAGCGTCGCCGAGGCCACACAGATCGACTGCTGCGCGCTCGGCTCTTGGAACGTCGCGAGCGCCACGTCATAGACGTTGGAGGCCACGAGCGCTTGGGCGAACGCAAGGTCCCTGCCGCCGAGATCGTCAAACGACGTGGCGTAGCAGCCTCGCTGCAAATGGTAGCCCAACACGTTGTACTTGGGAGACGACGGTGATGTTGCCGCGGCCACTAGGAGTGCGATCGCGTCGTCCATGCGTGTCGGCGGTGGCAGCCATTCCAATGGTTCGTTGGCGTAGACAAGGTTGTAGACAGCGAGAACGCGGTGCCCCGACGTCACGGGCGTCGTCGAGATGGCGGCTCCAAGCGTCGCCGCTGCGAACGTAAAGCGCGTGAGCGTAGCGCACGTTAGCTCCGTCCAGTCGAGCGCCTTGCCGTCGAGGCTAAAGGCGACGCCACCGCCCTCCACCTGCGACGGCAGCGCGATGAGCAGCGTCCCGAACGTTGTCGGCGACCGTTGGGCGAGCAGAAGCGCCGACGTCGAGCCGAGTGCGTCCACGACAAGGTGCGAGAGAGCCGCCTTCAACGCGACGTTGCACCCGAGCCGGCGGCGGACTTGCGGCAGGACGCAGCGGTCGATCGCGTCGTGCCAGTCGGGGTTTGCAAACGAGAGGCGCGCCGCGGGCACGATACCGGACGGGTACTCAGCACGGATGGCGTCGGCGTCGGTCAATCGCAGCGGGAAGGGCACCACCTCGTCGAGGCCGGTGACGCGCAAGAGCGGGGGTACGTCGTACGGCAGCTGGTGCCGCAGCGCAAAGTCCGCGGGCAACGGGAGCTTGCGCAAGACGGCCTCGAACGGCGCCTTGTCAGCGTCCAGCGGAGCACCTTGGCGCGATGGCACACCCATGCGGCGAATTCGGAAATGGGTCGTTGGAGGTCTTCTTGCCCTTGGTCGAGGCTGGCGTCCAGGGTGTGGCCTCTCAAAAGGTCGTTTCACTGAACCCATTTCTACACATGTCGATGACGCACCGCATGTGTTGCGCGCTCGTGCGGCAGGCGAGGCTCGAACCCTCGGTCTGCCGATCGCGTTCCTCCAGCCGCCAGAGTCAAGCGAGGGTCCCGTCGCTGGTCCCGATCAGATTCACTCGTCGGCGATTGGTCGGTTCACACTTGGCCGACCAATCCCGTGTCGACATTCTAATGGGCCAATCAGCGACCCGCATTGCGTATCTTGTGACGCCGCCCAGGCAAGCAGCATCGGTGGTAGTAGCCTGCGCTCGCGGCGGTAGGAAGAGCGTCGTAAGCTCTCTACTGATGCACAGCAGACATCTCTGCTGGCGGATCTTCTCAAGGCCATCGCTACATGTCTTGCAAAGCCGTGTTCACAAGGACAGTTGCGGGCTCTTCATGCCACACCGGTCCTAGCTACAGGTCCTCTCTGCGTGTCGTACATCCAGCGGCGATGCTTCTCAGTGTTGCGTGCGGCTCGAGGCGGTATGTCGCGCTTCGAAGCGCCGCCACATATGCCTCAACATTTCATCGGAGAGACGCTACATCGTGCTTGCGTGCGATCTACTGTACTGGTACTGGTATCTGCACCTGGTGCGACGCCAGCACACTCGCCTGCGCCTCGCTTCGCAAGAGGTCGCGACCAAGGGACACCATCTTGCGTCGGTTGGTCTAAATAAATAGTGTTAAATTAGGGATCTATCAACTAATAGCAGCGAATACGCTCGTGCCATGGCAGGTCCAAGAGGTCGACCTCGCCGACCCACTCGACGCGCTCAAGCAAACACGCGTCGAGCTGCAGCAGCTCGCACGGCGGTAGCGCATGGTGCAGCAATGCGCCCGTGACGCGCATGCGGTAGACGCATACGATTGGGCGCGTCAGACGCAGCGTCACGTACTGCAGCGGGTCGGTCATCCACGTAATGTGCATGAGCTTGAACAACGACCGCCGATGCGGGTCGACCTGGATCTGCGCGTGGACTTTATTCAAATATGCCGACGTCTCTCGCGCCGACGCGGACCACGCCGTCGTAAACATACTCCGGTGGCAAAACCGCAGCAGCGTAAACGGCATCGTCGTGGCGTACGCCAGTCGCGGGGTCGTCGGCAGGAGCCGCGAGCTCAGATAGACGAGCAGCCACGATAGCACGAGGTTTTTCACGTCCGAGCCAACGCCCCAGTACCGGTAGTTGGTCGGCAGCGCGTGGAATTCGCGGATCAGCGCCACCTTGGAGCTTGGAACGACGCGGCGAACGTGCAGGAGACTCGTGTCGCGGAGCGCAATGAGGCGCACTTCAAAGGCCATCGAGAGGAACGAGACGAGCGGAAGGAGGTAGCCGCGAAAGCCATACAGCGCTTGGCGGTCGCGGTCGCGGCGACCGAGTACGAGCAGCGCCTTGACGCAAAGGCTGAGCACCCAGACGTTGCGCATGTGGCACGTGAGCAAAACGATCAAGTCGTACACCTTGCGCTCGTCCAGGGAAAAAGTCCCGTTGAGGGTGCCGAGTTGCATGTAGATCGTAAAGTACAGAAACGGTGCGTCAATCAAATGCGCCAACGCAAAGAGGAGCACGGGTAGCCAGCTGCCGTAGATGACGACTTGGGCTGGAATGCGGAGCCACAGGGTGAGCGCCGCATAGAGCGTGCGGAGCAGCGGTGCTCTGCGGTACTTGCGCTCGTGTCGCCGCGCGACGTAGCACCCAAAGATAAGCGCCATCGTCCGGCTAATGTTGTAGAACTGACCGAACGTGCGCAGGCAAGCCGTGAGCCGGTAGTACGAGCGCGTGTTGGTGCGCCCGAGGCCGCCTTCGTACCGGTAGTCGGCAAGGTACACGGTCGAGCAGTTGACGCGAAGAAGCACGTCCGAACAATTTTGAATACGGAGAAGTGTCACGACATCAAAGGCACTCAGGTAGCTTTTGGCAAAGCCGCCGGCCCACGGACGGAGATCGTCGCTGCCAACGACGATCGCCATGTCCACGCGCTGCGTCGTGAGGTCAACTCGGCGCTCGGCCGCTTGTAGTTGTGCTTGGATCGCGGGCATGAGGCGAAGGGCGACGCCGCCTGGCACGTCATCAGAGTCAAGCGAGCCGAGCCATAAATCGCTTACCAAACGACTCAAAGTCGGTCCACGGCTGCTCACAAAAGAGCGCCGCTTGATCTCGCGTCGGGTCGCAGAGGTCGGCGGTCGACGATGTTACGTAGTGTGTCTGCACTCGTCGCCAGTCGCGCTCCTTGATGCCCCCAAAGGCAAAAATATCGTTGATGATATCGACAAAGAAGTAGCTGACGCGCCACGAGCCATCGCCGTGGGCTTGCACCGCAGTGACAACGTTGTCGAGCATCGTAAGCAGCTCGAGCGGGTGCAAAATGCTGCGCGGACAAGGACGGGTGTACGCAAAGCAGTCGTGCCTATCTCGCAACTGTCGATCGATCGGATGGTGACCTTGCATTGTGCGTACCAGCCGCCGACGTCGAGCGCTGCGACGACCGTGCGGAGACCCACCGAGCACGTATCAAACTTGTAGCTCCAGACGTTGGCGAATGGACTCGAGCTCTCGATGGATCCTGATGCGATACTTCAACATGCGGCTGATGGACTGCGAAGGAGTGGGAGTACCGTTGATGTGTCGCTCGATGGCGATGATTGGGTACGCGTACGGGCCAAAGTTGGCATACAGCGTCTCGGTTGTCGCAAAGTACGTTGCCGGGAGGTCCTTGAAGCCATATCCGCTGCGGGGTATGTCGGTGAAGAAGAGACAGTAGGACGTGAGCGCCAAAAGCACCTTGGACCACGTCAGCGGCACGTCGCTATCGAGGTCGCTGACGCTGGGGCCGCGCCGGGTGCGCTGGAGCCGTCGCATGTATCCCGGTTTCCGCTGTGGTTTTGAAAGTGCACTTTCTCGCGCAACGGTTTCATCCGGTTTCAGATACCGGCGGCTAGTAGCACTGGATGCGCTGGGCCCACGGCAGGTCGAGGAGGAGGGCTTCGCCGACGCAGTCGAGCGTCGCGTGCAGCGTCGGGTCCTTTGTCTGCAGTTCGCGCGGCGAGAAGACGTGGTGGACGCGCGCGGCGGATGTTTTGGACTTGTAAACGTACACGATGGGCTGGTTCCAAAGGAGACAGAGGTACTGGATCGGGTCGGTCATCCACGTCACGTGCATGAGGCGGTTGCGCGAGCACCGCTGTGATGCGAGGTCGGCTTGCGTGTGCACGCGATGTAGCGACGTGGATCGAAGTCCGTCCAACGGCGCGTGCCAAGCCGTGCTGAACATGGTGCGGTTGCAGTACCGAAGCAGCGTGTACGGGACGTCCGTCTGGAACGTCAGTGCGAGTCGGAGCAAGAGACGCCCGAGAATGAAAATCGCCACAAACGAGAGAGAGAGCGTCTTGACGTCCGAGTAGACACCCCAATACCGGTAGTTGCTCGGCACCGAGTGCAGACCCCGGAGAAGCTGCGTCGACGCACTTGGCACCGACGGCAGAACATGCAAGAGCTCCGTGTTGCGCAGGGCCTTCAATCGAATCTCAAACAGAATCGAAAAGAACGAGACGAGCGGGAGGAGGTAGCCGCGCACGCCGAGGATGCCATGCGGATGCCGCGGGTCCATGAGGAGCAACATGCCTTTGGTAACGAGGCTCAGAAGCCACACGTTGCGCATGTGACACGTGAGCAAGATCGAGAACGTGTAGACCTTCTCCGCGTCAAGGTAGTACGTCCCGTTGATTGTCGCGAGGTCGATAAAGATCGTAAAGTACAGAAACGGCGCGTCGATCAAATGCGCCGTCGCGAAGAGGAGTACGGGAAACCAGCTGCCGTAGATGACGACTTGGGCTGGAATGCGCAGGTACATGGTCAGCGCTGCATAGAGCCTTCGCTGCAGCGACGCGTTCTTGTAGGAAGCTTCAACCGCCCGCGCGGCGTAGCACCCGACGAAGAGCGCGATGGCGCGGCCAATGTTGTAGAGTTGCCCGAACAGCCGGAGGTAAAAGAGCAGCTTGTAGTACCGGAGCGTGTCGGTGCTCCCAAAGCCGCCTTCGTACCGGTGGTCGGTGAGCTCCACGGTCGAACAGTTCAAGGCACGGGCCGGGTCGGAGCAATTCTGAACACGCAGCAGCGTAATCACGTCAAACGGACTCAGAGACGTGCGCGCGAGACCGCCGTCCCACGGGCGAAGGTCGTCAATGGCCTCAACAAAGGCCATGTCCACGCGCTGCGTGCGTGCGTCGCTCGCGTTGGCGGCGAGTGCCATGCGTCGCTGGATGTCGTCGACAATGCTCGTCATGCCAGGAACACCTACGAACCACGTGGCGCATGATTACGTGTTCCCAGTCGAAGGATGCGGTATTGTAGTACCCAGCGCGCCAAAGTCGGTCCACGGCTGCTCACAAAAGTATGGTCGTGTCGCATAGTCCACAGCACAAACGTTGACGTCCGGCGACGGAATGTAGTGTGTCCGCAGCGTGCGCCAGTCGCGTTCCTTGAACGTTCCGAACGCAAACATGTCGTTGATGATGTCGACAAAGTTGAAGTAAATGCGCCACGACTGCGACGGCATGTGCTGGATCGTTCGGGCAACGTTCTCGAGCATAATGAAGACCTCGCCTGGCAAAAGCATGTCGCCGGTGCACTCGGAGGCGTACAGTAAACAAGGGTCCCTACAATGGCATGTATAGCCACTCGCCTGGTGTCGTTGGTCTCACCAGCCAGAGACGTTGCGCTGCGAGACAACCGTGCGAAGCCCCAGCGAACACGTATCAAACTTGTAGCTCCAGACTTTGGCGAGCGGGACCGACCCCGTGACCGAGCCTACATCGCCGCGTTCCAGGACGGTGTCAGGAGCAGGCTGGTACCGTCGGCTTGCTTGGTCATGGTCATGATGGGGTAGCTGTACGGGCCAAAGTTGGCGTAGAGCGTCTCGGTGGCCGCATGGTAGCCCTTTGGCAGCGTCTTGAAGCCAAACCCGCTGCGCGGAATGTCGGTGAAGAAGAGCACATACGACGAGCACGCGAGAAGGACGCGGTGCCACGTCAGCGGTACGTCCGCGTCCAGGCCCATGTCGTTCGTTTTGAGTTTGCCCTGGAACGACCGCCTTTCCACGCTATTTTTAGCGGCCAATCAAAACGCGCGGCACGAGTCCCACTGCAATCGAGTCTCGTCATTGTTGTCCTGACCGAGTATGGACGACCTTGGGCATGAGGACCATGGGACCACCGAGTCGTCCCGCCTACCACGCCAGTTGAACCCACCAATATTGCCATGGAAAGTACGCACCGAGGGCGGTCACGGCTTGTGGAGCATGCCATCACGCCCAAGGCCGACACGGTCGCGTGTGGCTGCGCAATGCGGCGAGCAAGTTGGCTGCTTGCGGCCGTCGTGCACCGCTGCTACGAGCCATCGCCGAGCTGGAGCTAGTAACAGTAGATACGGTCGGCCCACGGCAGCTCCATCAGAAACACTTGGCCCATCACGTCAACCGATTCGCTCAGTGCCGCGTCTTGGCGCGCGAGCTCTCGCGGCGAGAGCGGGTGGTACAGTCGCGTGCCCGTCGCTTTGCGGCGGTAGACGTACACGACTGGCTGGTTCCAGCGCAGCATCATGTACTGCAGAGGGTCGGTCATCCACGTGATGTGCATGAGTGCGTTGAGCGAATGGCGCGTGCTGCTGAGGTCGCCGAGGGGCGTGACGGCCGTGCTCTCGGGGGCGAGGGCGTTCCAGGACGTACTAAACATGCTTCGATTGCAGTAGCGCAAGAGTGTGAACGGCACGGTGGTTCGGAACCCGAGGCGGCGCCGGAAGAGGCCGCCAAAGACAATGTAGACCGCACTCCACGACAGAAAGAGGTTTTTGATGTCCGAGAACGCGCCCCAGTAGCGGTAATTGCTCGGGATCGTATGCAACTCGCGGAGTAGCGTCAATGGCACGCTCGGCACGGCGTCCACGACCGACAAGAGGTCCGTGCGCCGAAGCGACGTCAAGCGGAGCTCAAAGAAGATCGAGAGGAACGAGACGCACGGAAGGAGGTAGCCGCGAAACCCGAGAATCGTCTGTCGCCGACGCTGGTCCACCGCGAGCAAAATGCACTTGGTCGCAAGGCTGAGCACCCACACGTTGCGCATATGACACGTAAGGAGGACCCAAAAGCTGTAAATCTGGTCGGGGGTAAAGCGCGTCGCGCCGTTGAGCGGACCGAGCTGCATAAAGATGCAGTAGTACAAGAGCGGCGAGTCAATAAGATGCGCCACCACAAACGCAGCAACGGGCAGCCAGCTGCCGTGGATCACAACCTGCGCCGGGATGCGCAGAAAGGTTCGCGTCGCACACAGTAGTCGCCGAAGAAGAGACGCGTCTGCGTACTTTGGTTCGGCCGCCCGCGCGAGGTAGCACCCGAGAAAGAGCGTCAGCGCCCGGCAAATGTTGTACGTTTGGCCAAAAAGCCGTAAAATGTGGGTGACGCCATAGTACCGCATCGTATTTGTCTTGGCAAACCCCCCTTCGTAGCGGTAGTCGGAGACAAAGACGGTCTCGCAGTCGAGAGAGGACGAGGAGCAGTTTTGGACGCGAAGGAGCGCAACAACATCGTACGCCGACGTATACGACTTTGTGAAGCCGCCGCCCCACGGCCGAATGTCGTCAATGGCTTCGAGGAGGACCAGCTCGACGCGCTGGCGGAGCGCGTCGGAGGCGTTGACTTGGGCCTGGAATCGCGATCGAATGTCGTCTGGAATGCGACCCGTGCTGACGTCGCCTAAGCAACGCCGTGTGAGAAAGAAGCGGGCTTGGAAGCGTCTACCGAGTGCGCCAAAGTCGGTCCAGAGCTGCTCGCAAAAGAAGGGCCGCGTCGGGGACGTGGGGTCGCACACGTCAACGTCCGGCGACGGAACGTAGTGCGTCCGCACCGTGCGCCAGTCGCGTTCCTGGAACGTGCCGAACGCAAAGAGGTCGTTGATGATGTCGTAGTAGTAGTAGATGACGCGCCACGTGAGCGACGGCGCGGCGACGACGGCGGAGACAACGTTGTCGAGCATTCGAAAGACGCTCTCGGGGCTAAGCTGCGTCGTGTTGCAGTCGGCTTGGTACACGAGGCACGGGTCCCTATATCAAGTTCCATCCTGCCGCGTCAAGAAGCTTGCGTCTCGTCGTACCAGCCAGCGACGTCGAGCGATGCGACGACAGTGCGGAGACCCACCGAGCACGTATCAAACTTGTAGCTCCAGACCTTGGCGAATGGACGCGATCCGATGTAGGCCCCTAGAGCATGTAAGCTCTCAGAAGCACGCGGCCAAGTCCGCACCATTATTTGTTTTGGTGACGCCAAGGATCGGATAGGCGTAGGGCCCAAAGCTCGAGTAGTGCGACTCGGTGATGCTGCGGAAGCCGCTCGGAAGCGTCGGGAACCCGAGGCCGCTGCGCGGAATGTCGGTGAAGAAGAGGCCGTACGAGATGACCGCGAGGCAGACGCGACTCCACGGCAGCTTGATGTCGGCGTCCATGTCGCCGCCCATCGCAGCAACCGCCTGTCTCGTTCGTGCAGTCGGTTTCAGACTCATTGACAGTAGATGCGTTCCTGCCAAGGCAGTTTCATGAGCAGCTCTTGACCGACGCAGTCGAGGTGCTCGACGTCGTCGTGCAGTCGGTGCAGCTCTCGCCGCGGCAGCGCGTGGTAAATGATGTGGTTGGACGGCGCGACGCGGTAGACAAACACGACGGGCTGCGTCCAGAGCAGAAGGAGGTACTGCAGCGGGTCGGTCATCCACGTGATGTGCAAGAGCGCATTTTGCGACTGGCGCGCCGCCGAGACGCGCCCATGGGACTGGACGCGGCTATGGTACAACGAGCCGTAGCGCGCGACAGCGTGCCACGACGTGCTAAACATGCTCCGGCTGCCAAAGCGCAAGACCGAGTACGGCACGGTCGTCTGGAAGCTCAGCGGCTGCCCGAGGAGACCGCCCACGACCAAGTAGACGGCGCACCACGAGATGAAGAGGTTTTTAAGGTCCGAGTAGACGCCCCAAAACTTGAAATTGCTCGGGATCGTGTGCAGCTCGCGCAGAAAGAACGTCGTGCGGCTCGGGTGCGAGGGCATGATGCCAACGATGTGCGTATTGCGTAGCGCAATCAGCCGCGTCTCAAAGAGCACCGAGAGGAACGAGACGCACGGGAGGAGGTAGCCGCGAAACCCGAGGATCGTCTGGCCGCGGTGGCGGTCCACCGCGAGCAAAATGCCTTTGGTCGCAAGGCTGAGCACCCACACGTTGCGCATATGGCACGTAAGGAGGACCCAAAAGCTGTAAATCTGACTCGGCACAAACCGCGTCGATCCATTGAGCGTGCCGAGGTCCATGTAGATCGTAAAGTACAAGAAGGGCGAGTCGATCAAGTGCGCGGTTGCGAAGAGGAGCACGGGCAGCCAGCTGCCGTAGATGACGACTTGGGCCGGAATGCGGAGGCACGTGCAGAGCGCCGCGAGCAGCCGCTGGCGCAGCGACGCATGGAGGTACTTGACTTCCGCACACCGTGCATAGTAACATCCAAAGAGGAGAGTACACGCGCGAATGATGTTGTAGATCTGGCCGGCGAGGCGGAGGCCGTGGGCAATGCCATACCAGTACATGGTGTTGGTGCGCCCGACGCCGCCTTCGTACCGGTAGTCCGCCAGGTACACTGTCGAGCAGTTGGCGCGCGTCATGACGTTCGAGCAGTTTTGCACGCGGAGGAGCGTCACGACGTCGAACGGGCTCGCGTACGCCTTGGCGACGCCGCCGCCCCACGCGCGGAAGTCGTCAAAAGACTCGACGATCGCCATATCGACCCGCTGCGTCCGTGCGTCGATGCGGCCTTCCTGCGTTCGCATCTTGCTCTGAATGTCATCGACGATCCAACCGATACCCTTGACGCCTACAGCAACCAGACTTGAGTGGTACCGATTGCGAGCGAGTTGTGTACCGAGTGCGCCAAAGTTGGTCCACGACTGGCCACAAAAGCACGGCCGTGACGGACTCGACGGGTCGCAGATGCGAGTTCGTGGCGATGGCACGTAGTGCGTCATCACACTGCGCCAGTCGCGCTCCTTGAACGGCCCGAACGAGAAGAAGTCGTTGATGCTGTCGGCGAAGAGGTAGTTGATGCGCCACGCGGCTGTCGGCGCTTGCGCGATGCTCAAAACGACGTCGTTGAGCATATGAAAGAGGGTTCGAGGGTTGACGGTCGTCGCCGGGCACTCGGTCGCGTACAGATAGCAAGGGTTCCTAGAACATCCGTCAACCGGTGCCGAGCAGCAAGTAGGACATGTATACCAGCTCGTGATGTTGCGCGAGGTGACGACCGTGCGCAGACCCACCGAGCAAGTATCAAACTTGTAGCTCCAGACTTTGGCCGTCGACGACGAAGCCACGATCGAGCCTAGTACATGCATGACTCAGCAAGGATCTCCAAGAAGGCAGTACCGTTGGGCAGGCGTTCCATGGCGATGATGGGGTAGTGGTACGGGCCAAAGTCCGTGTAGATGGTCTCGGTCGCCGACACGTAGCCGTCAGGGAGCGTGGCGAAGCCCAGCCCGCTCCGCGGAATGTCGGTGAAGAAGAGCAGGTACGAGCAGATCGTGAGCAGCACCTTGCGCCACGTCAGCGGTATGTCGAGATCGATGTCGTGCCTCGTCGGACCCACCGACGCTGCCATCGTCGTCTCGCGTCTGGGATGACTTGTGCGGGACGCCCAAGCTAATTTTACGCGCCGTTAGAGAGCATACGACTTGATACGTTGCCTTTCTGCGACGTTTATGGCGTTCAGAGCCAATCAGAAATGAAGAAATTGCCGTATCCAAGTACATGTCGCGTTGCCACTTTGTCGCGTCACGGATGTCGAAATTGCTCGCTTTCGGTCGGCTTAGATGGACCTGTTGCCCTTGACAGAATACCTTAAGGCATCGAGGTCCAGGTGCGGGCGCTGGGATAACGTACTGCTTGCAAGGCTTCCTGGATATCAATGTTGCGAGCTTACCGGTAAGGCCAGCAGCAATACCTCTACCATGTCCCACAAAGCTACTTGAATAAGGGAATAAATTCATGTCCCTGCCAAACAGCCTGTTGATCGACTCGTGCCAATTGCGAGCGGCGATGAAGGCGCAGCGGAAGCCAACCAAGACAGCGACAAGAGCGCCGGCGCGCCGCCGGCCCGAGTGGAATGCGTACCTCACTGATGCAGCATCGTACCAGCTCAACCAGGACCAGCTCTTGAAGAAGAAGATTCAGATGCTGACCAAAATCCCGACCGAGCTGCCGCGGCGCGCCATGCCCGCACCAGCCACGCAGCGCGCCATGACGGCGCCGCCGCAGCAACGAGATACCTTCCAGCACCACTTGCGTCGCCCGCCTATGCCGGCGCTCTCAGGTGATCTCCAGAAGCAAGAGCTGCAGCGCGAGATCGACCGCATGGACCAAATGCTCGTGTCCCTCGAGCTCCAAGCCAACGAATTCGACGAGAGCGCGGTGGCCGACGCCGCGAACGAGCCGCCTCCTCCGCATGCTGCCTACGAGGGCACGTATCTCGGCGACAACACAATGGACACGACGCAGCTCGACGCGAGAGACTCCACTCGCCACGTGTTGGTCCTCGTCGAGCAGGTTTTTAGATTGTCCCGCCTTGCATGAAGTCCGACATGTGTAATAGCTCCAGCAAGAACTGCAGCGCGAACGCGAGGCGCGCGTGCAGCAAGAGCAAGTCATCCAGGGGCTCCACGAGGTCCTACCTACTGTGCTTGGAACTGACTCGGACGCTCATTTCTGCTGAGTAGAGCCTGCACGCGCTCACCAATGCACAAGCAGCCCTTCGTGACGACTTCAAGCAAGCGGTCAAGCACATCGTCAAGCTCAAGCAGACCGTGTCGCAGCTCTCGGGCGAGGCGAAACCTGCTGCCGCGACGCCAAGTCGTCGCGACCACCCAACGGCGTACGGTGTGCCCAACCAGGAGAACGTCGTTCCGGGCTACTACAATCGAGCTCCGAGAGAGAGCTACTAACTAAGAACACAAGAGTCCGGTTGCGTTATCTACTTCTTCTACTACGAGCTCGAGTCCGTGGTCGTCGGCTTCTTACTCGACGGCCAAGCGCTCCTCGAGGTACTTGACCGTCTTCTCCGAGAGGACGAGGATGTCCTTGTGCAAGATCGAGTACACGTTGACCTGGTGCTCGCGGAGGACGTCGACGCGCGCAAGGTTGCGCGTTGCAAGCACAAAGTTCTTGGGCGCCTCCGCACCGTCCACGAAGAGCGCATCGTCCCAGCCCTTGGCTTCCAACAACGCCTTCATGGACTTGGTCTTCTCCGTCTACGCAGAAATCTCTAAGTCGCCAAGCGTTGCAAGATGCCTGCTTCGCACCTCGACGTCGAGCTCCTTGACGATCGCCAACTTGCCTTCGGCGAGCTTGGTCGAGAGCGCAACGCGGAGGCCCATGGCACGGACTGGACGCGTTGATGAGTTGGAAGAGCTTTATGAAGGAAAAAGTGACGTACCCTTCTTGGGCAAGCTGTACGAGTGGTCGCGCACGACGGGGCCGTGGGCGCGGTAACCACCTCGCCACTGCGGCGGGCTAGTCAAGGCTCGCGCATGAGGCCACGATACTCGGAAGGCTGACGTACCGGATGTTGCCGACACGAGCGCGGCCCGAGCCCTTCTGTGCCCACGCCTTGCGCGTCGAGCCGCTCACTTCCGAGCGGGTCTTGGTCTTGTGGTTGCCCGACCGGCGGTTGGCCAATTGCCACTTGACGACGCGGTGCAAGATGTCCTTGCGAATCGGGGCGCCAAAGACGCTACGTCACTGGTCTAAGAGGCCTTGAGCCCGTCCATGTTTCTCTACCTGCGGTTCAACGCGAGCGTGCCCACTTCCGAGCCGTCCGTGAACGAAAGGAGCTTGGCCTGCACGTTGCCAGCCGCGTCAAAGGTCAGCGGCTCGCGGGTCACGAAGCGGGGCTCCGGCTTGGGCTTCTCCTGGGCCAAGACAAGGTTGGCGGGCAGCGAAGCCGCCGCCGAGAAGGCGCGGACGGGCGCCGCCACGCGGAGGGCTTGGAAGGCACGGACAAGCGACATCGCTATTTACGAAGGAATGCTCGAGTTGGTTGGTCTCGCAGTGTTGGCCAGCCAAAATATTGCCTCCGGTAATCACAGGGCCGTACAATTCCGTACGTTCAATTCCATCCTGTAGTATTACAGACTGAGAGAGACGTACATTGGCTTACATTGTACGTGTACGAATACATTCGTGGGATCTACGGTAAATAGTGTGACGAGCAAGCGCGGCTGGCCGCCGCCAGCGCTGTGAAGGTCTACGCGCAATGGCGCCTCTCATGGAGGTAAACATTACTGGTATGTGCACCTGGGTATAGTGTGAGAGCACGTTGCGCAGGCAAAGTGTGTACAAAATGGGTAGAGAAGAGATCGCATACGACGAGTATATAGATACATTGTTGGGGCTTACTGGGCACCGGGGAACTGCACAGCAGGATCGTAAAACTTGGGCTGGACCTTCTTGCGCGTCGAGCGACGAATCGTTTGGAAGCCGTCTTCGTCGACCGCCGGTGTGTCGTCGACTTCCATTTCGCCGCCATTCTCGGCGACCATGGCCGCGCGCTGGAGAAACTCTTGCTCTTGCTGGATCTTGGCGCGCTTCAGATCAATCGCAAACGTCGAGGTTTCAAACTGCTCCTTGAGCTGGCGGATGCGCTCGATCTGACCCTGCTTGCACTCTTCGGCGCACGCACAGAGCACCTTGGCCACTTCGTCGACGCTGCCATCTTCGCACACGAGGCCAAACTCGCTCTCGATGTAGTCTTCGATGTTGACAGCCAAGTCGTCAAAGAGCACTTGCTTCTGGTACTTGAAGAGGTGGAGGATTTCCTCGAGGAGGATCTCGCACTTGCGCTTCATGTCGCCGCCGCCCCACTCGCCTTCCATTGCCATGCGGAGCGCCGTCCATCGCGCAAGCGTGAGCTTCACGCCGAGCTCAAAGTACTCCCACTGGTTCGACGGCGGCGCCTGGGCGGCCACGATTGTGTTCAAGATGTCCGACATGCTGCAGCAGATCGCGTTTGGCACGGACTTGGCGCTTTTTCAAAGTTTATGACCAGTCAATTGCCTCTTTCTGATTGGCTACCTGCATTGTGTTTTATACACGTTCGACACGCGAGTTTCAATGCAACACCGTGAGAGCGGAACGTGCACACGTCTGGACGTGCACTCGTCTGGCTCTTCCATCCTGTTCTTGAGTCACTTCAGCGACCGGAATCAGAAGACTGCCATACAGGGGGGTATCAAGGCCTGCAACATCAGCTAGCTGCGAAACCCCGCAGGCTTTAAATGGGTACGTAGATGTATAGAAGCGCACACCGAGGGCTTGACAAGCGTCCAACGTACCATGGAACGAGCGCGGGAAGCTCCCAACATTGTGGATCGTCAACACGGACGCGCACGAGCGCTCCAACGACACTAGTCTTGGGTCCATGGCAAAACATGGGTTGAGTGTGCTTGGTTCGCATGTACTCCTCGCACCACGGCCACCGCTTGCTACGACACAGAAGCTGGCCCAACCCATGATTGCTTGAGGTTAGATTGATGGGTTGTGTCCAAAGCTCAAGGCCAAATGCTAGAGTTGGGTGCGTGCGTGCAGTACATAGTCATTCCGCTCGCTTTGCCAGAGCATCGAGAAGTACCATATTCCCTTCCATTGGCGATCCTTCCAGCAGCACCACCAACAAGCCCATCTTGGTATCGGTACACCCTGCCCGCCATCATATCCCATGCCTCAGTCGTCATCGGGCGCCACGTCAACACGGCCAAAGATACAGTGTTTAAAACATACAAATGTACAGTGTTTAAAACAAAAGGGCAAACACAATCTCTCCCGAACCGGTTCGGCTTGTCCACTATTTTAATTGCCATTTCCATCCTTGTACTTGTGATTTGTATACTGATTTCGTATCTTCAATAAACAAGCGGCGTGTCGCAAGTGCAATGTGGTCCGGATACTTGGCTTATTTTCAAAGGACGGACCTGATTCGCGCAGTGACGATGATGCGACCGGAGCCGATCGAGACGCCCGCCGCCTTTACGACGGGCCCGGCGATGACACCTGTGGCCGGCGCCAAGGACGTCTTCGAGGACTCGGAGCTGCTCAAGGCCTCGGAGAAGAACACGGCGGACGATGACGCCGGCATCGACGACATTGAGCTCGCGAGCACCAAGAGCTCGACCAAGAGCGACGCCGAGCTCATTGGCAAGGACGCGCCTGTCGAAAAGGAAAACAAGAAAGAAAAGTACGAAAAGGCCGGTGGCGGCCATGGGCGCAAGCTCCTCGCAGTGCTTGCGACGCTGCTCGTGACGTCAGGGGTTGTCGTCGCCGTCCTCAACCCGGACCAGGTGTCGAAAGCCTGGGCGACGGTCACGGGGGCCAAGAATGACAACACGACCAGCCCGACGCTTCTGGAGGGCAACGTGTCCTCGAACGCAACCCACGGCTTTGTGTCTCTCCCCCCGACGACGGTCCCGACGCACGCACCGACGCATGCGCCGACGCTCTCGGATGTGGTGACGTCAACCCCGTCGACTGCTGCCCCGTCGACGACCAAGCCGACGACTGTGGCGCCCACGCCTAGTGTATCATCTAATTCGTCCTCGATCATCGTATTGCCTGCTGCCAAGACCGATGCGCCGGTGCATACCACCCCGACAGTAACAACAGTGACGCCCAAGCCCACGACAGAGACGCCCAAGCCAACGACTGTCACGCCCAAGCCGACAACCGAAACCCCGAAGCCGACGACTGAGACGCCCAAGCCGACGACAGAGACGCCCAAGCCGACGACAGAGACGCCCAAGCCGACAACAAAGACACCAGCGCCTACGTCTGCGTCGACAACGACCCAGGAGGTCGCTGGGCATATCTTTGTGGTCCCGACGAACAGCTCGTCGACCGACGCGTCGAAGAACGCGACCGCGCCGCACGATTCCGTTTGGGGGCCGAAGGAAGGCTCGTCTAGCAGCAACTCCAATACGTCCGAGCCTACCTCCGTGCCGTCGCGTTGGAGCCACCCGTGAACGTGGTGACGAGGCTGTCCTGTATATAAACCTCGTTATAATTGCCGTAGAGAATGCAAATGGAGCCCTCTTGTTGGAGACCAAACTTATCAGAGGATGTACGGGATCCCATGTATTCCAGTCAGATCGAACTACGAGGGCAGCGTGGCTCGAGAGCTATCGTGTTTGTGCACTTGCGCAGAATGTGGTGGCTGGCAAACTGCCTCCAAAGCGTTGGGACGCTATACTTTGGGTGTTGATGCTGTACGTCATCCTACAGGATGAGGGCTTCTGCACGAAGCGAGATGGAGTCAAGCAACCCTGGACCGCGCATAGTACGAAGACGTCGACGTCGTTGTTCCGAGGCTCCAGTCCAACCCGACCAAAAACGCTTCGGCCAGCATCGTTCCACGCCACTTGTAGCCGTGGAGAGCATGGGTGAACGAACAACAGCTCCCTTGTTATCGTCGGAAGCTACACAGAACTACCAGCTCGAGTGCGACGCTCCAATCCGGACTTGGACTCTTGCTCTAGATGCAGTAGTATCCTATGCGATAATCAAAGCACGTCACGATCGACGACGCATGGGGCCCTAGTACTCCATAACTGCACTACCAGTCCGGTCCTTAACACAGAGGCGGCGACAAGATGCAGCATTGCCCACGTCGCCCAGCAGACTCGCATCGCTTGAACAGCCGCTTCCGTTATCTTCCGGTACATTGTCGAGGCCGGCTTCGGGGACCTTCCGGCATCATGCTGGCGCTGGCGCCGGATTGCGCATCGGCGGCGCCGCGGAAACTTCCCCGCGTGCCACGCAACCTCAGGAACACGTGCTGCAATGCGCATTCACGCACGCGCGTCTTCGATTGGCTGTTGCGTTGGTATCCGTATCCGGACGATCCAGCGGCGTGGCAGAGGCAAGCGCACAATCCAAAATCTTCGGCCAGCACCATGTCGACGCCCACCAAGTACCTCGCCGTCTCGAACGCGCCGCCGATCTACAACAGCAAGGAGGAGCTCAACGCGTACTTTGGCCAGTTTGGCGGCTGCTACGTGGCCGAGACGCTCATCGCGGCCCACCACCAGCTCATCGACGAGTACGTCAAGGCGACGCAGGACCCGTCGTTCCGCGAAGAGCTCGAGAAGCTCGGCCGCGACTACATTGGCCGCCCGACGCCGCTGTACCTCGCGAAGCGGCTGACTGCGCTCGCCGGCGGCGCCGACATCTACCTCAAGCGCGAAGACCTCGCGCACACGGGCGCGCACAAGATCAACAACGCGATCGGCCAGGCCGTGTTGGCGAGACGCCTCGGGAAGCGCCGCATCATCGCCGAGACTGGCGCGGGGCAGCATGGTGTGGCGACCGCGACGGCGTGTGCGCTCCTGGACCTGGACTGCACCGTGTACATGGGCTACGAAGACACGCAGGTACTAGCGTCCTCTCTGCCTCTGTCGTCGTCCTCATCGTTATCATGGATTATAGCGCCAATCCCTCAACGTCTTTCGCATGAAGATGCTCGGCGCCAAAGTCGTAGCTGTCAAGTCGGGCTCCATGACGCTCAAGGACGCCGTGAACGAAGCGCTGCGCGACTGGGTCGCCAACGTCGACTCGACGCACTACATCATTGGGTCTGCGATCGGCCCGCACCCGTTCCCGACCATCGTGCGTGACTTCCAGACGATCATCGGCCGCGAAATCAAGGCGCAGCTCAATGAAGAGATCGGGCGCCTCCCGGATGCGATTGTGGCGTGCGTCGGTGGCGGCAGCAACGCCATCGGTATGTTCCACCCGTTCGCCAAGGACAACGACGTGGCTATCTACGGCGTCGAGGCCGGCGGCGAAGGCGTCGACACGGGTCGCCACTCGTCGACGATTGTCGGCGGCCGCGTCGGTGTCCTCCACGGCACCAAGACGTACGTCATGCAAGACGACGCCGGGCAGGTCATCGAGACGCACAGTGTGTCGGCGGGTCTCGACTACGCTGGCGTCGGGCCCGAGCACGCCTTCCTCAAGGACTCGGGCCGCGCCACGTACGTCAGCATCACAGACAAGGAGGCGCTGGAAGGCTTCCAAATCTGCTGCAAGCAGGAAGGCATTATCCCCGCCCTCGAGAGCTCCCACGCGATTTCGTACGGTCTCAAGCTGGCCGCCGAACTCGGCCCGGGCAAGGTCATCGTTATCAACGTCAGTGGCCGCGGCGACAAGGACATGCTGCAAGTCGCCAAGGAGCTCCACGTCAACCTCAACGACGATTTGACCGACGACCACGCGTAAATAAGAAATCCTCGTAGAAATATATAGTATGTTTGCATCATCAATCCTCTGCTGTCTCCAAGGCCCGTCCACGAACGACACGCCCGTAGTCCATGCCCGCTGCGGCATCGTGTCGCGTTGCCACGTCATTCGGACGCGTCTGATTGGTGGCTTTCGTACATGTCCCACACAGAGGAGCCAATCACACGCGCATTTACGGAATCTTGGGCTAACAATTCTCGTGGTAATGCCGGCCGGATCCGTTGGTCGTCGTCGAGAGCGTCTTTTGCGCCTGGTCTTCGAGCTCTGGGATCTTCTCGTACTGGCGGCGGTCGGCTTGGGACTTGCCCGACATGTGCGGCTCGTCCGGCGGCGACGTGCTCCAGAGCGTCCAGAGGAGGAAGTAGAGCACGAAGATCTCCATGAGGTGCTTGGCCATGATGAAGAGGAACCACTGCGTCGAACCTGTCGGGATCGACGCATCGAACTGGAGCTCGTACATGTGGTACGTCATCACGAGCGCAAAGCACGCATTCAAAAGCAGGAAGAGGCAGCAGATGAAGCCCGTGCGCGTGACCGTTTGGATGCGCGCGGTCGTCTCAACCTGGCTCACCTCGAGGATCGCGATGAGTACCGTGCGCATGCGGCAGGCGAAGATCGCAACAAACACAAACGTCACGAGCGAGAGCACGACGACGACGATGTCGTTGTACATGAGCAGCCAGAGCGAGTCGATCCGGTTGCAGCCAAAGAGCGCAAAGCCCGTCGAGACTGCGATGCCGAGGAGAAAGCAGAGCGTCGCAAACACGCGCATGGGGTACGTCGGCGCGTCCTGCCGATCAAACGCCCTACACACAACGCATCAAGCGCCTGATCTACGAGAGATGTCCAACCCATGCAGGATGTCGGCCCAGAAGACCACCATGAGGATGAAGACCGCGTACAAGATGTACGTGCCGGCCATCTCGGCGATCTCGGAGATGAAGAGCATGTACCAGCCGTCGTCGAAGATGTAGACGCGCTGCGGCACGTAGCCCGAGACGTGCACGCTGTAGGGTGTTGCATACCACACGGAGCGCACGAGCGCGGCGAGCGACATGAGCGTGAAGAAGCCCGTCGTGCCCGGGTCTCGCGCCGACCCGCTCATGTGGCAGCAGAGCACCCAGAACGCAAGCAGCGTTGCGATCGCATAGCCGACGGCGAGGAAGGTGTCGAACTGCTTGTAGTGGAACTCGAGGTGGATCACGGGCACTGCCAGCGCGTCAGCTCCGCGCGTAGGTAGTAAGAGCAGGCGGAGACGTACCGATGGTCGCGTTGCCGCTCATGGTCGATGAATGTCACACCTTGAACCCGGCGCCAATCCTCCGAGACTTGATACCCTTGCCAATCGAATATCCAAGGGTCGTCCACGTTGCGTGGAGGACGGGGATCATATCGCGCTGGAGGATCTAGTATGCTATAGGATCGAGTATACGTATATGGAGATGCGAGCGTGCCCTTTCGTGCATGCCGACGCGGTCGTTGATCTCGATGCTGTGGGAAGAGAGGAGGCGCGGATTGCGTTTAACTCTGACACTCAATATAACGCATGGACGATCTTGGCCAAAGCGTTTTCTCAACAGCGTAACAAGAAGCGGAAATGAACCGGCATTGGAACTCCTCGCGTGCTCTTCATGTGATGGCGAGGCGCATGTACAGCTTTGCTGCGACACGTGGGCGTGATATTAAAGCCCCGACGCTGCGAGCGATGGTCCCTCGTAGGGGCCGCGATCGTCTGTGGTGTATGCGTTTTGGGAGGTTTAACGCTTTAACGCCAGCGCGTGGACTGCGAGGGCCACTCGATTTGCGTAGCGGAACGTCACGCGGTGGCGGGGTGCATTAAATTGCGAATAAAAATATCCGGCGCTTCCGGGACAGTGCGTCGAGTGGCAGCAATAAAAATACGTGAAAACCCGTTTTTTATACGCTGCCCGTGGTGGCGGTCGCGACCTTGTTTCTGTATTTTATTTTGGTCCAAATATAATGGGGTGCAATGCTCTATTTTATACCAACACGATGGTGCCGGGCATGTACATACATTGCACAAGGTAGTTTAAATTGATTGTCGAAATAGACACCTCGTAAAAAAGAAAGCGCGATGCAAACCGCCGCCAATTTAATGCCGGAAAGGGCAGCCTTTGTCTAATTTTGGTGGTCCTCGAGCCCATTTCGCCATCGCGACCGGAAGGAAGAAGCAGCCACGATGTCGTCGCAAGCAGCCTTGAGCAAGGAGGAAGAGCAAGTGAAGCTCTTCCAGATGAAGAAGCTCATCAAGAACCTCCAGGCCGCGCGCGGTAACGGGACGTCCATGATCTCGCTCGTGATCCCGCCCAAGGACCAGATCTCGCGCGTCGCGCGCATGCTCCAGGACGAGTATGGCACGGCCTCCAACATCAAGTCGCGCGTGAACCGCCTGTCCGTGCTCGGTGCGATCACGTCGACGCAGCAGCGCCTGAAGCTCTACACCAAGTGCCCGCCGAACGGCCTCGTCATGTACTGCGGCACGTGCATGACGGAAGACGGCAAGGAGAAGCGTCTCAACTTTGACTTTGAGCCGTTCAAGCCCATCAACACGTCGCTGTACATGTGCGACAACAAGTTCCACACGGAGGCGCTTGGCGAGCTCCTCCAGGACAACGATCGCTTTGGCTTCATCATCATGGACGGTAACGGCGCCCTCTACGGTACGGTCGCTGGTAACTCGCGCGAGATCCTCCACAAGTTTTCGGTCGATTTGCCCAAGAAGCACGGTCGCGGTGGTCAGTCGGCCATGCGTTTCGGCCGCATCCGTCTCGAGAAGCGCCAGCACTACGTGCGCAAGGTCGCCGAGACGGCGACGCAGATGTTCATCACGAACGATCGCCCGAACGTCACGAACCTCGTGCTGGCCGGTTCCGCCGACTTCAAGAACGAGCTCAACCAGTCCGATATCTTTGACAAGCGCCTCCAGGAGATCGTGGTCAAGATTGTCGATGTCTCGTACGGTGGCGAGAACGGCTTCAACCAGGCCATCGAGCTCGCGGCCGACACGCTCTCGAACGTCAAGTTTGTGCAGGAGAAGAAGCTCATCTGCAAGTACATGGAAGAGATCGCGATGGACTCTGGCAAGTACTGCTTTGGTGTCGCGGATACGATGAAGGCGCTCGAGCTCGGCGCCGTCGAGACGCTCATCCTCTGGGAAGACCTGCCGCACCACCGCATCTCGATGCGCAACAACCAGACGGGCGAGGAAGTGCACAAGATTCTGTCGCCGACCGAGGAGAAGGTCGCGGCCAACTTTATGGACGCCGAGACGGGCGAGACGCTCGAAGTGACGGAGAAGGAGCCGCTCGTCGAGTGGTTCGCCAACAACTACAAGACGTTTGGTACCGCGCTCGAGTTTGTCACGGCCCGCTCCCAGGAAGGCTCGCAGTTTTGCCAGGGCTTTGGTGGCATTGGCGGCATTCTCCGGTGGCAGGTTGACTTCATGGAGATGGAGTACGAAGGCGACAGCGACGACGACTTTGACGACGACTCGTTCATGTAAGTGCAATTTATTAGGCCTAGAGGACTCGCGTATTAATAACCGAGACGCTAACCAGCTTTCGTGTCCGCATGTCTCTGCGTGGCTTTGAGACCGTCGCATGCGACCTCAGATCCTCTTTGAGCAGCGCCGATAACGGCCAGTCCGTTGAAGAAGCCAGGCCGACACCCACGCGATAGTACGGCCTATGGACACGGCTCATGTGCCAGCGCAAGCTCGATGCTCGCATCTCCGAGATCTATTGACAGCGGTATTACCCATGTGGCCACGTGGTGTCGGTGGCGTCTTGCAATGCCCTGCACCACAATCTTCTTGCTCGCTCGTCGTGCCACGTCATGGCCCCACTCCGGTCGATCGAATGTGAGAGGTTCATTCTGATGTTCTTGTAGCGAGGGGATGTAGGTTCTTGTAGCGAGGGCCGCGTGGAGCGTCAATTGTTACTTGACGGATGCGGGAAAACTTCAAGGACGCGTGCGAGGAGGTCGCGGCCGCGGTGCTGGACGGCGGCCACTTGACGCTGGCCGTCGAGGAGAAGGTCGCGCTCGCCATGTACAAGATCGACGAGACGTGCGCCCTCGTGGACTCGCATGCGGAGATGGACCTCGAGGCCGAGCACGAGGCGAACGTCCAGCTGCTCCTCGACCGCTGCGTGCTGCTCCAGCACCACTTTGCCACGATCGACCACATGGAGAAGATCGTTGACGACCTCGCGGTCGCCAGCCGCAAGCTGCAGGAGCGCATGGACTACGTCAAGAAGCACGCCGAGCCCATCTTGCACCCAACGCAGCTCTCGTCGATGCTCAAGCGGACGCTTGCCCTGGGGCGCAAGGTACGAGGGATTTGCCGTCGATGCCATACACGAATGACTCTCTGCGTAGAAGGCAAGCCCCGAAGGCGTCGCGTGGGAACCGGTCACATTCATTCCGGACGTCACGGCCTCGTTGCGTGGCCTCGACAAGCTCCTTCACGGCAACGACGACGACGACGAGCTGAAAGCCGCGTTCAAGACACCATCCATCGCGGAATACCAGGAGGGTGCCATCTAACGCACGCGTACAAAGATGTCGATGCTCGTATTTACTTCATGCGTCGACGCGCGGAAACAACGCATTGTGCCCTTATCCTACGGTACTCGCCAAGTGCTAGCGTGCCCATCGTCTTCATCGTCGTCGTTCCGCGTCGCCACCAATCGAACAGATTGCCTGTGCGTCACATGTGCTATGGGGGTGGTCTGTATTGTGGCCCCGTATGCCCGGCGCCGCTTGGAAGCATACACCATGATGCCACAGCACACCATTACGATGAGCAAGACGACGCCTCCGTGCTCCCATGGCCGCTGCGGTGGCGGTGCGGGTGCTCGCGGTAGCTCTCGCAAAACCAGTGTCTCAGGGGCAGGCTCGTCTACTGGCGCAAAGCTGTCAGTTAGAGTGAGTACGACGATACGATGGATCGCTCATACATGGCGGGAGGCGTCGCGCCACAGCACGCTGCTGGTCCAAGTAGTCGTGGCAACTGCTATTGAGGGCAATGGCAACCTCGTCGATTGCGCGCTTGGCAGCGAGTCGCAGCCCTTGCATGGATGCCAGCCTTGCAGCTTCGTAGTCGCTCATGAGCTTGTCTAGTCGCGAGTGCTGCGCGACAGCAGCGGCGTACGCGTTCTGGAGCGTCGTCGCTTGGTTGCGGATGCGCACGAGCCGCTCGGTTCGCCGAGCCTCTTCCTCGAGAGGAACCTCTGCAGCCGACAAGAGCGCCTTCGTGTGCAAGTATGCCACGGCGCATGCGCCAGCGCCGAGCACGGTCAGGAGCGCGAGGTGCGTCTCGTCGTCCGTCATGCCCGTGCTGCTGCTGGACGCTTCGAAAATGCAAATTTCGAAACCAATCCCATTCCGGATAACGTAGGAACGTCACTCCATTCGGCATGTGCCGAATGTAAGCACATCGCATCATCAACGCGCTCTACAGGCTGGGCCGTCACGACGACCATGCAGAAGCGCATCGCTAAACTCTGCGCTACGACGAGCGATGCGTTCACTACAGTACAAGTACTTGGTCGGGTCGCCTTGTTCAATGTGGCACATGCCACATGTAACTGCTCGAAACGGGACCGTCGTAACTGCTGCGCCATATTTGAAGCCGCGCGGGTATGGACGGGCTCATCGCGCGCGGGGCCATCTCGAGCGTCCTGGCGCAGGTCTGGCCGCTCAAAGCACCGCCGTCAGCCTCATGCGTCGCTAGGCGCGCGCGTCGCTCAAGCACCCGTCGCGGCCCTTCACGCCCAAGACTGGCAGTACGCTGGCTAATGGCTGAGGCTGCATGACACCACTTGTATTAGCACGCCCGCTCTTCTACGGCGACGACTACCGCCCGAGCTCTCGCCCGAGCTCGACGTTCTCGACGGATGCGTCCGAGTTTGAAAAGCCCAAGAAGAAGCGGCCGTCGCGGCGACGAGGTGCGCGCGACAAGATCCCGCATAGGCTTGAGTACAGACGCAGACAACCAAGAGGTCGAGGTCGTGACCACGCCCATCTCGACGGCGCGAGACAACGACCGTCCGCAGTCGTCCATGAGCGAGTACGAGCCCAGGTGTGGCGAGAAGGCGTCCCCATCATCGCGTGGTCTCGATGCCAAAGCCACATCCGACGACATGAACGACGAGAACGAGCTAGCACCCGTCTCGACCATCGTAACGCAGCGGCTTACTCTATACCGAACGTGACACGGGGTTGTAGGAGGCGCTGGCCGACCGGCTCGAGGAGCTCCAGCAGCACCTCGACAGCTTCCGAGCGCACGCAGACCAAGACGAAGAGGCCTTTGCGACCGTCCAAGCGATCTGCAAGGCCACGTCGCAGGTCTACCACGACACGCACCTGCTTCGTGACGAGAGCGCGCTCGGTACATCTACCTATGACGGTGCAGACGCCAACTCGTCCTGCCTGGCTCAGGTGCGCTTGCAGCGGCGAACGCGGCCTGTCTCTCGCAGCTCTTCGAGTGCATCGACGTCGCCGCCGGGCGCAGCGTCATTGAGCTCACGCGGGCGTCCATCACGGTACCTTGCATCCTGCGAATAGGATTCTATGCGCGGATGGGATGTAGCTATATGTGTGCCGCCTCGGACCGCTCGACGCGTTTGAAGATGCGGTGGTGCATGCGGCCAAGCTGCTCTTCCTCCAGAGCAAGGACCCAACCAACGACGACCACTTTTGCCACGTCGCGGTCGTCGAGACGCTCGTCGGCGTGCTGAGCGACGCGTCATCGTCCAAGAAAGGTCCGTTGCCGATGCAGCTGCTCATCTACGTGGCGGGCACGCTCAAGAATGCGTCATCGACGACGCGCATGGTGTCACTGCTCGCCACAAACGGCGCCATCTCGATTCTGAAAGCGATCTTGCACGTACGCTGTGTTTTCCTTCAATGTGTCAACCAAACGTATCCATTATGTAGCTGCACGTCCGCCACGATGGTAGCCGGGGCGGCGAGAACCCCGTCGCGCAACTCCTCGTGCAGGTGACGGCGATCCTGCGCAACCTCGCCGTGCACAAGTCGTGCCACAAGCAGTTCTGGCACTGGCACGTGACCGAGGCGCTCTGCGCACTCTTGCCGCTCTACCCGTCGCACCTCGAGCTCATGCTCAACATCTCGCGCGTCCTGAGCAAGGTACACGGCAGATCGATACATGTGTTTAAATGATCTGTAGCTCACCTTGCACGAAGCCGGCCGGTCGCCGATCAACAAGAGTCCCGACATCCTCGGCGACCTCGTCGCGCTCCTCGACCTCTCCTCGTCGGGGGCGCCGCACCGGTTCCAAGCCGCTCTCCTCGTGCGGCTGTGCTTTGTCCTTGGAAACCTCACGGCGAGCAACGAGAAGAACCGGAAGCTTCTCGCCGTGTCGCACCGCGCCGTGTCGATCCTGGTCCGGACCTTGCAGCAGTACGGTCGGCTCTACATGCAGCAGTCGTCCTCGACGAAACGCGCGCCCCATGACACGGACGAAGATGACGACGATGACGAAGAGGATGAAGACGACGAGTCGATGGATGTGCTAGTCAAGCTCATGCGGCTGCTGGCCAACATCTCGATCAACGCCACCGCGGGCGCGATCGCCGCGGCGTCGCCGGGCCTCGACTGCCTCTTCGAGCTCCTCTCGCACGCCACGCAATGCGGCCACGACGAGCTCCAGCTCAACATTGTGAGCTGCTTGACCAACCTCTCGTACTACGCGTCGCCGACCGAGTCGGCTCCAAACGTCGTCACGACGCACCGCATCGAGCTCGCGACCGCGCTCTGCGCCGGCTTGGTCGATCCCAACGACGAGATGGTCATCGAGGCGGCGCGGGCACTCGGGAACCTCGCGCGGTTCCCCGACGTCCTCGCGCACTTGGTCCAGACCCAATCCTTTGAGATGCTCCTCGCCTTGCTCGAGCACCCGAGCAAGCTCGTCGTGTCGTCTGTTTGCGGCATCTTGATGAACGCGGCGCTGGACGGCCCGAGCCGCAAGGCGCTGCTCTCGCTGCAGGCGCGCGACGCGCTCACAACGCTCTTCCGCAGCGTCGGCCTCACGGACGTGGCCTGCAGCACGCTGGTCTGCAAGGCCTTGTACAACTTGGGCTTGCAGTCAACGACCAAGTCGTTTGCGACGCACCGTCTCCTCCTAAGCACCCTCGAAGAGCTCAGCGAGAGCACGCAGGATGCTGAGGCCGGGACGCCGCTGGCCGAGTTTATGGGCGTCGCGCGGGCGCTCATGCGCAGCCTCCTCGCCTAACGCGCAAGGCTGACGCCACGAAAAGTATATATATATCAATCTATCGAGTGATCACAGCTCCAGTGCGCGGATGTGGACTTTGGCCTTGCGCTTCCGCATTTGGTTGCAGAGCGGGACGGGGCAGTAGAGCTTCTCGGTGCAACCACCAATGTGGTGCGTGAGGAGCTCGCCAAACTTGGCCCGCAAGACGCCGTCGGTGAGCGCGATCGCACGCACGAGGCGCTTGAGAAAGACGCAGATGCGCGCGAGCGACGCGGACTGGCACACGTCGTCGCGCGCATCGCAGCCGCTGGCATGGACCAGCCATGTGTTGAGAACGGCCAGCGGCTCGGCCATCTACAGGAACAGAGTCGAGACGCATGGATAGAGAGTCGTCGACGTACGAATTGATGCGTGAGTCGGATGTACTCGGCGGCGAGACAGGTCGAGCAGAACCAGTCGTTCTTGGGCACGTCCGGGAGCCCGACGCAGTACGTGTGGAAGACTACAGGCCGTGTGAGAAGAAGAAGACGGCGAGAGCGGGTCCTACCGTCTTCGCAGAGGTCGCAGAGCAGACTCTGCGAGTCGTTTTCGTTGATATCGCAGATCTTGCACGCCTTGTCTGCGTTCTAAAACGAGGTGAGTTGGCACCATGCAGCGAGAAGAGGATACCTCGTCGTCGCTGTCGTCGTCGCCGCCGTCGTCGTCCTCGACCTCGACCTTTTCGTAGATCTTTGGCGCCGGTCGGGGCGGTGGCAGTGAGTCGTCGCTCTCGTACTCGCTCATGTCGTCCATCGGATTCGTAAACGTGCCCCGCGCAATGTAGTCGCTGTCGGCGGTCGACGACCCATCGTCGGGCACGCTCGGGGCCTTTCGCGGGCGACGATCGACCTTGACAGCGACCTTGGGCGCTGCTAATGCTGGCTTTGGCTTGGCGGGCGGCGCCGCCACGCGGGCCTTCTACACGCAGCAAAGGTGCAATCGCATGCGAGCAAGGCGTAGGTTGACCTTGGCGGATGTGGGGTAGCCGCGGATCGATGGCTCGGGCAGCTCGGCGTCCTCCTTGTTGAGCATGAGCAGGATCGTCTTGCATGCATCGCGCATCTCCAGCAGCCGCTTGTCGTTCTTGTACTCCGTCGACCAGTTGTACTCCAAGCGGGCCGCCATGCTGCTTGCGCAAAGGAGTGAATCTCGGAACGCTGCGATTTAGTGTTATACATCACACGATATCGCACTCGTACAGTATTTAGGAAGGTATGAAATAGTGGTAGATGACACCATTTTGATTCAAACGCTCTTTATCATGCCGTTTGTATAGTATACTATACACAAGCCAATCCAATCTGCGCTCGTACTTCAAGAGCCAAGATGAACGCGACAAGGTGGGGCGAGCGCTGCCAGGAGGCGCTCATGCCATGGCTAGCGTCCCGCTGATGGCGCCGCCGACGCGCCAGGCGCCCGAAGACATGGAGGCCGGTAGCATCGACGTCCATGACATCCTGCACTCGCTCGGCTCGTTCCGCGCGGTGCTCCTGCCCGTGACCATGACGATGCTCCTCTCGAGGTACTCCTGCGCAGCGCGTCGCATGGCCTCATCTAGCATGCGCTAGCCTTGCTTCGGCCGTGCTCACGGACCCAGAGACCGCCGATCAGATCGCCCAGTACGACCTGCACTTGGCCATGATCCTCTTGCCACGAGCGATCTTGTTGTAGCGCCTACCTGGTGTACCTCCCGGAAGACGGCGAGTCGGACGGATCGCTCCTCGGGCATGCGATTGTGAACGCCCTCGCGATCGTCGGCGTCTTTGTCATTGCGACCTTTGTCATTGTGTTTTGCTACAAATTTCAGTTTACCAACGTACGGCGCCCCGTCGTCGTCCGGGTCTCATGCGACGTGTAGTTCCTCGTCGGCTACATGTTCTTCTCGTCGGCCGTCTTGCTCGGGGTCCTCGGCGGCCACCTCGCGACCGTCCTCCTCGAGCGCCTCGACGTCGCCGTCGACATTCTCTCGTGGTCCATCGTCATGTACAACTTTGCGATCGTCGGCGTCCTCTCCATCTTTTACCAAAAGGTACACTGTCTTCTCTATTGCACGCTCACCGTGGAGCGTGCTAGGGTCTGCCCATGTCGGTGACGCAGTCGTACCTCGTGGCGGTCTCGGTCATCATGGCGTGGCAGCTCAGCAAGTTTCCAGAGTGGACCACGTGGGCGCTTGTCGTCGTGCTCGCCTTCTACGACCTCTGCGCTGTGCTCACGCCGTGCGGGCCGCTCAAGTGCCTCGTGAACCTGATTCAGTCCGAGGGGCGGCCGCTGCCAGGCCTGCTCTACGAGGCCGAAGTGCAGACGCGCTTTGATCACACGGAGCCCAAGTACTACCAGCACGGCGGCCCCTTGCCGTCCGTCACAGCAACAGCAACGACGGCTTCAGACGTCTGCAGTTTTGCCCGCCGGCGGTCCAAGCCCCAGGACGAAGACGACGACAGTCTCGAGACGGAGGCGCAGACCGAGCCGCTCTTGCCGCCCCCTGTCGTCCTGAAGCCCAAGACGAGCGTTCGCGACCGGCTCGTTGCTTTCTACACCGCCTACAACCCCGACGCACTGGACCGCGTCGACAGCATCTTGGCCATGTACGAGGGTCGTGAAGGCGACCTCTGGCGCGACCTCGAACGCAAGTACGGCCTCGACACCGACGACGAGGGTACGCTTGGTTGCGTGATTGTAGCCTCCACGATATCTGTGGTTGTAGAGGACAATACGATCAAGCTCGGGCTCGGGGACTTCGTGTTTTACAGCGTGCTCGTGTCGCGCGCGGCGCTCTACGACGTCTCAGCCATGTGGGCGTGCGCCGTCGCGATTCTCATGGTAATTACGGTCGTCTCGAACGTTGTTGGGTGCGATTAGCGTCTTGGATTAGGGCCTCGGCGGCACGCTCTTCCTCCTTGGCATTCACAAGCAGGCGCTGCCGGCGCTCCCGATCTCCATCTTGCTCGGTGTCGCCGTCTACTTTTGGATGCGCTGCGTGCTCTTCGACTTTATGAACATGACGCTCGCGCTCGGCATCGAGATGTGAGAGATCGGATAGAGTTGTCACGCTCAATGCACGCAAACCATTTGACCTGTTTGAACGGTTTGATGGGCTAAAGGCAACGGGGCTAAAGGGATCAAGGAGGGGTACGGCTCGTCTTTTCAGAGCATTCTTGTTGCATACGCAATGCTCTTCCGTCGCAGCAGTCTCCACTCCGCAGCCAGAAGGCCCCCGTACTCCAAGCCTCGGTGGGCGCTCGACGGCTGGTGTGGTATCGTCCACTTGACAACGTTGAGCTCCCTCGATGCAGAAACGCAAGAGCACTTGATACACCTGTCCAACCCGCGACGTCGACGCGCCAGCAGTCGGCCACAAACACGCTTTGGGCGACTCCAACACCGAACGGTTGCAAGAGCTTGCTGCGACGGCAAGCGTTGTTTTAACGACTGCTGGTATCCGAGGAGCAGAGTTTTCGTACCTGGTATCGCCCCAGGTGTCGTTTTTCGGTGGACTGGACGTCCCATCCCTGCTACAGTACTCCTTCTTCAGTCTACGGCCCATCCTCCTCCGCCTCCTCCAGTCGATGAATGATACTAGATAACAACACCGTGTCGATGCGTCGCGTGCATCGGCGGCAACGCGTGCGTCCGTGCAACCTCGTCGCCGCACGCTCCTTCCTGCATAAATGCGACTCGGGCCAACGGGTGTGATGCCCGACAGTTTGAAGCCGTCGACGCTACACCGCCAACTTCAAGGTGCCACCCGGATGGTGGGCGTGCCGCCACCATTGCGCGGAGCTTCGAGAACCATTGCTTCTCGCGGCGGTGCAGCGCGAACCAGCTGGTCCTGACAGGCCGATTGCATAGACGCCGTCGTCTTCCCATTCGCTCGCGCGGCTTCTTGGTCTTCTTTCTCTTCGCGTCGTTTCGGTCGCCCTGTCGCGCCGGCCTGTCCCAAGCTCGTCTCTCTTGACCCTCTACACCCTCTTGGCCATTGTTGGTGGCCATCATTGAAGGGCGTGGTCGGTCGCGCGCAGGTTGAAGTCGCTCGATCACGTATGGCTGAAAAGCGCGGGTAATCGGTCGTGTCAACAGCACCAGCTGTGTCAACTCAACAGGCTGTTGACTCGACGCCTCAAGATCTTTGCGTCGGCCAATCAGGGCGAAGCGGATTTTGTAGCTTCAACTTCGACCACAAGTGGATTTGCGAGCAATGGCCGAAGCGAACGCAGCCGTCCACGTGTACGAGGGCAACCGCCGGGGCGTCAAGCTCCTCCTGAGCGAGGAGGGTGCGATCGAGGTCCACTTCCTCATCCCGCCGCCCAAGGAGCTCCGCGCCCGCGCGCTCCGGTACGCCTACCACCTCCAGCGGGTGGTCCAGCGCTTTGTGTACCCCGCGCCGCCAAGCGTCGCGATCCTCGTCGTCGCGGTCGTCATT